GAGTAGTTGACTTTGTATCCATTTCCTTTTCTTACTGCCGCTTTATTTCCAAAGGCAAGCAACTGAAACACATTTTCAGCATTGTTTAGCATCTTATCAAACATTTAGCCTCCAGCTGTCAACTCCTCTGTCTCTGTCAGATTGAAGGTGTATTGTCAAGCTGTATTATGTGATTATGTCTCTGCAGCTCGATAAAAAATTATCTCACAGAGTACATCAATAGTACCTGTCAGGTAAAGTCATTGTTTCTGATGCTGATGTCAGTCATGATGTTGATGTGCAGTAGTAAATGTAAGAATCCTATTAGAACAACATTAGCATTGACAGGTTTGTCTCAGATCCAGTTGGTGTCTAATTCATAGGAAGAGGCTAATTCATCATTTTTACTCATTCATTTTCCTTTCAAAGTCAACAAGAGAACCTGCTGAAGTTAGAGTGCTTAGTAGATGAAACGGGGAAAGGTTTCTACAATATTTTTTGTCAGGTTTTTTGTGGTTGTACAGTTTGTGTTGAAGGTAAATGTTGTCACTGATAGAGATACAATTCTTAAGTGAGCTTTATTGATCAGGAAAGCTGACTTTATCATAGAGCTGTACAAGCAGGGCCGACATGTACCAGTCAGTCACAGCCTTGGTCAGGCTCAGCGGCATTTCTCAGGATGTCCCTGGTTTACAATAGGTCAGCCAAAACCCTGTATATGTTGACTCATGTATCCATAACAACCAAACACTCGTATTTTGGGACACAAAATTTTACTGTTACTGGTTTAGATTCCTAGCTTGTTTTCAATCGAAGAGGATGAAGGGAATATAAAACCCAAGTGTTATAGCATGAAGCTCAGGACAAAAACATTGTCAGATGTTGGCACTGGTAGTGGAAGAAGGAGAGATTTTACAGCCAGCTGACCTGAGTTCCAGAGACACACAGAACAACCACTAAAACTGAAAGCATTTTTCAAACTTCAAAGCTCAGTCAGATAAATAGAAGTATTTATCCATGTCCATGTCAAAGCCCCAATTTGTAACTTTTCAACCTTAAAATATTTGCTTGTAAGTCCGTCTAACAGCGTAATGACGTTCAACAGGGATAATGTTGTCTCTCCAAAGATGCAGATTTCAAGTATTCATTTTATGAGTTCAGTTTTAATAAGTTATGCTCTAAATGGGGTTTCATGCTATGACTGACAGCTGTGTTGACAAATGTGGTTCCTGCAGCGCTGTACATCGGTTTAGCAGTGTAAAGGAGGAACAGCGGGAGGAAACCTAATGAACACTAACACAGGAGCTTTCCATAACCTTGAGTGTCTGCTGACAAAAAAAAGTTGTTTGCTGGGTTGTCCTATATTGGTTGGAGCATTCTCCCCCCCAGTTGTCCCAGGTTTGAGTACGACCCTCGTCTTTAGCTGCATGTCATTCCCCACTCTCTTTTTCCAACATTTCCAGTCATTCCTCACTGTCCTATCTGAAGTAAGGTACAAATGCCACCCCCCACCGAAAACTTTTGTTAGATTGTTGTTGTTTTTTTGGCAGAGGTCACAGACTTCCTGGTGGCTAACGCTGATGCCAGTTTAAAATCTAACAGATCATTACATCTTACTTTGAGCTGATACGCATATTTCAGTAAATGTCAGACTATTGCTCTTGGTGAAAGGTAGCAACACTTATGCCTCTAAAAGCTTAAATCAGTCCCATCAAATGTCTAATATAGTAAGACTATCATGTTATATTTTGGATTCTGCTCATGGTTAATGATGAGAACTGCCTGGTAATTTGACATTTTGTAGAAAACTTGAAGTATCCACTCTGTGCTCGGAATCAACAACATTGATCCTGAACCCCCAACCCAAACACACACCCACACACACACTCACACTTGCACGTATCGACCTCAGATTAACATCGCTCAATTCATATTACCCAAAGACTTCCTGAGTCGACTGTAGGCCATTTCCCTGTGCCCATGTGATTTGACTGAGTGTTAAAAATTTATTTGGCTGAAATGGTTATGGAGGAATTTACATTATTCATCCACTTTAAGATTAAAAAGGTTATATTATATTAAACTATATAACTCTTCTAGCCGCTGCTCTGGGAAACTGTGCCACAGAATATTAAATCCAGGTCTATTTTCCGAGACATAACCTTTACACCAATTTCATTGTCACGAGCAGTAAAAGTGCTGCTACTATGTGCACGAATCATCAGGAATGAGGAGAAATGTGTAGATGAAATTAACTATATTTTTGTAAGTTGAGACACGCCATTCGGGTGACTGCATTTAAGTGAAACAAAAAACTGGTATTCACTTAGAGTTTGTTTTCCTTCCTCTACAGCTTCCCCTCATATCAAAACAGACCAGCACCCTGAGGATATCCGGCCAATGAGAGCATAGCGGCCCAAAATGGCTCATTAGTGAAAGACTGCAGAATGCAGAGAGACAGGCTAGTTACTCAGCTGACAACAATCGAGCATATTTGAACGAAAAGATCCATGAAAGCACGCACAACTCATTATGCTTCAACACGTGAGAGAAGAAAACCAACCACTCCTGCTTCTGTCTGTAAACACAGGGCATGGTGTTCCACAGAATATGAGCAGAAACCTATCAACAATCAAAACAGCTCCCTTTGTTTGATGCTGGGGAATCTTTGTGTGATGTATGACTCTGGCAGTGCTTACAACCATCTTGAAATATGTCAATATTGCTGGTTGTTGGTGTTTAGAGGGGTGATTTCACGGCACACACTGATGAAAGACGAGGAACGCTGCGGGGTATCTGAACATCAGAGACAGCCAGGAGCATCCCTTTATTGTAATTATTCATGCACCTCAAATTGATTTGTACAGCAGGCACATACCCACGCCACAAGACCACAAATGCCTCCATTAGCAGGGCAGTGAAATCAGCTTACAGCTCTAACCTGCTCCGTCAACAGATCTCTGTTGAGCTTTTGTAGGATGACACGGTGCAAACTGCAGCAGAAAAACCCAGAGCTGAACAAAAGAGGGGTTCCTCAAGGGAACAGAAAGCACAGCTCTAATGAAGCCCTGCGCTGTTCAAACAGCAAACAGGGGGTCATATAAGATTTAAGAAGACACTGCCATTAGTAACTTACACTGTGCATACACCCATTCTGAACAAACACCCTAAGCCTATTTGACATCTGGGTCTAGCACCAGCTTATATAACATCATCACCCTTTGAGTAAAATCTGCTTGATGAAGCTTCTACAAAACTTCAATGGAAAATCCTTCTGGCAAATATTTCTAAGCCATACATAAATCCCAGGCTTAGACTTTTAAGTATGTGCTTAACCTGAGTCTGAAGTCAGGCCAGCTCCTGCATCTCATGTCTTTTTATATTACAGGGCCTCTTCTTGACAACCTTTGCTTTTCGTCAAACTTCCCTGCATGATCTCTACATTATTGCAAGTCTGTGTAAGGTTTTTAATCCAGTTTGTCAGTGATGTTATCAAGACCACTGATTTGACACTTTCTACAATTTCAGATACTCTAATTTGCTGGAAGATTCTGATTTACAGTTAAGGAATAATGTGTGACTTTTTGATCCAGTAGATGTTTCCCTTGAGCACCAGCATTAAACCAAAACGACACCTCCGCTATTCTGAAGCCTCCGCTCTCCTCCGGTGGCACACCTCAAATCCCCCTCCACTCACGTTCGCACGAGGGATTTATCAATTAGAATGCACTATAATTAAGCACCATTAAGCGCAAGCGGCAGAGAAAAATGTCCTTTGCTCGAGCTGCAAATGCCTGTGGTCTGCATTGTTGTGTTAGCAGGCTAATGTTAGCACACTACGGTTAACTCATAGCTTCACATTGCATATAAAGTGACACGGAATGACCGTGATCTAAACACACTTATGTGACATCCAGATAAGCAGTGAGTAGGCTTCATATAAAGCAGCTTTAGTCAAGGACAAGAGAAAAGAAGAATATTTATTTTCTCTTGTCCTTGACTAAAACTGCATTGTATACGCAAGTCTGTCCCGTCCATGTAAACATGTAAACACAACTATACAGCTGACTGGACTCGCGCTCCTCACTCATTGTAGACAGTCATGACTCAGAGAGATATTTACTGGGGATTTACTTCATTTATGCTGTATTTAAGTGTAAAATGTCGCACATTCTTCCTTCAGGTATGATTACTTGAGTGATTCTCTTAGATATACTGCTGCATAGAAGTGTACCATAGAGGACACAAATACACACACTGTAGATGCCATGTTTTTTGGTGCAAAGGTCCAATTTCCCTAAAATGCTCCTCATTGATGTCATGCCTGTAGATAAGGAGTCATATTTTCTCAGTACTAGCTGTACCTCTTAAAATGACCATTCATCAAAATTGCCCACTCTCAACATGAAAATAATGAATAGGAAACAATAACTGTAATGCCCCCTACATGCAAAGTAAAGAACATTGAAATGTCATCCCATTTTGTGCCACTTTTCTGGAGTCAATTTCAGCAATTTGTAACCCGTGACAGTGATGGAGAGAGGGAGGTTAAATGAGACTGAAATCACAGCAGAGACAAAGGGAAGCTCATGCTGCAGTTTGATTGCTGAGATGGTAAAAGTCAAAAAAATTTAACAACTGCACTTCTTTATAAAAAGTACGGAGATCGGCTTTCTGCTCACATCAGGTGTTGCTCTTAACAAGGATTTTGGGGCAGCATGCATTTCTTCAGCAGTGTCTAAAGATCTACAGTGTTTTTGAACAGAGATAATATCAGGTTTTTTTTGGCTAAACGGAGCAGTGGTCAGCAAGTGGAAAACTCATTAAAAACGTTGTAAAGGTGCACAAGGAAGAAGCAGCAGACTGAGTAATCCGAGCTGTCTTGTCTTCACTGCAGACTTTTCTTCCTTGACAAATAATGGAGCAGAGTGCGGACTTTCAAAATAAAGGCTACAACTTTTTGTGAGCTCTCTCTTAATAAATCAGAATAGCAAAATCGAAGGTCATTATTTGATATTTTATATATAAATTAAGGATTTATACATTGCTGATAAAGAAAAAATACAAAACATTTTTGATATTACATGACATTTACATGTGAAATTTTACACAACATTTTCAATAACTTACAAATGCTTTATTTTCATAAAAAATATATCTCTTTACAAAACTTTTGTTATATGTACAGATTCATATACACAGGTTTTTCAACAGGAAAAGAATTGTGTGGTACATTTAAAAGCATTCTACTCTAGTCCGAGGTGAGGCTGACTTTCCATATATAGTTTTTTTTCCATATGCTTTTCTCTTCTCTTCCATAAGAAATATGAAATCGCAAAATATATTACATATTGATAACACAAGACATCTTGCCAAAGAATGCCATCAAGTATCAAAACTGTATAAATGTACAAAATGTAAGAGCAATGACAGGAATCAACGTAGTGGTACAAAGTACTATAGCAGCAATTGCTATACTGGATCACTTTTTGCCAACATGCACAGGTATGAAACTATGAGCTGCTTTTCAAACACACCTCTTCATATATGACCATCTGAGCTGACATCACTCAGCTAAACCATTGCTAAATGTGCAGATAAGTTACTCTGATGTACACTTTTACTAATGCAACAAATGGTATGTCTTCATTAAAAACATATGCCCATACATTTTCAAGGCACTGCAATGATGTAGAAATGTGATGACAGTGTCAAAGTTCATTTTGAAACATGGATGGACTCAGATGATAGTAAAATACTTCATGTGGCTCATGTTTTAAGTGTGCAAATTTGTTCATGTTTTCTGTACATTTGTTGGCAGAAGCTGATGGTTCAGTAACAACAAAATTAAACTGTGTGGAACTGTGGGTGTCATAAAATAGGCCAAGACCAAGTATCTATCAGGTGCCTCAGAGTAGGAGGGTGAATCAGATATTTACTGACTAAGGCACAGTTTCCCAAAAGAATTAAAGATCAACAAACACTGCTCAGTTCATCAAGGGCCAGACATGATTTAGAAGTTGCATTTGGTCTGTCTTGGTATACAAGTAGGATAAGGTAGACTTTGTCAATTCTTTTTATAAACAAAAAAATAAATAAAGAGACAACAAGCTTCATCCTTCATTAGACTATCTACCGATATGTGATATTGATTTACCAACATCTAGGCTTAAATTAACTTCTGGGAAACCTGGCCAGCTGTAGGTACTGTGCAATGATTCTTCACTTTGTCATAAAATAATGAAGCAAGGTGATCCTACTTTGAAAGTCATGATATATACAGGGTCAAGGTTGGGGTTAATTCACTCCAGATTTTGGTGTTTTTGGGACAAAAAAATGATATCACTGAAAACAAAACAATCCTAAAACAGTCAAACTTAAGAAAAAATAAATAATTGAAGTACAGCCCAACCTAACCATAAAAGGTTCAGTGTGCCTCTGACTAGACTTACAAACTGCAGAACAATTTGAACTTACAGAACATTTCTGTCATAAACAAATTGCATACAACCTGATAACGAACCCCATCGTTGACTACATCTCTCGTGAAGAAAATGTATTGTTCTCAGAGAACCTGCACTGTAACAATAAAAGCCCTGGCTTTTGAAAGAGCAGTGAAAACCTTTTTTTTGGGCTCAGTATTTAAATCCCCGGCTGTACATTTCGTCAGAATGAGGTACCATCCAGTTAAGATATAATTGATCACATAACTTGGAAAAGTCTACAGCACTGATGCTATTCAAAGGAGGCAGTTACTTTTCTTCCGTCCTTTCTCATATTCTCTCAAAACACATCTGCTTGGAAAATAGACTAAAGATTTCATCGATCGGCTCACAGTCAAGAGGCTCCTCAAATCCAAAAAAAGACAAAAAACAACAACAAAAACACAAAGAAAACAAAAAAGTGAGGGGTCTAGATCTGGGCTGCTTTCTTGAAAAGAAGAAGTAACATTTTTCATTTGGCAATGTGATGTAACCCCTCTATGTTTATACTTCAGAGCATAAAATACTCTATTTTATCTATATGCCAGAGGCTATTTTTTCATAAAGCCAACACTCACAGAGTGTAAAGAACACGTCTCTTCTCCATACCACGGGAAGATCTGGGAAGGTGTGGGACCCTCCCTTTCCTCTCATTAATCTTTGAGATCCTGTATACGATGGATTGCAACTGCAGTAAATGTTGCCGAAAGTGTGCTTTATATTTCTGAGCAATACTGTGTCTCTGTTTTATGTCTTCAGAAAGAGGAAAAATAGAAATGTCTATATATATTCATGTTAAGCAAACAAGGAGAGGTTGTATTCTCCCTCTGTATTCTCCTTCTGTTTCTCCCTCACACTATGTAGACATCAAACCATGGTGCAGATGGTGTTGAGATTGGGGTCAAAGCGGACAACTTTCCCCTCAGCAGCTTTTGTGTTTGTGTTGTACATGGGATTCTCGAACGTAGCCTGTCCGTTGTTGTTCTCGTGGACAGAACATCCTGTGTACTGAGCTTTATCCGTTTTCCTAGAGGAAACAAATGCAGGTATGCATATTAGCTGAGAGACAGTTACGCAAATGATTTCCCTTCCTTTCAATCCCATAAACATGTTTCCATTATCTTGGTGTGGGCAGCTGCAGCAGGTAAATGAGGCTGAATGGTAATTATTGTTGAAAAGATCAGTCAGAGAAGACCTATGCCAGTTTCATCTTACAAAATGTGAGCAGTATTTGCATGTCACAGGCTCTCCATGAAGAAATGTTCTGAGAGGTGTTTTATTTAAATGAAGACAAAAGCCACCTGTCTATACACAAGTTACTCCATTCTTTCAGCTCAGATGAATGTGGACATATTGAACAGCTCATCACATATTACATCAAAGTCGTGTTCATTAAAAAATGTCGAACCTATGCAGCTGTGTAATGTGGTTTGGATTGTAACACCTACACTGTTATTGCATCATGCTTTGAAGTCCCTCACAATTAAGCTACTGTTTCAAATGATGCACCTCACAGCAGTAAAGCATGCTGTGGATGGGGACCATCTGGCACCATCTACCTCATCTTGATGTAAATCTTCTTTGGTACATAAATCAGTCTCTCTCAAAACTTTTTGTTTCTAAACTGTGTTAAGTTATCAACATGGGTCCCATACATGAGACATTATTCTACTTTCTTTCTAACAATACGCTGATATGACAGCTACTACATTTAGGTTCTAAGCTACTATGGACGCCACAGAGGTTAAGTACATACCGTTGTTTGTAGAGATAAAACCCAAGGCCTGCAAAGATGAGGGCAAAGAAAGGCACTAGGATAGCAACAGCAACAGAGCTGCTGTTTGTGGAGGCGTTGGTTTCAGGGTCAGTGAGTGTAATATTCTCTCTCACGCTCAAACCTGGAACAAAAAAATGTTACATTTAGCCAAAGACGATGGCAAATAGTCAAAATAGAGAATGTGTTATGAATGCATATTTTACAATATCCATATATACAAAATAGCACAAATAAAAAGTGTAGAAACAAAATAGGAAGATAAAAAGATACGTATCATCTGAGGTTGACGATAATGATAATGATGATGATGATGATGATGAGGATGAGGATGATAATGGAGAGGAAGATGATCACACAGATGACAAGTCAAAGACGCGGCAGCCAGTTGATGTAGAAGACAACCATAATGCTCACACCGATAATGATCAGTGTGACTGTGATAATCGTGTTGAAGACAGTCATGAGATGATGACGACAGGAATGTTGAGCACAAAGAAATGAGGGACAGTAATGACGAGGGAATAATCTGCTTTATGCTATATGACAGCAGAGATGGATGGCAGACTGGCAGAATTAGGGACAACGCAGTTTAAATTTGTGTTTGCTATCAACACAAAGAAATCATCATGCAGTTCATTTTGTAAAGGTTGATTGTGGTCAGTTTCTGCATGGATGGAGACAGCAGATGAGTGACAGGAATATATAGCACAGTGTTATGTGGTTTTATGTTAACAGATGTTGTATTTTGTTGTTAACTCAAAGGCCCAACCAGGGACAAGAGCTGGGAATTAGTAATAGCTTTAAACTCTATGTTATATATTAAAACTGTGTTTTATCACATTGTCCTTATTAAATACATTCAAATTTAAAATGCAGGGGAGAGAGAGGAGATGACGTGTAGCAAAGGGTCAAAGGTTGAAATTGAACACAGGTCGCTTCAGTTTAGATAAGCCTTAAAATGGTTTTATAACGAGTTATAAATTAAAGTTGTCATTAAAGATTGATTTATTAAAACACAGTTTTGACAATATGATGACAATAGACGCTTTCATCAACAAAAAGAAACGTGTTTTAAAAATCATTATTTGAAATCTGATATAATCATTTTCTGTGTTCTTACAGAATCCCTCGTTTGCTCTTCACAGTGATTTTAAGTTAAGATTCAAGTCTTCATTACACTTATGTAAATGTACACATTGGATAACACTCAGCTTGCAAACTAAATGTAATGTCACATATCACACGCCTGCATACATTCAACTGTGATTTGCGGTGAACACATAGGAAGACACATACCAAGTCTCTGTAGTCCAAACTGTCCGTAGTCTTTACCCTGTATGAAGCCTTGGAACACATAGCTGCCCCCCTCAGGCTCAGCTGAAACCTGGAGGAGATAATTACACCCAGCTTTAAAAACAATGTGTTGTGCTGCATGACAGTGATCATATTTTTCTTGACACCTTAGAGCGTGATGTCTTGTCCACACCACATAAAAAAAACATGTATATGTTTTTTATGCACGATAATCACCACATGCCACATTCAGAAATAACACCTTTGTGTTTGAAACCTCTCTGTAGTGGAAGTAGAGTCTGATATCATTAGCTCATTAATGTGCAGTCACCTGTCACACATTATTATTAAGTGAAGTTTATTTCAGAAGAGGACCTTCGATTCAACCAACAAAAACTGTTCTGCAGTTCTTTCAAGTCTCTTAGATATCAGGTGTGTGTCGGAGCTTATTCAGCAAATTGTCAATGTGGGAACGCTCAAGTGGATCCTACAGGGCCCCCCCCATTGCCTATGATGTATGGCCAATGTAAATACATGGAAACAAAAACAGACAATGAGCCAGGAAATGACTACTCCATTGGCTGTCACACTTTCTTCTCATGTATTGTGTTTTTTCCCCTCTGTTGGCATAGTAAGTAGGATCATAAAAAAACTCATAATGAGAAAACATTGTCTTGATTCAGTCCAAAGAAGGCTTATTTTGGCTCTTGAGTAGTTTCAGCCCCATTGCATGTAATATTCTACGAGATAAATAAATAAACAAATGAAGGGTGAAAAAGACAGTCACAGTTTTTGGTTACTTTCAAAACATCATTGGCCAGCTGCTGTAAATTCCTGTGTATACTTACAAATCCATCCATTGCCCAGGTCTCATCAGTAATCCTGTTCAAAGAGCTGTGGGCCAGGGCTCTCATTTGGTACAGCAGCAGCATTAAGCGTGCCTCCTGGCGCTTGTACACTCCTACAAGGTGGAGGACGAGAGAGAAAATAAGAGGTGGTGAGAAGAATGAGATGAGGGGAAAATAAAATAAAAAGAATCAGAGAAAAGTTGGAAGAGAAAACAAAGAAAAGTGAAAGACAAGATGAGAACAGATGACAAATCATCTGAGGGAGGAGGGGAGGAGATGAATGACTACTTGAGTGGGCAGTTAGTCAGTCAGCCCAGACTAATACATCCGTCTTTAAAGCCAATAGTTAATTTCCACTCTCATGCATGAGATCACTTAGAGATTGACTGATTGACACGAGGCACCCCCAAAATAAATGGAAGTGGCACACACAGGTAGTGAGAGAAGGAGAGGGGAGGAGGAGGGGAAGAGGTGAAAGACAGATGATGTACAGATGACTCACCAGAGAGCAGAAACTCCATGCTGCTGTCTGTTAAAGTTACATTGACTTTTCCTGTCGTGGCATTAAAGCTTGTGACCGTCAAAGTCATTGGCTGTTTCTGGCCTTTGTAATCGTAGGAACCCTTCCAGACGAAATCAGGGGCAAAGACATCGTCTGGAACTTCAGGAGAGAAAGATAAAGAAACACTTAAAATCATGCAATTAACCAACAGTGGCTAACATGTATATTTTATAAAGATACTAATTAATACCAGTTTTATTACATTTAAATGAACGCTGAATACTTGAACCCAGACTGCAAAATGGAAATACAATTTAAAATGCAAGCAACGTATCACTCATCTGATAGCAGTCTCTTCATCCCATTTGAATATTATCATGCTTCTTATATGCTTTGACAATCCCAATTAATGATAATTATGTACATTCTGCAAGAGATAACTCTGCGCTCCCTGCAAACTTGTCTTGACTTTTAAGATCATATTCAACTGATAAAACTTTTTGCAGCATTTTTGAAGCGCATCATTATCCACTGATCATTATTGACTTGGAAAATACGAGTCAATTATGTTCACTAAAAGGTTACTGTCTTCAGCAAGTCCCTGAACTTAACCTGATAACAGTCAGAATAATTACCGTGTTTTTACTACATCCTTTTCTGTTCTCGTTGGCAACAACATGTGAAGCTTTTAGAGGTGGAAAGGGGAGTTAGGTGTTATTATTTTGCGACTCACTGAGCTTGCTAGCTTCTTGCTCTCTAAATTTAGACTGTTTTCAGCGAACACTTAGTTACCTGTATACAGGAAGAATACTGCTCTAAATGGCAGCAGTAAAGTAGAATGTACTTGTTGATCTCAGACATACAATGAAGAAGCCATGCTATTACTTGTTCCACTGACTGGATTTACAGTCTACAACCATGCAAGCTGCTCTGTGAGAGCTGTTCTTCACTATAGTGTGTAGAGGTACAATGAGCTTACCAATGTTAGCATGCTAACTTGTTCAAAATGACATTGCTCTCATGCAACAAGTTACCATTCTAACCATCTTAGATCAGCATGACAGATGGATAGTTGCTAAGAAGCCAAATGCATAAAGTACAGTTGAATAGTAAGCCATTTATTTTTCTAGTATTTGGAAATAAAATGTATTCATTGTAATAAATAAAAATAATAATAATAGAATAAAGTAGGGGGTAAATAAAATGGACCTGACAATGAAAAGTCAGAGAATCATTAAAGGTATTACAATTTATCCTGAGGGGGACTTGAAGGTCAGTCATTAATTGTCAGATCTTGTGGTACTGTGACCCAAAAGAAGGGTTGTGTAAAAATGGACATAAGCACAACCAGGTAACCTCAATGAACTTTAAAATCTAAAATAATGAATGCCTTAATTATTTTTAATCACATTATTACAATGCAATTTTGTCCTTTTCAGTGTTCCGTAATTAATCCACCATAGCATCTTCCTGCAGCTAGAGTGATGGAAATAACCGAAAATGCAGTGCCCTTGAATGCCTCATTTAAAAAAAAAAACTCTAAAACAGCTCTGTTGACAAGTCAAAAGTACTATCCACCTCGTGACATTCAACTTTTTTACTTGTTCTTTTCATTCCTTTTCACATGGTTACGGTAAGTTAAAGTTGTAATTTTTGATCTACTGGAAGTTCTGTATTTTATTTCAAAATAAAAGCAGGTTCAATCCAAACATTTAGTAAATCAAATGTAGCTTATAAATGTAAAAGCATACATTTGAAATGTGATTGATGGAATTTCAAACATGCAATAAAAAATTAGATTAATCATGGTTAACTATTGAAATTCAGCGATGAATTGCAATTTTAAAAATGTATCATTTGACAGCCCTATTATGTAATACTAGTAATTACCCAATTGCACTTATATTTGACCATTTTTAATCGTCTGCTGTTACATTCAATTCTCTATTAAACATTTATACTTTTTATAACAGATAAAGTTAAACACTTGACACTTTAAAAGAGAGGTAACAGAACATGCAGTATTTCATGCAAATGACACACAGCTTTTATGCTAATTCACCTTCCACATCTTGTGCAAGTTCAAAACTCACCATTTATTTTTGGGCTTGGTGTCCCTGGTACGGGTTTGACAGTTTTCTCATGTGATTTGGAACCGACTGCAAAAGAACATAAATATGTATGTCACAAAGATGTAGTGATAGACAGCAAGGCTTCACACTTGTAGGATGTTGGAAAAGTATTTGCAACATGCCTGCTGCATTAAACCTTCCTTCTATTTGTAAAGATCTCTGGTGATACGGTTCTTACAAACTCTGAGAAATCAGCACACGCTAAAAGAGAATCTAACCGGGTATGTTGCAATTAGCTGACAGCACATCAACAAGGTGTGTCTACCGGGAACATCACAGTAACCACAGTGTCTCATTATATTTGATTAACTTAACTATCAGGGAATAGTTGAGCAAATGTCACAGAAGACAGATTTTGAAGTGCATAGGGTATTCACACATGGTTACACTCCTGTAACCCCTCTGCTCTCCACCTTTACACACCTGCAAATCTCCCCTCAGTCATTTTTACTTTTCCTCCTTCTGCCAACTCTATCATCCGCCCCCACACCTCTGCCAACCACATACCTCTGCAGACAGGCACCTTGCCAGTCCAGCTAGCGTCGGAGCGGCAGACCCGATGCTCTGAGCCCCCGGAGAGGAAATAGCCTGGCTGACAGGTGTACACCAGAGTGTAACCGTAGGAGGGCAGGTCTAGACCCACGACGTCGGCGTTGGCCGGGCTCCGCGGCTGCTTGCAGGAGTGAGCTGAAGAGGAAGCAGAGGGCAGACACATTAGTACAAACACATCTATCTACACACACACACACACACACACACACACACACACACACACACACACACACACACACACACACACACACACACACACACACACACACACACACACACACACACACACACACACACACACACACGGGGAGACAAATACACACAAGAGCAAGAACAGATACACAGGGAGATAATTAAGCACTCACTTGGGGGAGAGAAATGGAGAGGTTGGGGAGGTCAGAAAAAGAGGATAGGAAAAGGAAGCACACAGATTTTTAAATTTAACTGAGTCTGGGCAGCTATTAGGGAGCATGTTGATACTTTAGTATGTCTGATTTCTTTCTAATATAAAAATGGCAACCTGTGGTTTGGGAGATACACTGCTCAAATTAAGGCGAATATGCTTTGAAAATGAGAACTGAATTTAAATCAAATAATTACTGTTTGCATAATTATAAAGCATTAACCCACATCCTTGGTTTGCATTTAATCAGCAATTTGAAAACTACTCATAATCTTCATGGCTGGGACCAAGTAGACTAAACTCACCAGCGGCCTTGCAAAGCATTGCTTGAGTGATGGCATTGTAAATCTAATTTTTCCCGTTATGAGTAGGAACATGTACTTTAGTTTGCAAGGTCACTTGTGAACACTTGAAGCACATGGCTGAATGAAATAGTTGGTCAATAGAAGGCTTTCAAGTGCCCACCATTGCTCATTTCATTCATGTGACTTACAAAGAAAGTGGTCTAACTGAAAAACTTAACTTAAAAGGCATTAAAAAATATGCCTTGTTGGTTCTGGAGTTTTTCCAGACTCTGATTCATTTTTGACCTTCTTGGCTCAGAATTACTTAGCTTATCAAATTACTCCGTCTCAGAAAGCAGAAAGGTAGTGACATGCTAATCTCAGACAGCGCTGAAAAGCTTTTGCTGAATCAGAAACTTGAGACAAAAGCTGTTACTGCTCTGTTGCCAAAACACCCTCTGCTTATAGAACATATTAAATATGTTCATTCGCTCATGAGTGGGTTGAGTATACTTAGTCTAATTTTTCACATCAACAAACCCAACAAAACAAAATATTATGCAAATCACTTCGCACCACCAAAACACAGAGGGGTTGAACATTCAGGCTCTGAGGCGTCAACAATAATGTGAAAATAGCTAAATTATTTTCAGCTTGTGAATGAAAGAATATGTTGCCAGATGTCAAATGGGAGACAGCTGCGACTGAGTCAAAGCTCCAAATGGGTCCTTCATGGTGTCTTAATGGCATTAGAGGCAGTAAGGCGGCAAACGATGCCAGGATGAAACCCAGTTTCTGGGCTTTATAAAAGATCAAGGTTGGTTGTTCTCCATCTGAGTACGTCAGAGGTGGGACGTAACAAAGAGATACTTTATTCCTCTTCTTAAAGGAGTCATGTATCCGTACTCCATTTTCCAGCATTTTAACAAACCTTTTAGTTTTACCCCTACATTTTAACACAGTTAAAGTTATCATTTTTTAAATTTCCTTTCACAATATGTGTGGGTTTCCTAGGAGCATTCAAAGCTGTCAATGAATCATGCTACATTGTTTATAAAATTACAAAACCGAGGGGTATCGTTAACTGATGAGAATATTGCATTATGTGGGGTAGGAGTAGCGGCACCCTTCTCGGTGACTAATGGATCAGGGTAGAATTCTGACACCTCTCCAGTTTAATTAGTGTATTGATGATCTGAATGTGTGGTGGGAGATATACTTCATAAACACCTGATGTATGCTTATGACTTAGCCATCTTGTCACACTATATGCTGGCCTACAACGACTTCTCAGAGTCTGCTACAATATGACATTAAGATTGAAGGTAGAAAGAGTCATAATGATAGTAAAAACACAAACTTAGTGTGGTCGACAAAGTCAAATATATGGGATACATTATCAGGAATGCAAACTGTATGCACAAGCTAATGTAGGAAGTTTTCCAATGTGCGCAGTGTGTTAAAAAAGAGCTTTTGAGAGCTTACTGTACTCCACATTATACTGCTCAATTGTGGTGTAATTAGAGTAAAGCTAAGATGACGAAGTTGCACGGGGTATATAATGATGCATTAAGGATTTTCCTCAAATTTCCAAGATGGGTGAGTGCAGGTCATATGTTCATTACTAATAATGTTCCCAGGTTTCATGCTGTAGCTGTACTGAGAATTTTATGTACAAATTTATGTTTTGATTGTTTGATTAAAAAAATGAAATCATATCGGTGCTTTCTCAGCCCACACTTAGTGACACAATGTATTCCTTTGATGACTGTGAGCATGTGAACTATCCTTTTCTCATTGTATTAGGGTTATGCTTTTTTATTCTGATATGGACGTATGGGCCTGAAATAAAGGATAAAGTTTAGTAAAGTGAGTTTAAAGCTAAATGTAGCTCAACACTCTTAAGAGGTATTATCCATCATTTGTAGTTTTTGCATTACGACACACCGCCTTCTCAAAATGAAAACCATTTATTTCCCTAAACGGAAGGGAAAATAATGAAATAATCCATCATTTATTGGCGTGTCTCATGGTTATTCCATTGATCAAGCACATAAAAGGATGTCTAATAAACGAGATATCTGAATCCAACACAGAGAAGATCGAGAGACATGGATGAAAGTTAACCAGCCATCTTCCAACTAGCAGATTCAGAGCAGCAAGACATTTCAACATGGAACAGATTAAATGTTCATTGTTCTTTTTTTTTATTTGAAGTAACACATCATTAAGTGTGATATTCTCACAAATAGGAGGTGAGGTCCAGTTTGCATAGAATCAGCCAGCAGAAATGTCAATGGCTACTTTTACCTTCATACTGTTCGCACACATCAGATCTTCTACTTTTCACTGTTACTGCAGCACAGAAGTTGACTCAGTACTTCAATTTCTTTACTGACAATTATTTGCACCTCTTAAGTCAATAAATAAGTAAAAGCTTTGAATGTAAACAGGTGCATGAAGGTTAGAGTTGCATGCTTAAATCCAGCAGTGAACTCTTACCTACCTTATAGCCAGTGAAACACGGGGGATCAGTAAATAAGAGGTTTTTTTAAGTAGTTCATAAATCGTCCTTGAGGTAATGTAACGTGTTAACTCTTTACACTGCAAGGTACAAGAAAAACTGATTTGTAGAGTAAGTTGTAGCTATAAAGTCTTGGGACTGAAATAAATAAATAATAAATAATTAAATTATTCAGTCAACCGCCTCCTTGCTTCCTGAGCACCAGTCTATGCAACCCATTTAAAATGACAAACTGTCAGGCCATGTCCAGAGTGGTTGTCGAGTTTGTAGACCATGAATGCAGAAGACACTTACAAGGCCAATGAATTGTTGTATCAAAGACATGTCATATCCTTCATCAAGTTCCGTTGACAGTACCGTGTTTATTTACACTTCAAACAGCACAACGGCTTTTTCTCTTGAGATTACATCAGGCCTCAAAAGACACATTGGCTTCTTCTGTCACACAACAACATGTAGTGTTCTTAGTTCAACTTGGTATCTCTGATAGAGACAGACTGCATTAGTTAAGGCCCCAGACAGATAGAGACAGATAGAGGCAGACAAACAGAGACAGCCCTGCTGATGGAGGTCAGCCAGCTACAGACAGAAACAGCAAGGGCACAATAAGGAGCGCAAAGTTAACTTTTTAATTGTAACAGTGTCTTCTTCTTTTCTTTTCTTTTCTTTACTCGTCATGAGTTTAGTTTGGTAACTTACACAGTGTTAACACTGGTAGTCTTTTATTCTAAGCTCAGGCTCAACCAAAAACCTCCTAAACTCGTTATACTTGTCAGCATGCTCAGAATTTCAAATGTTTATGCACTGAGGCACAACACTGTTCATTTTTGAGCTTCAAAATAGTAAAATGAGCTGGACTGAAATGTGTGGGTTTGATATGTGTAATGCACCCATAAGCACAAGCCTTATTCAGATAGAAAGGTAACATGACTGAGCTTCAGTTAAATTAAACGTGACTTGTCCATTGCATCCATTACATGGAGTGCTGTGTTGATAATCCCTTCAGGTTTTTGCTTTCAGCAGCAGAACAAGATTGGTTGGCTTCACGTGTAAATCCATTTTAGGGGCTTCACAGTAACAGAGGACCATTTAATCTTTGAGATAGGTGTTTTAGAGGATTTATTACTGTTTTGACCGAGGGTCAACACGGAGTGCTGGATCCATACAAAAGTACTCATATTCAATGCATACACCTAACCACTGCTTCCCCCCTATGTATTATGGGCCAGACGGCCCCTATTTCTGTTTGTCCATCTTCAGGGCCGTATGAGCAAAAAATGTATAAAAGAATGTTTTATATCAGCAGAGTTAACATGAATTCATAGTTTTATTTCAAAGCAAAAGTACACACTAACCTTTTGGTTGAACTTTTATGGATCTCCATTTATGGATAACTTTACTATCAAATTTACATGAACTAAAAATAGTGGCAGTTATATAAATCTGCTACAATGTTTCCTCATGAATTTATCTTAAAGGCTGCCAGCTTGATGCAAGAACAACTCATTTGACATGTTACATGCGGCTCTGTATGCCTCAGAAGTTTTTTTTGTCCGTGGTTTGTCCAGTGTTTTTTAAGTTTGTCCTTTTTTATTTTTTATGTTTCTCTCTATCCACAACATAACATAACATAACATAACATAACATAACATGACATAACATAACATAACATAAGGAGGGTTTCTTCCTTGTACCAGTATTAAGATTAAGCTGAAATCAGTGCTTAAATAAAATACAAATGAACTATATACTTGTTGTTTCTACAACTTTCCAGTTAAAGTAGTTATGTTTTACAAAGTTAAAGAATAGTTTTGCTTCCTTCTAAACACATCCTCAGATTTGATGCGTCTGGTTGAAAAAAGGTGATTTAAGGTTAAAGTTTCGGATCAAATTGAGATTTTATTCATAAACGTTTGGGCTCCTAGTTATCCGGTGAGCGTCAGAGATACATGTCTTTAGTTTAGTTGCAGCAGTAACAATGACAGCACGAGGGCAGAGGAAAATCAATACATTTTTCAAACCACCACAGGCGATGGAGCAGAGCCAGAGAGCAGCTCCTGACACACTGCACCCTCAGCAGAGACAGACAAACCCGATGTGGAGACTGCACCTGCTGAACCGAGTGCGTAAGGGAAGTTGAAAGCTTCAAAGCATTTTGCTTCTAAATGAAATCTGGACTGGCAGTCAGACTACCATCTCAGTGGGCAGCTTTGAAACACGCTGATGTGAAATGGGTATAAAATATGTTATTTTACATTTTCCACTGTGAAAGTATACGGATGCTGTTTTGTACACAAATCCAGAATAAAGGAAATACAGAAAGCTCCCAGCACAGGACATTTGAACTGAAGTGTATGCATGGGTATTGTATAAATTGATATAGATAAATTGTATCTATTGTTCTACTCAGCTCACTTTTTTATTATAAAAGTATTTTAAACATTTTTTATTCATTAATAAACACATCTTTCAACAAGGTTTTTGCATTTAATACAAAATAACACCACCAGTAAGAAAATAGTTGACCTGTTCAGAAGAATACACTACTGTTATGTCAAACTGGCTGAATGTCTATGTAGAGTTTGTTAACATACATTGTTTTTTTCAGTTGATGACCGTCAGTTCTTGGCTTCCATAACCTTTTATACCGCTCCAGACATCATGTTTAAACATGTAGCATGGCACATTTGACTATCCTCAATCAGCAGTGAAGAACGGATTCGACTCCTGATCTCAGCCTGTGTCTCTGCTCTGCCCAGCAGCAGCAGCATGCTAAGATGCGGCTGATAAAAACGTCTTATTTCGACCTTTCAAAAAGCAATGCTACAATTCTTCACATATATTTCCATAATAATGAAAGTTTCATTAATATGCATTAGGTTTCCTCAGAGGGGAATCAAGACAACTGGTTGTTGATAACTTGAAAGTGACTTTAAGGAAATTAAATATCAAAGATTATAGTTCATCTCCTCAGTTAGTGGTCCTTTTTTCATTTCTGTTGAATTATCATGTTTACTGGTATTATCTTTTGGCCCAGAGAAAATGTGTGTTTCACAGGACAGGGCTATCACCTTCACAGACTTTGACAGGTGCATGCATAAAGCAGAGTGGAAGAGACTGTGTATGATCTACATGTATCAATACAAATCAATACAATAAATCATTAAGGGGGTCACTGGTAGTCTAGTGGTTAGAGTGCGCGCCTCATGTACGGAGGCTATGGTCCAACAAGCTGATACCCCAGGTTTGATTCCAACCAGTGGCTCCTTTCCCTGCATGCCATATCCCACTCAATCGTCCCTGATTTCTAACTCTATCCACTGTCCTATCTCTAAAAAAAGGCATAAAAAGCACGAAAGAAAATCTTTAAAAAATGTAAGTAAATCAATAAACAAATAACCTCCATGACTTCTTGTAAGACTATCGTGTATTTTAGTGTTAAATCTTGTGTAAGAATGTAAAATGCACGCTATTCGGAGTGCAAATGACATTGATTGTAGATTCACTCAATGCATTATATCTTATGTATGCAGCTTTTTAAAAAGTGAATCTGAGAGTTCAATAAATGTACGAGCTGTGCCTACACACATCCCCACATTGACCCCACTGGTTTCAATAAGGGGGGTCTACATATTAGAGACACCTCATGGCATAAAGCAATACAATGAACAGGGCAACAAACTACAGCCTCTAAAATGACCTTCAAGATGAATCAACACCTGTCTACAACAGAAACTGAAAATCATTACCCTCATGAATGTGGGATTTAAAGAAATGATCCCGTAAGATGCTACTTTAGTTTTAGCTAAGTGAAACTAATAAACTGTATGATGGACAGCATGATGCACATATTCATGGCTACACAATCTCTTTAAAACTTCCTCCTACTAAACACACTCTCACAATCACACACACGCACAAACACAAATATAATGCCTCGCTGCAGAGTAGAACTGGCAGAGAATTAAGGGAAGGTATTACCATTTCTCTGCTCTCTCAGCACCAATGTCTCCTAGACATTCAAGTGGATGTTACATCTTGGGGTAGTCATGAAATCAAGATTATAAAATATCATTCCAATCCCCTCATCATCAAGCAATTCTGTCACTGACAATATAAACTGGATGTTCGTAGCTAAATGCAGAGTAAAGGGAGATTTGAATTTTGAATATTCTAATATAGTGTATATGCTGTATCTGAAAGAGATGGTACTGGAAACTCAATAACATCACAACCTTAAAGGACTTGACCTTAGAAAGCGACTCGGAGAAACAGCACAGATTGGTGTTGGTCAACAGGTCAGGTGGTTCAAACACAGTGACAGTAATCACAGTCAACAGCTCTCTCTCAGAATGATGGGGCTGCAGGGTGATTGAGGTGCAAACTGCAATCTACTGAGAGGTCAAAAGTTAGGGCAGGAATAGGTGAATGAGAGAAGTTGAACTGGAGGAAGACCGACAGAGGGAGAGGGAGATTTGAACAAAATAAATAAAAAAAACTCAGAGAAGCCAGCAGTAGAAAAAAACAGAGAAAAGATGACAGAAAAAAACAGAGAAAAGATGACAGAAGGTGAGAGGTCAAAAGTTAGGGCAGGAATAGGTGAATGAGAGAAGTTGAACTGGAGGAAGACCGACAGAGGGAGAGGGAGAGTTGAACAAAATAAATAAAAAAAACTCAGAGAAGCCAGCAGTAGAAAAAAACATAGAAAAGATGACAGAAGGGGAAGTTAAAAAACAAAACAAAGAGGGTGATATGAAAGATAAAGCCAGAGAGAGCATGGGCGAGCAATCACTCACGGATACAGGTAGGCTGGGTGCCGGTCCAGGTAAGATCAGGCAAACACAGCCTGGTGGTGGATCCTTGCAGTAGGTGTCCCTGTTGGCACTGAAAATCCACTCTGCTGCCCACCTGGCCACAAACAGACAGCACACAAAGAGAGAGTCGATACACTGATGCAAATGCCAATAGGCTCCAAGCATCAAATCTAAAGAGCTTTGAGAAAATACGGCAGATTAAAGTTTTTTTTCTTCCTTTTTTAATGATTACTGTAGTGTGTGGAGGCAGATGGAGGCTATTCCTAGAGGCGATGGCCCATGTGCCTGTTCTCAACTGATGTACAGACTTTAGAAAGTGAGGGAGCTGACTCCATGGTAAAGATATAGGGCCATATGACTGTCCAATGTTATCTGAATAAATGACTCATTTTGAGCAACCATCCCATCCCAGTTGACCGTTTCCACACAGTGTCGTCTTCACAGAACTTTCTTATTCGGCGCTGTTACCTATTCTTAAAGTTGAACAGTAATGCAGAAAATGCATGTCTTCAGCCATTACAAGCACTGAGCCACATAATAAGCTGCCTCTGTGTTCATGTGGGACACATTTCATATCAGAAATTCCACTGAATGTTGTCGAAAAATTGTTTGCACTTAACTTGAAAGTGACACTTTAAAAGCAACAGGGAAGAAATCAAATGGAAAACACTGGCTGAAAGCATCTCAAGGGAGCTACTGAGCACACCAACGATCATGATATCAACATACTTTATGTCTGATGCATTTCAGCAATGCTCCATTTAAACACGCTTGAATAGCAAACATTGCACATTACTTTTGATCTATACAGGAACAATGTCTATTCACATACATAATGGTAGAACAATTCAGATGCTTTTCCTCTGTGCAACCGCCCGCGATGGATACAAACCCGCGTCACTGCATACACTAGCTCTTGCACACACATAACATCATCCAAAGGAATAAATAATGATTCTACCTGGGACAGTCATTGGTAACTTTCCATTTCAAAGAAGACTATATACAGGTAACGCGATAGAGCTGCTTTGTGTTTACACATATCTACCTCTGCCTCTGAGGGACAACAGACAGGCTGCTTCAAATATTGATCACTTGGAGATTTGTTGAAGAATGGAATCATGTTAGTGGAGTATATCATAGTACAGTATATACAGTAGTTCAGGATAATCAAGTCCATATTAAATCAGATATGCTGTGATAGTTTAAATAAACCTTCCTCCAACTAGAAAGGTAATTTCATCAGTCCTGTTTGATATATATTCTCTGGCACACATTCCTCTCAGATAGGGAGCATAGCACCATCCATTTAAAAAAATGTCCATTACAGGTTTTTCCTCATTTTACCTTAAAGCCTGTAGTGTAATTCATGAAGCCGTGGGCAGGTGTCCCTGGGTTTTCACAAGAAGTCCTCGTGGGCTCTGGAACAAGAAATCATTGTCATGATGAGCAGGGGAATTGCAGACGAGCAAAAAAAAGAGAGAACATGACAGAGGGGCAATCACTGATAATGACGAAGCAATTTCTCTCTGGTGTACCATGTACCAGAGGACAATTACTGAAGCCACATGCAAACATGAGCAGAATTACCCTGACATCTTTAGTTTCTTTGACTATGAATTCCTTGGCTTTTTAAATATTGTATTAAATATAGACTTATGAGACTTTTAATCATTGCTGAGACAGAGAGACATATCCATTTGATCACACGTTTCTTGGGCCATTAATATTTTCAGCAACACTCTGCTGCAAATATAAAAACCACCCCTGAGGTAACAATATAAATAATGTATTTCATTCTTGTGAATTAGTTTTGCATTCGTGCCAGATGACAATCCACTGATTGTAGTTCACCTTCAACAGTGTTTAGTTATTTATGATAAGCTGCTCAATAGAACCACCAGAGAATAAAAATTCACAAGATTAGTTTAATAAAATGCTCTGTGTTTTTCTTTCATAGACAGCAGAAATACCTGGCATACATCCAAAACATTTCCATCCTAATTCCCAGGTAACCCCTAAACCAAATGTCATGATCAGTAAAAATAAATTGTGATCAATAACGTAATTGCAAAGTATAGAATTAAAGTTGACTGAAATTGTATACCTTGACCTATTTCTAATGTGGATTATCTGAATGAACATACAGATTGATCTCCTGATTACCTATACATCGAGGTTGAGCTCCACTCCAGGTGCCGTCGTCCTGGCACATGCGTGTTGTTGATCCGACCAGCACGTGGGGGGCAATGCAGCCAAACATCACCTCAGACTTGAAGATGAAACTGCGTCCTTCCCTGTGTCCTTTGGCAGGCAGACCAGGGTCTCCACAGAATTTGGCTGCAGGGGCAGAAATGTGGATTATTGCTGACATGATAAACTGAGGGCCAACACATACAGAAGAAACGGCTCGCATATTTCCTGAGTTGTTCAACAGCACTGATGCCCAATTAAACTGGCACATTGTACAATTCAGAAATGCATCTCTTTTAACCTAATTACACATAAGAAATACGGCAGTAGCAAGTCAAGTGAAGGGAGCAATACGTTGAATCTACAGCATTTAATTCAGAAATAATAAATAGCGTGAAGCGCTGCAGTACTCTTACACGATCAAACCATGATGAACAATGCCTGCAGTGATTTCCACTGATACCTTGAGCTTCGCCGTTTTCTTTAACATTTGATGTGCTTTTTATTCTGATTAATTTAAGAAACTTACTGTAAAATGATTGCCTTTCTACATTATTTGGAAAGTCTTCATGGACAAAATTATTCAAATTGCACTGACATTTTACTTGTTGCACTAATTCCTCAAGCAATTTTGTATTGCATGTGGGCAGATGCATTGATGTCTCAGTATGAATTGCTCTGTCTAAACACTTTTTTGTTTCTAGCAATCAACCTTGCTGGAGAGTAGTTGAAGTAGGTATGTAAGGATTCATCTTGGCAGCAAAAAGAGAGTTGGGGGGGGTCACGGCACTCAAGTTTAGATCAAAAATAATTAGCAAGTGAAATATTAAATTCTCTGACAGGGCCTTGAGGTTTAAACAACTGGAGCCATCTGCTGCCGCTGTTGCTCTTGTATGATATCGCCTTTTTAATAGGACTCCAGCCTCAGCCTCAGCAGATGAAACTCTTTGGATTTTCACTGCTCTCTCTTTCAATTTACTACTTATATTCATCAATTCAAATTGACTGGAATAATTTGGTCTCAGTGGGCTTGATGGGAAAAGTAGTGAGCCATTGAAAAGTATGCCAATGTGCAATTCTATCTATCCTTGATGTATATACACCCATCATTCCACTATAAGAATGCTGGAGAGTGAAAGTCACTTATTAGCTGTGGGAGGTTCAAAAATGCTCCATGTGTGAGAGAGCACAGGCGATGCTACAGTAACAGCATTGAGTCACGCAGCCAGAGCACTGTGGGATCAAGCCAATAATCAGGCAGGCTGCTTCTCCAGACCTGACATGTGCTGCTGCGTGGAGGGTCTGCAGACAGAGATAAGTTCTAGCTTGCTCTCCTCCTATAAGTCAGGAACCATCAGGGGCTTCCAACAGCCAATCCTGACAGAATGGATATCTAGTCAAAGAGGAGATTAGAATCCAGCTCATGCAGGAATGGCTGAATAAAGTCATTACAGCAAATACTGTTATCTCAGAAACAAATCCTTTTTATTCAAAGACGTATCTTCATCTGGAAAATATGTTTGTTTATACTGTAGGTCCCATCTGAAAACCATACATTGTGACTTTCAACCCTGCAGCACCAACAGCTTGATTGTGTTTGATAGGACAACACATAAAGATGCAAATGTTGGGCTAGATCTCTAGTCACTTTTCAAATGACTTTGTAAGACTTTGTATTCAGATGGCTTTTTTTAGAGGGATGACAATAACAGCCAAACAGGTGACATGCACATCAGTCATAAGCCTCAAGCCGCAGGGAAATAATGTACTGTTTTATGGATATATAAGAGAAATGGCCCCAGGCCAAGCAAAGCTCAGCATCTTTAATGCGCCCATGTGTGTGTGTGTGTGTGTGTGTGTGTGTGTGTGTGTGTGTGTGTGTGTGTGTGTGTGTGTGTGTGTAGGTGGATGGGTGAAATGAAAAGAGAAAGAGAGCGAGAGACTAGTCTAACTTTTCTCCCTCTCTCTCTATTTCTCCCTCACTCTCACAGCCTCTCCTCTTCCTTGATGAATTATCAATGCTTTGAAGTAATCAGTATGCAGAGGCCAGATTCAAAGTTGGGATCACAGTCTCTTCCCTGCAGACACATGAACGAGCATTCCCTGACTCTGAATTTTGCTGCTTGCTCTGTGTTTCCCATGTGTTGTGGAAGGGGGTATGATTATACATCTTAATTCTGTTTGTCTTCCAGTGCTTAAAAAAGTATTCATGTTAAAAAATGGACACATTTCCTTTTGCAGATGCAGGGATTCTTCCGTAGTATTACCGAGCTGTAGTTCAAGGAAAAAAAAGTGCTGAGCATGAATTACAATCATATTTCTAAATTGTACAACAGTGTCGGCTTATAATAGGGCTAATAAATATAAAGGTTAATTTTGCATGTATGGCACAACCCAAAGGAATGTTATTATTTCTCCTGTTAGTCTCATTATTTTGTCTCTAAATGGGAAATATCTGCAAGAGTATGTAAAGCCTTAATTAATGCTTGCAGCATATCTTTATATTTGCAGGACAGAAGAAAACTGCCCTTTGAGCATTTAGAGTGGGGGTTTATAAATGGATGCAGTCTATACAGTACTGGTTGGTCTGACCAGTTGGCAATGACACTAACCAAAGACTCACCTTTTAAGAATGACTTTGCTATTAATAATCACTAGCACCTATATAGCTGCTGCAGAGAGTGCTGTCCTGACATTTTAATGCATAGATAATGGCCCTTTCTACACCAAATATGAGCTCTCCTCCCCATTGTTCTATTTTCTAGACTCATTTATTTCCAAGTAAACCTTAGTGATTTATCACACACTTGCTTCCACTTCCAGTACTGTAGCAGAAAGCTAGCTTTAACAACATGTTTAGGAGGGCAAGGTTTATTTAGAGTAAAAAGTAACTTATTGATCACACTAAATGATTTGTATTGAACAGGGCCCTAAATTTGAGTCCATTTTGCACTGGCATTGGACCCATGTGTTCTAGGGCGTACATAATGGAGCTATTAAATGTAATTACTACATCAAAAACAAACCTCTGCTGAGACACAATAAACACCATGGTTACATCATAGGCATTAAGGTTACTCACTCACATATCTGCAGGGGGTGTTTTGGGATTGCTGATGTGGAAAAATGATTTTAGTATGTTGAGGTATTACAATGCCCATCATAATAAAGCAGGAGGTAGACATGCTTCATTTACCAAGTGGAACCTTATCCCATTTATGTCCAGATGACATTTTCTACCCATTACAGCAACTCAGGACCAGAACAAAGATAAATCAGTGCATCTCAATAAAACAGGCAATTGGTTACTTAGTGTTGCCAAAGTAGATATCTGGTCATAACACAAAAATGCAATCCCTTACATTTAAGCAGGTCATGAATCAGACAGCAGTGTCTACTTTGACTTACATGATTACAATGAACGACTGCAGTGTGGCCGTTTAGCAGAGCAATGGCTGTATGAGGTACTCTTCTCCTACTTGCATGGTCACAAACACTAGCAGTCTGTCAGTTGGAATTCAGATACTAAATACCCAAATGGGACCATGTTCGCCTGAATGAATACAGCTACAAGCAACCAAATTATTTCATTAGCATAAATAAAAATAAAAAAAACCCCAGGAGTGACTAAAGTTCTTTTTAAATAGGCTCGGGGGGTGAGGAGGATTTTTTTTGGTAATGATCCAACATGTGTTCCTTAAATGCTATAAACGATCTTATTTCTCTGCAATTCATAAACTCTTGCCTGATGTCAGCGATCGCCACAGTGTGGTTACTTTTTGCTCAAATTATGCATGCAGTCATCTGAAAGCAAAGACTCTCAGAAAGAAAGATCCAATAATCAATCCAGCAGCGATTCAACAGATAAAACAAAAGGGGCTGCCTAAACCCAACAGTTGAAGTGGAGATGTTTCAATGCAGCACAAGTCACAAAAAAACAACATCTTTTACAGTCCTTAGATTTTTCTGCATGAATATATTAAAGTGCCATTTGTTTTTATTCAACTTATAAGTGACAAGCATTCAGAGAGAAACAAACGTGAAAGTATTTCATCCTACTTGAGATTTCATTTCTGTCTGACTGATAAAATGCAAGAATGACTCTGATGACAGTGAGATACTCTCGAGCAGTCATGCATCCCAGGGGTTATTAATATGCTTTCAAAGATGATTCTGAGGAGGTCTTAATGCAGAGAGGAGCATTAGACTCCCCACTTGTAGTTTCACTCTGTGACTTTGTAGCTATGACTCCAGGGCTGGGGGTCAAGTCACTTTTCATTTCATCAAAATGCAAATTGATGGTAACATTTAATGCACGGATGATGAAATATTTATTTGTGTTTCGTATGAACAAGGTAGATACAATGCCCTTCTCATGCTCAGCGTAGCTCGTTTTTTTTTTTTAAGGTAACCACTGGAGCTGTTTCTAGGATTAAGAACAAACACTGCTAATGACAAAAGACCTTGACTCTGCAACTAGTAGCAACACTTACAATCCCCTGTAGTGCATCTCTGCAAAATGTATACTATTTGTATCACAATACGGCTTCTCCACCCAGGCCCTGATGCTAAATTCAATGACTTATTCATGACCTTCAATCTTTTCATTAAATTTAGATCTACTCTTAAGGGGCGAGCAGTGAGGGGGTAGAATGGGATTGCTACAGAGAAAAAAAATATAATTGAATATAAAGTGTGCTGCATGTATGAGACAGTTGTGCAATAACGTGTAGCTTTATTACTATTAAGAGACCTATTTAAAAAATTACGTTATATCAAATGATACAAAATATTTATCTGCTTGCCTTTATTTTTTATAAAAGTATTAGTGCCCAGGTCACCCCTGCTACTCTCTGGAACCGTGTTTGGTTCTCTGTTCAGTGTTTGGACATAATGCAGCGCTGTTCAACAGAGTCGGTGAGGAGAAGTTAGATAACGTTACTATCCTTAAATTAATGATTGTTGATGAATGCAGACATGGTGAGAGTGATGGAGAAAAGTAGACACGATAGTTTGTCACCAATGATTGAGACTTCACTTGGACTACAGACCATAAAGACAGACAGCAGAGGAGCATGAGGCAAACACTGCAGGTATAACAAACGCACTTAAATCTCACTATGTTGTTACAAAAATACTTAAATAATAAATCTAAACTTTTTGAGTCATAAGGCTCAAGTCCAAGTGAAGTCACAATCATCCAAGTTGAGTTTTTAAATCCTTTATGATATTGTCAAGTCGAGTTTAAAGTCATCACATCATCATGTGACTTGAGTCCACACCTCTGCCTCCAAATGTTTATAAATATTTTCAAAATTAACAGATGAATAAGAAAAGAAGTAACATGATACCAGATTTTATTTATGAGTCCAACATTTCAACTATCAGACGTTTAAAGGGGAGTGGACAAAAAAGTAACCCACTTAAGGAATAAACGTACCAAGACCATTTCTTTCAAGAAAACATCATCTACCAACCTCCATAATTATTTCTATATCTATTTTTAATTTCTAAAAAGGTGACTCACGCAAACACTGAGGCAGGTCTCCGTTCCACGTTCCATTTCCTGTGCAGGTGAGCACAGCGGGGAAGGACAGCTCATAGCCAGGTAGGCAGCTGTAGCTCACACTCGTACCCCACTCCAACACTGAACCCTCCAGAAGGCCGTTGGGGATGGGTGGGGGTGTGGGACACGTCACCACTGTGGGTTGAGTGAAGAAAAAACAAAGTTGATAGTGATCATCTGAGAACAATCAATGCACAGAACAGGTACAGTCACGTTTGACTCACAACCACTGTTGATGGATAGAGCAGAGCCAGAAACAGCATAAGGACAGCAGATCTAGCAAAAGCCAAAGGAATATTTTAAATCTAACACGAAGAAGACCTACGATAAGGAGAAGAACCAGCAGCACATACGTAGGTCTTTCTCATGTTGGAAACAGAATCCATACATTTTACATGTTGTACAAGTTAGGGTGTGGAACACAAAGCATTGCGAATGAAAGAGAAATTTTAACTTTCAATAATTTAAATAAAACATGGATGCTACAAAAAAATCCTTAAAAACACTAATGCCTTCTGTGATCTTAATAAAACAAATGAATATAACTCAAGCATAACAGACCTTGAATAAGACTGGAGATAATTAATAAGATTTACAAGGTTATGGCCATATCCTGTTTTTATTGGATTTCAATCAGAATGTTGAATGATAAAGGTTGTACTAATGGAACAATTGAGAAGTTGTGTAATAATGTATTAACATTGTGAATCACCTGCCTACCAAATTCATTCTCACAGGTTTTTCTTGTCTTTTTAAATGCAGAATGGTAACATATCATAACCTGAAGCACCAAAGCACTGCTTCTTTTCATGGCACAACAGGATTGAAAGTTAGCTTTTCAAGCAGGTTAAAGATGAATATATTTTTTTCAAACTTATTTGTATACGGCATGATTCAAATTATGGTGCTATTTTACAGACTTTTGGAGGCAACAGAGGTGGGACGAATCAACCATTCAGCTTCATGTGGATTAAGGCTGAGGGAGAAGGTCTGTAGCCTGGAGAAATGGTCTATGTTTTGACTGTGACTGTGTGGGATTTTTCTGCCGGTTCTGTTTGGAGTTTACTGAATAATTTCTGTGAGAAATGAGGGGATATCTCATGTCTGTGTAAGCCATAAACTTTCTGCTCAACAAATGTCATAAATAAATGCATAATAAAGCTCAGAGTTTGTTCTGACACACTTGAGCTGAACCCACAGGGAACCAGATGGGTTTTAGGGATGTGAATAAATTATAGCAGTTGTTTTATACCATTACTATCTTTCCTCAGCACCCATGATTTTCCAGTCTCTCTTTCCTTTTGACAATGTCATGCATGCACTTGAAACACTCGAACAAAGATCTGCAGATGATATTGGGCTCCATCCAAACCTTGCAACTGTCTGGCAGGAACAGAAGTTTAGTTTACAATCTGGTTTCTTAACCGTCATGTTAACAACATGACGCTCAAGGTGTTGGGTTTTGACAATGCAACAAAAGAGTCATTTTCCATTCAGAAGCACATGACAGAAAAGAGACGGCTGCAGCCTTGTGAAGGCAGACATTACAGACACCTCTGCTTGTCTAAGGTACGTGGCCTAATCTCAGTCTCCACACTCACAGACTTTGAGGGGCATTCTTGCTAAATTTGTCAGGGCTCAGGCCTGCTGCATGGCAAGTCTACATGTGTATAAGGACTCTGATTTGGTATTCCCACCACTAAATTGGTCCCTTTACTGGATTCACCATATTTGCAGACTTTGCTATGAGTTAAGAGCTGAATTGGGAATGTGTATAATAAGAAGGCCCACCACTGAATAAAAACAAAGTAAGCCTTGACAGCAAAGGAAAAGGAAAATGTTAATTATCTGTACGTGACACTGCAATATTGGTATTGTTAAGAGGACAAAAACCTAGATAAAACAAATATAAAAAGCTGCAACCTGGACACAGCACAACTCTGGGGATACCTGACTCTGGGACTCCTGTAATTCAACCTCAGCTTTTAAACCTTTAACCAGTAACTTTCCTTCTGTACATACTTAGAGAACATTACCTTTTTACATCCAACCAACTTGGAATACTTAGTACTGGAAGTCATCATGCTGGTTTTTATGCTCACCAATGAGTCAGAAATATTTCACTAATAAGCACCTACATGTATAGGAGACATCAATTATTAGATCAGTTAATTACAATGAAGTGAATAGCTCTGTGTAGTCTAATGTGACAAAATGTTAAACTGCATATTTGGTAACCCTCAGCTTAGTAGGTTATTTCAGTCTGATAGCCTGTTTTAAATGCTAAAATGTAAGCTTTGTTGAATTTGAATATATCTGCATATTGACTAAACACAAAACGCGTTACTAAAAAAGATTAAGACTTACATTTTACTTGTTGACAAAAATGTTTTAAAAATAATAACTGAACATAGCTTGGGAATAATAACAACAAGTTTGTAATATAAGGTAATCTCATAATGGACAACTTTCTTGCCTTGTAAAGATTGTTCGATTTTTCTTTTTTTATCTACACAACACATTACAGTATATGTGGAGCATGACACTGTGGGATATTCACACATTCTCTCCAAGGTGTTACTGTCTTTTGTGCTGGGTTGGCAGCAGATCCAAAAAGATTTCCATGTGGACGTGTTGCATCGGTACACAGTATATATCCTTTAGATGTATGCTATATTAGGAAAGATATTTAGGCCATTATGAATACTGAACAAAGTATCAGGCAAAGGAAAGTCAAGTTGCAATCTGTTTTTAATGTTTTGTTTTGTAATGTTCTTTCTCCAGGAGAAACAAGTTCATTTGAATTTGTTCTCTTTGATCTCAATTAATTAGTAACGCGTGCCTTTAATTTAGTATTTTTTAGTGCTGTTGCTTTGGAGCCCGTAGAAAAATCAAACTCATTCTGAAATACATAGCTAAAATGTCCAGCTGGATGCTGTGAAGTGAAGAGTTTGTTTGGGTGAGTATGTGTGTCTCCATACGGTAAATCAGTGTGAGAGGCAGAGAGAGGGAGAGGATAAAGAAAGACGGAGGAAGAACGTGTGTGAGTAGGCAAATTACACTGATTAGAGGAGTAGGCCTACTAATCCCATAAGCACTGCATCAGAAATTACTTTAAATAAATCAAAAAAAGGCATGGGTGGCAGATAGAAGAGAATGGGAAGCAGAGAGTGTCCCCATTTTCCTAAGTAGTTCTAAGCAGCATTAGTGCTTCTTAGCTGAACACGCCAAACCTGGGATTCAAACTGAATCCTTGCCGGGCGAGGCTTAGGATGTGTCATCAGCGGTGTGTGTGCACACCACAAACTAACAGCTCGGCCTGATGCACACACACATTACTGTAAGTGTAAAATTATGCACAGAGCCGGCACACGTAAAACCGCTTTGTCTCTTTTAGTCTTCCCCTCCCTCACTGGGATATCAGCTCATATCCCTGCGGCACATCATCCAGATCTTTGACAAGTTGACAGATGTCCCACATCATGAGAGATTCAAACTGCTCACCCTGACTGATCTGCTGCACCTTCAGCTTGAACCCAATCATGCAAAAGAAAAAAAAGCAACTGATCTTATTGGGAAATACATTATTTCAAGTTTCAGATGCAAGAAACAGTAAACAGATACAAAGATTCTATAAAAGATTTATTTTGGGGCTTTTTATGCCTTTATAAGAAAGACAGAACAGTTGATAAAGGCAGAAGAGAGAGAGAGAGTGGGGAATGACATGTCGGAAAGGAGCCACAGGCCGGATCTGAACCTGGGCCACAGGCATCCTGGAACTCCTCCTCTCTTTTGACTTTCTTTAATTCATTCAGCCAGGGAGAAAAGAGAGTGCAATGTGGAGAGTAAAGCGATGGAGGTGGTACCCTGTGGCTCTCTGACTGATGCACTGGTCAGTATGAGATTGTGGTGATAGCAAATCAGAAAGATGTGCAAGAATCTGTGCCTATACTGACATGGGAATAACAGTTGTATAACATGATGCCCCCATGTGATTGTCAGAATTCATGGTGGTGTTTGAGTGTGTGTGCGTGTGTGTGTGTCATGAGTTAGGCTAAGCTCAAGGGTTTTGCTCCTCTCCACGCCACCCCCATTAAGCACAGCAGCATCGAGGCCGAGTGCCTGAGCTGTTGCTGAACTGTCAAGGATTAGAGCTCGGAGGTTGAGAAATTCACACACTTTCATACACACGTGTGCCCACAACTTTTGAGTGTGTCGCTCCACAGTTCTGGGACTGTCCATTGATCCAACAGATTCAACAAACTAAGGAACAGGGCAAGTTAATAATGAAGCCCACCCATGCAACATTACAAATCTCAGTGTCAGTTTGGACTTCTAAGGTACAATAGAGCTTCATGAGGGCAAAACGTGTGTGGCTTAAAACCCCCTTTTCCCTATTACATGAGCTAAGGAAAAGTGATGACATGGACTACCTCTGGGTCTATAACAGCATTTTGGACACCGAATATAACTAAGGACAAAAAATAAAAACACAGCTATTACATAACAACAATAAAGGTCAACTGGCTTTATGTTTTTACAATCTGTGATACTTGATCCCCTTTACATGAATTGCTCTATTTGATTGTATATAACATTCTTCATTTCCATAGCTGTGTATGTCTTCTACCTGTTTGTCTGAGTGCATGTTAGTATCTCACAGTCTGCCTCTTTTTCTCTCTTGCACATTTCATTTTTACTTTCCCATTGCTCAAGAGGCAAATACAATGCCAGCTTGCTTCTCACCGACTGAGGCAGCAGCCAGAACAGTTCCTTAGCAACAATGAGCCACTGTGTGCCTCGTGGGCTCCTTTTCCTGGTGTACTTTTTGAACTGTTCACTGCAAAAGTTAATCTTCCCTGCAATACTTACTTTTGGGTTTCGATGGCAGACATGCTAATCTGTGCCTCCACTCGAGCATAATGAATCATGGAGTGATGCGGTGCTGATGGGCGTACAGCAACTCGGTCCTCTAGGTGGATTTTTCAACTTTGATGTTAATCAAGCCCATAGAGTGCCCACAAACTTTTAGAGAGAGGGAGCCAATGATTAACTGTTGGAGTACAATTAGAGGGGTCCTTGTTGTAAGGAAGAGGACTTGTTGGCCATCCATCATCGTGTGTCAATGGAACTTTTAGCTTTGGCTTTGTGCCAGCACAGGTGCAACTTCTACATTCAAGTGTGGGTGAAATGACGTTGTGCGAGATCAAGGGCTCTGAAAGTGATTTTCCCCCTTCTTTTTCTAAAAGCCAGCTGAGCTATGACGTCTCTAATCCGGGGACTTGTAATTAAGGGATGCACATGGACATAGTTAAGAAGAACAGATTCAAATTTTATGTAGTGTTTATGTTGTTGCATGTTTAAGTACTTAAGCATAAATGCTAATATAAATAGATGCATTTGCATAAGTGAGTGTTGGCGTCTGAATCACAGTCACACGGTTTTATTCATCATTTGCACCTCGTAGTCAGCACACTGACGTGTACAATATGACACTGTCTGACCACAAAGAAAGTTCTGTATTACCTTGCTTGCTAATCTCAATAGATCTCAGTAGTAAGCATATACTTCATATTGTATGTGTGCAGACAGCAGGCATGCAAAGGTTGTTACAGCATGGCCTGATGGTTATCAAGGTTGACTGTCTATTGCAGCCCGTGTCCAATGCAGTCTATGTCAGTGTGCACAATTTGTGGTGAAACTAACCTTGGCATGTTGGCATGGAGCCACTCCAGGTGCCGTTGTTGGTGCAGGTCCTGGTGACAGTGTTGTCGCCACCAATCATCACGTACCCTGGCTGGCACATGAACGTCACATTCTGGCCCACAGTGATGTCATCACCCAATCGAAGTCCATTTGCAGGAATACCGGGGTCGCTACAGGTGATCACTGTCATTAAAGGTCAATTATAAAAAACTTACATTAGATATCATCTTAAATGGTGTTGATGAAGAATACATAAAGCATGCTGAACTGGATTTTGGTATAAACTGTACATAAAGAATGAAGCATCAACCTATTAACGTAGATTTTCTGTATTCCCCCACAGATGATTTTTACTCTGAGCATTCACTTCATAGGTTGAAAATGGTTTTGCTCATGTTACATTTGATCCCTTGCCCCATTATGCCAAAATGCATTTGTTATTTTTGATCAAAGGAAGTATACAATTTGACACAAAGACTGAGGGCTGATTTATAGTTTTCCACTCAGCATTAATAATAATCCTCTCAGCCACATATCAGAAGTATTAAAAAGCTTTAAACAGCAGAGCCAAGTACATTTGTGAATGACGAATATGGCTAACCAAACTGAACATTAGTCAGAGTATCTGCAGCTCGACCCACAATCCTTCACAAGCAGTTCATACTTGTTACAGTGATGATTTACTGAACGAACGCACATTGTACAACAGACTGAGGTTCAAGTGAAGCAAAGAAAAACTCAAAAATATATATTTGTTACTGAACAAGTGCTTATTTTGTGGCTCTCGTTAGTAACTTGTAATTGCTCCATCTAGAATTTAGTTCAAGCTGTCAGCATTTGAAAAAGAGGGTTAAATTTTTTGTATACAAGTCCATCACAGGCACATGAAACTGTAAAGACAACCTCTTTAAGATATGGCAAAAGAAAGAAATAAGAAAACCTGTCTTTCTTGAACTGTATTTATTAAATTAAATGGGTAATAAAAATGATTTATGCCAAATATGTAGACACAAAAAGACATTATTTCATTTAGAAGGCTTGATAGCAACCATATATATTCAAGTGATTGATCAACTGCATGAAAAAAAGGCCAATGGACACTTCTGCACATAAAAGATAAAAACGATGAAAAATGTTTTTGCTTTGTGTTTGTTGTGATTCATTATCCAGTTAACCTCAATAATCATCATGCATAAGGCCGCAATCACACTGAGACGCGAAACTACAGGCGTGGCTGCTCATAAAATGCCTCAAAAGCGCGTCGGGAAAAACAGCGTGGTGCGTCTGGAGCCAAGCTGCGTGCCCAACGGGACGTTTAAATGTTAGAACGGTAACAGAAAAGTGGATTCAAACAGACTCCGAGCTCTTGCCGTTGCTGTCCTATTGGATGAGGAGGGGGGAAACAAAAAATAACAAGAGATTTTGGGTTCATGATATACTGAACAAAAGGAAACAGTATGGTGAATGCCTCCATCTCTACGTCATACACACATCAGTCTGCAAGTATGTTAGAACATAACAATAACAAAAAGGCTTCTTGTATGTTTTAGTAATGTGAATATAAGAAACATTGAGAGAGGTTGATGAAATGGTCGTAGTCGAGTAAAACATCATCAGACAGAATCTATTGTGCCTGTTGACCTAAGAGTGACGGATGCCTCTGTCATTCATAGTAATCCTAATTGCAACTAACTTGTGTTTTTCTAAATTTGAAATGAACCACTGTTGTTATATCACGTTGAGATATCGGTTTGTTTTTTTCTTGGTCTAGGTGAGAACTCAGAGAAAATAATTATCATGTTGGAGAGCTTCCCTCCCCCAGTAACTGTTGTTCACAGTCTTTTCATATGCCTGTTTCTTGGCTGAGTGTTTTGCTGGATGTATTGTCAGGTCTTAACCTAAAGCTATCTTGGATTAAATTGTGAGTTTTTAGCCTCTATTTGATTGCTTTTTCATAGCCCTTGTTTAATCTTACAACCCGTATTTATGCCTGCTTATTACAGAATCCTTCCTGACTTGTTCAACTTCATGTAAGAAGCCAGTTTGATGCATATGGCTGTCCGTGCAAACGCCTCCTCCCTTAAATCAATTTCTGTTTGTTTATTACTAGTTGCTGCCAAGGACTTCAACACTTGGACATATTCATCATCGCTGGCTGAGGCTAACTTTTTTTTTATCTTGACAGGAAACATCTGAGAGCTTCTGGTGGGTACAGAGAAAAAGGGAAGTCTTGACACTGCCTCCTGCTTGCTCTGTAATTAATCTAATTCACCATGTATCTATTTTCAAAATCAGCACAAAAATAAAAGCCTGACAGGTAAGACAGTGCAGTGCAGATAAGCATGTGAAATGAGACTAATGAGACTATCTGTACAGCCTTGATGTTTATGTGATGGCTGACAGAGGTGCTCTGGTCGTTTCTTGTGTGAGTTTTCTGTTTACTTGAAGAAATATCATATCACTACATCCTCCTCCACACCCTGTTTCTGTAATCTATGTGGTTAAATTACAGGGCCGTGAGGACTGGTGAATTTGATCTAACTGTAATTTTGGACTCTTAATGCACAGTTGCTTTCCTTTTAAGAAGATTGTGTTAAAAATTAGCTTGTCAGACACATTTATATATTTATATAATTATTTATTTATTTATTTATTTTTATAATTCAAGATCCCAAGCAGGACAATCTGTGTATTTACTATGTCTTGTATAGTTAGCACAATGCTGGTTTGCAGTGTCAGTCAGGTGTTTTTTTTACCCCATTCCATCCTGAGTAAGACTTAAAGTACCAAATTTGAACTTTGAACAGATTCTTCACTAAGTAATAAAAATATAGCACATGGAAAGTTGTATGAACAAATAACAGGTCATTTTGTTTGGGTGGATAATGGAGCCATTTTTACATGACAGGATGTTAAATACATTTAGAACTGGTCACAGCATTTTATTATAAAGAAAAACATACTGTGTGAAATCTCTGACTAAAATGTCATAACAAAGCACTAGAGGTGTTTTTTTAAACTGGTCAAACCTTACAGCTGTTCATCAAAGGAAGAGAGACTGGTATTCCTTCAACATTTTCATTTCATACCTAAAAGTCGTCTGCAAACACCACTGTGAAGCTTATCCATCGCATAGGTGTTACAGGGGCTACATGATAATGTCAGAATGCTAACATTATTAATGCTAACATGCTGGTGTTAAATAATGATATAGATAAAGCCACTACTGAGTGCAAAAATCTGCAGTTCCTCGACTGTCCACTTGAGGCTGGCTCAAAAAATCTTGGAAGTCACATACACACCCATATTAAAATGCTAATTATAAAAGCAGAAATACATGTTTACAGGCCTGTTCAAAACACTATTTGAGTCTGTAAAATTCATGTCTTTAACCGCACAAACTGTGTGGTATTTGAGTTGAGGATAAGAGTTAAGCATTACTAGGGGCATTACTGATATGCCTAAGTTGGTGCGCTGTAGGGCAGGAGGCCTTAGCTCCACCTCTTTGCCTGTTACTGAGAGACAGCATTTTCAATATGACAACCACCATCACCTTCAACAAATGGTTGATGTCACTGAGACTACTTCCATGTGTTATACAGTCTATGTGTCCAAGTATTGGAAGAACTTATTTAGAATACAAGTTAATATGAGTCACCTATATCCTAACCAAACACATTATCTATATATAAGCATGTTGTCTTCCTTAACATTAGCCAAAAGCAGAAGACATACAAAAGATGTCTCAAAACTTTCAACTGTAAGTAACTGGAGTAGAAGTGGAAAGTGGAAATGTATTTTCAGATAAAGAGAAAACAAATGTGTGTGCATGAGTGTTAATATTTACACATGCCTGTCTTTCTCTAGGAGTGAAAAACCCAGTCAGTCAGCACAATGCAGAAAAGCTGCAGGCTGTTGACTTCAACTACTTAACTCTATGCCTTTTTCCATTCTGTAACATTTACTTGCTTCCAGGAAAATTGGCTACTTGGAGAAATAAGGTTAAGAAATCAGAATACAAAAGAGTTTACATGCAGGGCAATAACCTTCTCCGCTCTCTCTTTTTCCCTCACTTGATCATATTTTTAGACCATGCTGACATATTCCTGATGTGTTATGATGCTGCACAGGAAGAGTTCAACTGCAGGACAAGATCTGTAGAGTAGAAGATAACATAACTTATGCAGTTTATGTTTCAGTCAGCCTCTCAATGAGGTGTTTGCAAGACCACCACTGCACTGAAGATACTCAACTAATTGTTTAAATGAGATAACTGAAGAAATTAGGCAGACCTAGTGAATTATAAATGCACTAATGGGAAATGGGCTCTGAATTCTTCACCCCAACCCAAATACCTGTTACCCAATATCCACAAGAAGAATCCAATACCACTGTGCTGGCATTTAAAGTAAGAGAGAGACGGCAGGGGTCAGAGAAGAGGAGAATACTAAAAACTGTTGATATAAATCAAGTGGATCCCAGCATGTAACAAGGCAAATACTCTTCCTGAATGATCAGTGTTTACTGTTTATTTCATAAAGTACTTTATGGCTTTACTTCACAGTTCACTTAGTGTTAGTCTTAGTTAAGTATTTTCCCTAGGGCACTTCTTATAATTCACTAATTCCTTAACATGCTCTATAAATCTCATTTATCAAACATCCAGAGGTGCAAGAAGGGGAATAAAAGGAGAACTCTTCTAGCTCCCTCCCCTTGAGAGTATAGTGTGACTTTGATCCGGAGACCTACCTAATCGATTACCTATGATCGGTGAAAAACGATTACCTCATTAATGAAGGCACTCTGAGCCAATTCTGTCCTCTCAACTGTCCATTTAAATTCAATGTAAAGTGACAGAGTGAAGTCATAGAATACTAAAAGATGACAATAAAGCCGTTTTCACATAAGCACATCTGAAAATATATCAAACATTTCAGGAGTACTGCTCCTGAAATGTGGCTGTTAACATATGCACTTCACAGCAGGAGACTATCCCTGTTGGATGGGAGGGGTGGGGGGGTCTTTTGAGTCAAGACATGATGTAAAAAAAAGCAACAGAGTCCGCTATATGGCGCTATAATGGGAATATCTGCCTTTATATCAATGCTTTGGTTAGTTCAACAGAATCACAATGTCAACAATAGAGCGGAGAGGAACAAACCAGTCAACAGAAAAATTAATGCAGCAAGTTAATCAAGTTCACTGGGATCATAGTGATCGCGTGCATACAGTCTGTGCACTGTTCACAGGATATAAACATCATCACCCTCTCCCACTGGTCAGTGGTGGATTCTTTGGATTATATCCTGCTGCATTCTCACATCAGCTCACTTGGACTTTAAGCAGAAATAATACTAGGGGGCTGACAGGAGAAACTCTGAGCTGTTTGGGTTCCCACATCCTGAAAATATCAGGAGTTTTCAAGAGTTTTCTGCAAGTGTGAAAGCCCTTTAAGTTTGGTGATGAGCAGGCTTGATTGTAGGAAAAACGGGCATGAAAACTATTTGGCCTTTGATCATAATTATTCAAACCAATTTTCAATCTTTTTATCTTAGTCCCTCCCTCCTCGTGGATATCTCTCCAGGGACTCATTTCATTCCAAAAATTTAAAATTATGCCCGTACCATTTATCTTTTCTTGTGATTCAATAACAAACAAAAAGGAATGAATGAGGAAGAGATACTATGGTGATTTTCAGAGGGAAGAACAACGTGTAATTTCCTATGATAGTCATCCTGGTGCAAATTGAATATAGATTGGCATACTTCTTAATTACTGCATGGCTCATTTGCAGAGATTCAGACAATAAAAAACTGTCTGACAGTTCTGACGCTTTGCAGTGAGAGTGGCTCAAAGAGATTTATGCACTATTTGAAATTTTAAACCCTATTTAAGCACCACTGTTCACCACTCAGCAAAGCATGGAGCAAATCATCTTCTGTCCTGTTTGTGTTGATTCTATTCGGAGGGGTTGATCTGTCTTCGATTATACATTATATGTTTAATTTAATTTCAGTCTGCATCACATAGCAAAAAGAACGGTGGCTGATTCAGTCTACTGTAGTCCTCTGCATTTATTGTGACTGACATGCCTGGCCATGTGTGACATGTCAGTAACAGCTCAACATCAGGACAGCACTCTGCTCATCCTTGACGCACTCATAACACCCACTGACATCCTGATCTTTTATGTCCTATATGTTCATTTTTCTGTTATTTTTCCTGAATATATCAAATTCTTCGGCTGCCAACATTGGTGAAAGTGTGACTGAGCTAAATGTGATCAACCAATTGAATTGTATACTGTCACATTTTTCTGTTCACAGCAAAGCTATAATTGGGACTATGTCTGACCGCAGTGAGCAGACAATGCATTTCTCTTCTTTTAGTTCATAACAAGAAAACTGTGCAGCCCAGTGACCTTTTAAGAGATTCCACCAGACCAAGAGACATGACTCCACTATTCCCTCATGTTTGTGTGCATATTTAACTCACTTGTGCAGTTTGGAGCTGTGCCAGACCATGTGCCATTTGCCAGACACTGGCGTGTGGGTGAGCCGGTGAGGAAATAGCCTTCAATACAAGAATACACGATGGAGTGGGAGAAAGTTGTGCCATCCACACGGGAAATTCGGCCATGGGCAGGTGTCACAGGATTACTGCACTGTACAGCTGCAAGAGATGGGAGAAAGACATTAAGAGGTGAAGGTCAAAGGTGTGAAATAGTATTGAATTTTCTATTTTCCATATCAGTGATTCACCATTTGAAGGCTAGGAGCCCCAAAGGTGGCTGCAAGATGACTTCTGAAGGTCTCAAGATGATATAAGGGCTTTGAAAAATATATTCTTTTCCATATGGTGTGAATAGAGAACCTGATGAATATTTGTAGGTCTTAATCTACACCTTGTTGGTCATTGGCTTGGTTTCCCATCATGAGCATGTGCTTTACATCATGGCATTTGAGGAAGAATTGTTTTCCTTCAAAAGAGGCTTTAAACCAAACCTGTAAAGAAACACTGATCCATTCAGCATCACAGCTTTATTTAGAGAGTCCAATGAGCAGAGCTGATGCTGCGTTTGACAAATCCCTGTTACTTTATTGAAGAGTCATTAATAAATACTGTAAAGTCAGTTGTCAAGTCCCATAGCACACTCATGGTAATGCCAGTTAGTGCTGATGGAAAAAAAAGAGGAGGCATGTGGGAGTAATGTCAATAAAACAATTTGCAACCGTGCTAAAAAGACTCAGGGTTCATCCAACAACAACATACTTAAAGTCATTTAATTCAACTTCATAATTAATAGATGTAGAATCCAAATATAATTAGGAATAACTTTCACCTTGTATTTTTGTTTTTACAATATAAAGCAAAAATATAAAAACGAGCAAGCTGAATCTCCTGCTTAGTGTTTCTTTAGATGTTCACTCTCCCTGGAGTAGAAAGGACATTCTGCAGTGGACTGGAAAGTTTGGCTTTTATTCTAGGCATTCCTTTAAAACATTTCAAGAATATGCCAAAGAAAAACAAAGATTAAAGAACAAGAAGGGAAAGAACAGGGTTTCTTTCATCTCTTTTGTTCTGCTCTGAATAACTTCTGATTATGAAACTGATTGCTCTAAAAATCACCTAATCACCTGGAAATGGTAAAGTGTGTTTCTTGTAAGAGACAGACAAGTTGTAGGTGCACACACATGCCATTCACACACTAGACACATTCACACACACACACACACACACAAGACATATGGCAAAAATAAAACATGGCCGTCTCTTTGGCTTCCTCTTTATTAATTCAAGGCAGACATGATGACAGAATCCCAAAACAGACCTTGATGGTATTGTGAGATGGATATTATTAAGCTTAATATCCACAGTGACTGTTTTCCAGGAACTATAAAAGGCTGTAGATAACGGATGGATGGGCTTTAACAGCAGACAGGGCTTTAGATCAGACACAAACAGCACTGAAACTCATTCAGGCTCCAGTGAATTTATGCCCCCTCCTTCCTGAGGTTGCTAAAACAATCTTTAAATCAGGAATTCTGCAGGGAGATGGAGAGATAAAAAGATAGGTAGGGAGAGAGAGCGATGTGGGGTAAACTGAGGGGAGGTAGGGTAAGGATGAGCAGTAGAGAGTGAGAGAGGGAGACAGAGGACTTACAGATGGATGAGTGGACAGGGATGGAGAGACAGCCACACAATGAGATTAAGATGGAGAGACATCAGGGAAGAAGCGAGTGAAAAAGGCCGACATCAGGGACCATGAGGGATTGAGAGAGACAGCAGAAAGAGACAGAAAAGGGGAGACACATGAGAGATGTAATGAAAGGCAGACATACAGAGAATCGTCAAAGGGGACTCTGCATAAAAGATGACACTGGCACTGTGCCAAGATGGTGGACAGTAGTGAGAAAAGGAGAGCAGAAGTAGTCAAACATGAGACTCAATATCCGGTTGACCCCTGGGGGTAATTTATGCAAAATGTAGAGCTGGCATTCTGTGAACTAATATCTTCAAAATCCACAATGATTCATTTATCACAATCCAAGAAGAACTTGGCTTTAGGTGACTAGAATTAATGAATTTTTTGGTTGAAATCTGGAAGCCTGTCACAGCACCAAGAGCTGGCAGAAAATACCAGACTGCAGCAGAGAGATAGTTATCCATCTGGTACAGTACAGTGTTTGTGAGCTTTGTAATCGTTTGTGTGTGTGTGTGTGTGTGTGTGTGTGTGTGTGTGTAGGTGTGGATGTTCACTCTAGTCACATTACTTATGCACATAAGCTCATGTGTTTTATATGATGTGTGAAACTGGGGACAGATAGGGTTCAAAATGTTTTGATAACAAAGTTGATCTTGATGAAAACATTATGTTAACCTTTAAAAAAATAAAAAAAAAGAGTCAGAACATTTTAAAAATGTGTCTTGAAATTGAAAAAGAATTGTGTTCAATTCACCTTTTTTCCTGAGAAGTTTTCTTGAAATGAGTTAGACTATAAAAAGGTGTAAACTGCCATGATTGACAGCTCTGTTGACAAATGCTGCTCCTGCATCAGTGTGTGCACAGGATGAGTGCACATGAGTAAAGGTGAAACGATGCAAGTAAATGTAACAAACACTAACAGAGAATAACATTTACTTTACATAACAGTGAGTTTCTGCTTCCAGAAGATTCTGTTCTGCTTTCGACTGGACTGACCTGAGGGATCTTTGCCATTTAATCAGGACGTTAAATGTCTTAAATGTCTAGCTCACGTGGTGTGCTACCAATACCAGAGCTCTTCCAGCTGAACCCTACTGTACAGACTGTGGCTCCAAAAGAATGTGTCAGCACCTGTCATATGAGTACTTTGTCTTCACTTTTGTACACAGGAGGAGGTTGAGATGCATTGTCCATTTATACTACCAATTTTGTGGCGCTCGCTTAATAGTTTTATTCAAAACTTTCACCTGTTATCCATTTGATTTGTTTTAAAACCGGGTTATACATGATCCAGATAAATATATAATATCAACCTTGGTACATTTTGAAGGGTCACTGCAGTAATGTATTTCCATTGATTAATTTGGTTACAAGACAAAGATTTCCAAAGGATAAATCCCTAGAGCACTGGATCCTACTTTTCCTATGACTCAACTAAATAGTGTATTTTATTCACTGCCATGTTATGAATGGCCATCTGTTTTAAACTGCCTTCAATCAGTTGTAGTCCATGTCTTTATGAAAATGACTATGAGCCGCTGTTGAGATATTTGGGCTTATATTTCACATGTACAAAACAATGATAAAACACAGGCTGATTTTTGTTTCACTAACAAGTGAACTACTCTGTATGCAAGAGTTGATGTGGTCGTGTCCTAGCATCAAACATAGCAGCACTTTGAATAAAAATACAGAGTCTAGAATGAATTCATAATCAGGTCATGAAATAGGGATGATATTGTAAAAGGACAAGTAAAAACACTGATTACTGAAATACTGAAATTCTGATCCTTCTGGACAGTTTCAATATTTATTTATTGGGACATTTGCACTAAGGATAAATAGGTGTTGTGGTCTGGTACCCTTCCACATTTAACTATACAACTCTTAGTATAACTGTATGAGTTTTACTCTCTCTCTGTGTGTGTGTGTGTGTGTGTGTGTGTGTGTGTGTGTGTGTGTGTGTGTGTGTGTGTGTGTGTGTGTGTGTGTGTGTGTGTGTGTGTGTGTGTGTGTGTGTGTGTGTGTGTGTGTGTGTGTGTGTGTGTGTGTGTGTGCGCGCGTGTGCATGCGTTTGTTTGTGCTGCCTCTCTGCATGACTCCAGTACACTCCTCTCCCACTGTTACTTACAAAACATCACAGACACATTTAAGAGATCTTCCTTACGTTTGCAGAACGGCTGTCTGCCTGACCAGGTCCCGTTGGGAAAGCATATCCTCTCTGCTGAGCCGTACAGCGTGTGTCCCACTGCGCAGGTGAAGCGCACCTTGCTGCGCACTTTGAAGTTTCCCGCCTCCCTGCTGGCATGGGCAGGAGTTTGTTTGTGCTGCCTCTCTGCATGACTCCAGTACACTCCTCCCACTGTTACTTACAAAACATCACAGACACATTTAAGAGATCTTCCTTACGTTTGCAGAACGGCTGTCTGCCTGACCAGGTCCCGTTGGGAAAGCTGGCATGGGCAGGAGTGCCAGGATCCCCGCAGGTGTCTGCCATGTCGCCTGCATTGGGAGATAACCAGACAAGGAGCGATGAAAACAAAAAACTAAAGATGACATTCACTTTAAGTGTCTATGTGTGTGTTCACAGATGGGACCTTTTAAAATGGTATGGCAGTGAAATATAACCCAGTGTTGGTGTAAAGCTGTAAAGCAGAAGGATGATACAGAGAGGACTTAGACTCAAACTGTACATCTTTTGAGCCCTCCAGGAAGCAGCCATAAAACACACAATGCACCAATGAGCAGTTGTCACAACGCCAACAACCTGGAGGACCGATACGTTTCATGGCTTTGACACCAGGAGTTTTCTGTCCATAAAAAGAGCGTGGCCAGCATTAAAAGGCAACCAGCTGTGGTTATGAGAAATGATGAATACAGTTTGACCTCTGAAGCTAAATGCATTTTTTATTATCATGAATTATCCTTCCTGTCTTTTCTCTTTTGGAGGAACATACAATACTTTTAGTATCTTGCACTACTTGTTTTGCACACCTATGAAATGATCTCCTATAAAATGAAGCAGTGTCTCCTGTAAATTCTCCTATCATGTCCCCATTAGAGCTGATCCTGTGTGGATGACAAATGGGACTTGTTCTCTGTCTGAGCCACTGGAAAAAAAAAAAGAGGAATGACAGTAATGGCATCAGCGTTCCATGATGACTGAACATTTGATGTTGTGATAAACAGCAAGCGAAGCTGAGTGGTGTAAGGTTAGGATGAGTTCAGAGGATGGGCTCTTTTGCATTACAGGGTATCTTCAGAGCAGAGGGAAAAGCACATAACACAGAAAACACCAGCCAGCACTTCCACTGACGCAGATTCAATTCTCTAACAGATATGACACCAAGAGCAAGGAAAGAAAGGAGCAAAAAGTTCTGCATCAAAAGCTAAAATATCACAAGGAATGAAATAGATTGACTGACAAAGCAGACAAAGCATACAGACAGATAGATAGTCTACTTTGTACCATATCTGAAACTGGGGCTGTACAAGTTCTGTGCGGGTGGTCTTTGTGTGAAGGATCTGTGCTTTATTGACTCTGAAGTCTTGTTCCTTGAGCTGTACGCACACACTGCATCATTCACTGTGTGCAAGACTTTGTCAACAAGTCCAGTATCACTGCTGATGTTAGCTGGTCTTTTAAAGAAACACTTTAAACACTCTATCGTCTACATACATTACCTGGGATAACCCGTCTAGAAATCAGATTATTCATGTGAAAGGCTAAGAGCTGGTGCTTGTTTATTTTTGCACAAGGCTTTGGTTAACATTGAGTGTGAGTTCATATATGAGCAATGTTGCCTACCTTTGCACTGCATATATGTGTGTAAGAGTGTACTTGATACATGTGGGTGTTTATACTATCCCTGCCACTCTCTGCATGTATTTACATGCACTTTTCTTTACAAGTGCATGTTAAGTATGTATACTTGTGCGTTGCCTGTGTGTTTAGATGTCCACTTGTGTGTGTGCTTTACTGTATGTGTTTTCATGTCTCACAGCAGCTGTCGGTACTTCATTAGTCTCCTTCGATTAGGTGAGGCGGTCCGGCTCAGCATGCACTGTGACAGCTATAATCTCACTAATTGGGATGGTGGTGGATTTGGTTTGAATCGGAGTTAATGTCTGTTCACCAAGGCTCCCTTTGTGGGGAAATAATAAGGCTTTCAACTCAGCCATGCAACGTATGGGGACAAAAGGGGAATGGCTTGGCAAGCAGTTTTAAGCCCTGTCTTGCTAATTAACAAAGGAGGATGGATGAAGGGAGCATAGATGCATGGATGGATGGATGCATGAACACTGGCCTTGACTTCTTAGGAGTTTATAGTCTAAATTATTGTGTTGCTATTGGTGATGAACACTGAGAATTCAAATGTGCAATTAAATAAATCCCAGTCCCGCTGACAATAGACTGTGCAGCAAACCCCTCTGCAATGTAACTTTAAAAATGTTGCAGAAAGCAAATGGAAAAACTAGGTGCTAATATGTACACTTTCACTAATTTAAACTCTCCATGCTTCATCACTACTTCAGTTCCTGTTAGCAACAACCGGTGTCCAGCTGTGTGGTTCTAATTCTTCCTACAGCTGTAACAGATGTTTACTGCCATGGGTCTGGATTCACCTCTTAGTGATGAACGGGTGTTTCACAAAGGAGTCTGTTTTGCATGATATGTTGCAGATTTCATAGTAAACAAACGCTGAGTGATACCATTTAATTTTACAATGTGATGACTGCATTTACAATCTAATTACCATCTCCAAAAAAATACAAATTTATCAAATCTGAGTCCCACACCTCACAAAACAGTCTTATAATTATTAACTAACATCTGTAAGTTGTTTATTTCAGGCTATAAATGCATTTTCACTAAACCTGTTATTTTTACCTTTATAAAACTTTTGATTTGGCCTTTAAATAAGTCACAATGATTTTTCTTAAGCTCATGAAAGTCAATGCGTCATTTTCTGATTAAATTCTCTCGTCACTGACCCAGGAGCATTTCTGCTGCACAAATTCCTCCACAGGGGTTTCCTCTCTAAACACCGAGTGCTCTTTGACAATTTAAATACTCTGGAACAGATTAATGTTGGCTTTACTTATCTCACTTTTACACTGATGGCTTGATGCTGATTAGGTTTAGGACAAGTCAAATTAAATGTTCCAAATGTCGTGTGGTGTTAAATGTTTTGAACAGATAAAAACAAAGTTCATTAGCTGGGTGTCTTCAGATAAACAGAGGCATCAGAGCTCATGCTGCTTATACACAGCTCAGGATGAGTGATTCAATTGAATATAAAACAACATACAACAAACCATCACTTTCCAACAGGCTCATTTGTCATCACAACAGGGTGCTGATCAAATTATTTCAGTAATAGATGCCAAATTGGTTTTAAGGAGTAGGTGATGAAGAACAAAAAGGGTTTCAAAATGTGTTTTTCTGACCACAAACATTAAAATGACATGCATGATTAGATTCTACAACATATCATTTCAGCCTAAAAACAGTTATTAGGCTGCACGCTGTGGCTCATTATGATGGCAAGAGCAGAGGAATATACTCCACCACACCATTTCCCCTTTGCTTTGCTAAACTAAGAACAAAACATTAAATTAAAACTTAAACTATGAGATCGATTTGAGCTCCTACAGTATATGAATGTGCATCTTCTTACTATTCTTCTTGCCTTACTTTACTACTGCTTCGCTACTCTCCAACTGTCTGAGTAAATACAAACTATCAAAGGAGAGTAGAGAGTTCACACTCCGTTTACAGGAGAGAGAAAAACACCGTCACACAAGTGTGCTTACAAACATTACTTCTGGGCCAGTGAGTTGAACAAACTGAGTGAACATTCAGTAAAGGGAATCCAGTGAAAGGGTCAGGAATGTTTAAATGTGATGTGAGAAAAGAACACGGAGGGGATTAATGGGAAAAGTTTGTAGTTTGGCAGACACAAACCCACACACATGGTTTTAGCAGGTTTTCAGAAAATGTCAAGAGTATAGTTTGCAACTGTGTGTTTTGAAAATTGGCCACAAAAAGTTGTGTTGTGACTTTTGTTTGTCCAGAGTCTGCACTTTGGTTGTGTCAGACCAGATGTGATATCTTACACTCAACTGATTGTTAATGTGGGAAGCAACATTTGATTCTACACATTCATTGGCTGAGGAGAGAAGTCTGTGCTCCCTATTACTACTCCAACTGTAGCCAAATACAGATACTTCATACAGTATACACCACAAAAAGACCTGTTCTGTTAAGTGCTCAAACTTGCTAGTGGAAATTGAACAACAACGGTCTAATATTTTGGGAGGTACGTATCATTGAAATAAACCTGTAAGAGCGCTTTAAAGGCTTCTAGTTTGGGTCAATTACTGGTAAGCTGCCTCCATACATTTCAGCCTTGTTGGAATGGAATAGTGTAACGTATTTCACTTGTTCCAGTGATTGGATGGTACTTAAGGTCACCCGAGCATATTCACATCTTGGAAAGATTGCTTTTTCATTCAGTGCCCCTGATTCCTGGAATGTCATTCAACACGTTTTTGATGAAGACTCTTCCCTCTTATGCAGGCCTTAGTAACGGACCATTGTGCATTAATTTGTAACTGTTTTTAGCTGTGTTGCTGGCTGTTTTCTGTATATGGTATATTTTCTTTTTAGCTGATTTTCTTTTTTTTCCTTTCCTACTCGCTTTTATTTGTGTCCCTGCTTTTACGCCTTGAGCTCGACTTCACTGTAAATGAGGGAAACCTCAGTGTCTTCCAAGTTAAAATAAAGGTTTTGAATTGAATTGACTCAGTCGGGATGGTAATTATCATGTGTGTGATTGTTTCCCTTGAACCTCACACAAGAGCTAATAATCGCATGCATTTTTGTTCTAATCAAATAACCCATTAAAGCCAGGACTCCCACATGTTTTCACTATGTGTGTAAGTGTTTACTGTGGAGCCTGCTGTAGGGATATAATGCTTTCGATGTTCGACACTCTAATCAAATAAGAGTTGTATGAGTTTTTGTTTTAGTTCTATATTTCAATGATTTCACACTCACTTGTTTCTGCAGAATCAGTGTCCTGATTAGTCTGTACATTGCAGACATTGATGTAAACCCTTGACTGAACTACTTATGACCATGTCTTCTGTAGAATATAAAAACATTTTAGTATCTCATTTTTAAAGCTACAGGCATCAAACACAGAACTATATTAAACTCTGCAGTACTGGGGTGATAGTAATCATAGACACAGATATTTCAAAAACAGCACACATAAACCAAAAAACTACAGCTAGCTGTGTGGCTCATTATCCACTTGAGATTAGTGAGAAAATAGGTCAGGCTACACACAAATCTTTCCAGTACTTTAGAAAACCTCTTAACAGGAAGATAAAGTTCAATAGAAAGTGTACAATAAAATAAAAAACACAAGTCTTTAGCAGTATATTGATATCGTTTCAGCATTTGTTTTTATCTACCTGAGCAGTGAGGCAGTGGACCACTCCAGTGTCCAGACACACATCGCCACAAATGCCTTAATAGCTTTCAATAAGCTAATATATCTATATATATATATATATATATGCTAGGCTAAATATCTTCACATTATTGTTATGTAATTCACATCCTTGAGAGTCACCTCTGCTGAAGTCAGTGAATATCCCGTCATAATGTGCTGATGGAAAACATGACAAAAAAAACACACACAGGTTGATCTGCAGTGGTGTGAGCTTTGTATGTTTAGGTAGTTTGGTGAAACTTGTGTTGAAAAAAAATTGATGGATAATTACTGTTACTCACTCAGAACTGACTTCATTGCCGTGATAATATTTCATATAACGAGAAAAGATTAGTTTTAATTTTGTATCTAAATTCAACATGATGCTTATCAGATAGTACAAGGATTTGATTTTTTTAATGTTATTTTAAAGTTTGTTGGAGCTTTAGTAATAAGCTTAGACTTGTAGTGCAAAGTAAGTTCCTGTAATTTTGGAAAGCTAATTTATTAACAAAGAGTCAGTGACGCCTGTAGCTGTGAATAGAGTCACACACTCCCGTGTATCTCTTTAATTATCATTCTGTTTGATAAACTAAATGGGGGATGCGTCATCTCTCTACCATGAAATGAAATGCTTTGTGAGCCTATGTGCTCAATGTAGAGGTTTACTTTAGATCACTTCAGCAGAAATAGGTCATTACCGTTGGCAGTCTCAAACAAAAGTAAAGTACATGATGAGCCAGGTGTTGGTGAGCAACATGAAAACCTCAGATAACCCCTACTGTTCATGGATGGTTATATTTTGAGCACTTGGTTTAGAGGGAACATTAGCAATAGCCTGAACAACTGCTCCTGTGACAGTTTCTCCATTTCTAAATTAGGAACAGTGCTACATAACCATATGCTACTAGGACATCAAACTACATATTGATGCTCTCAGGCAGTGTGTTTGGCAACTTGCACCATTTTATTTAAAGAAGCACATGAGGACACAAACAAGTGTGTGAATACTCAGTCCAGACTCAAAACTTTCCCCCCAATGTTTTACTTGCAACATGTGTCCTCAACGTATCGGCTGCTGGTTTGACTCCTGGTCTCTGCACTTTGATGCACATCTAGCCCACTCTCTCCTTTCTCTTAAACAGTCCAATCAATTAACACAAGAAGGCAACACAAATCTTGAAAATAAATAAATAGATAGATGCATGTATGTTTTCAATCACAAGCTTCAAGACCTCTTCAAAACAGATAAACATATGTTTGTGATAATGAAGATCCGCTTAGGGTCTTAACTACACTGACTCCAATAAGGTCATTTCTGGAATGAAATAAAGATGGCACTTTCCAAAATGCTGTAGGAAAGGCCCTCAGAAAAATCGACAAACCATTCGGTGATGCCATCATAATCACTTACTTCCATTATAATATCTATGCCAGACATATAAAAAACCTTAAAGAATCTGCTTGTAGAATTTAGCAGCACTTATGTTGAGGGAACAGTTTGCAACCTGCTCCTTCCAACCTGACTCAGCAAAAACCTTGAAATGGCCTTAAGGCCAGTTTGTTCATTCTGGGCTACTGTTTTTAACATTGTTATGAAACATAAGAAGTCCTGTTCTGTCTGTAGATTTAAAGATCTCATTCTAAGGTAATGGAAACAAAATGCTTATCTTCAGTTAATTAGTTTCTCTTGAAACCAAGCTTATGTATATTGAATTCCATTTCTGCCAAAAGACCTAAATCTTACACACTGGAACTTTATTAATAACAAGAATATTTAAATGATACAGTTGCAAAAGGTATAAAAAAATAACCACTGTACCGATGCATTCTGGGAGAGGTTTGTCCCAGTGGCCCTCCGGCTGGCAGGTTAGTACTGATGACCCGAACAGGTAATATCCTGGGTTACAGTCATAGAAGACCACGCTGCCAAAGGTGAAGTTCCCGTGCTCAATCTTACTCTCCCTGATAGAATTGGCAGGGATACCCGGATCTGTGCAGTTTACCACTGGAAGACAAGAAAGAAATACATAGGATCTCATGAATTATTCACTCTGTTTAATCATGATAGGAGAGAATTCATACAGTAGCATACTGAAAGCAGTCCAATTAAATTCTGATTGCTGCAAGGATATCTCAGAGAGGACAGATGTTTTCATTGTAATTTCAGGCAAACTGCTGTTAGAACTCCATGGTCACATTCCTTTTAGCAGATGAGGTTTACCTTTCCCTTTATTTCTTTTGACCTAAGTGCAGTCATATAGACTCCATTCAAAGAATCAGTATGTTATCAATATACTCTTTTTTTATATGCATGCTTTGTTGTTGCAATAATGGTTTCATACAAATACATTTCTTCTTGTTCTGAGGAAGTAATGGTTTTAGAAGCATTTTAAACCCATATTGTGAAAACTGTTAGTACTAATATCCCTATGCATAAGGTTGCTATGGCAAGATACTCACAATGCACATCAAACCACCACATAGCAGGAGGTGGAAAATAACATTCATTCTTCACTGAAATATTGTATTATACATAATGTATGTGATGCATTGTACAGGGTACATTCATATATTCAGTTTATGCGTTATGGCTTTCTATAATTGACTTTTTTTATCTACTGCATGTTTATCTGGACAAGAGGCAATCTGGCATGAATTATTTGACCTCAACATAGCATACTGAGATAAAAAAATAAAGACAACCCTCAACATTATGAGCACCACCCACAATCGTCACCAGGGATCTGACTTCTCTTTTCTGGAAACTATTAGTCCTTTTTCTCTGGTTCGAGCATCATTTGCGTGGATGCAATCTGTTAGTATATGCACATGTGAGTTATAAATAAGTCTTGATATGACCTGAGCAGTGGCTTTTTCTGTTTCTTCTACAAAGAGGGAGACAAGTGAGTCTTTGCTATTTTTAAAGCACTGCCAATCATAATAACAACCAAGGCTTCCTCTTGGAAACAACAAAAACAAAGGCCCAGTTATTGTCACAAATTCAAAGCAAACAGTCAAGAGGCAGCTGAAATCTCCAAAAACGCAGCTGACAAGCTGGTTGAAAGCTGAGAGTAGCTGAGGGTGAAATTAAGTTCAGCGCAACATCACATTAAATCAATATTGCAAATGAGCAAAAAGCTGGCTTAATGTAAGAACATTTCAGTGCAAATACATATTTTGACAACAGGAGTCATGACAGTTAAATAAGATTTTATTATTTTGATCTTTTACCAGGTCTGTCTCTGCAGTGCAAATTAAAGATGGGAAAACTGTGTCTCTTCGCATATTTCTGCCAACAAAACTCATGCCAAGACAAGAGACATTTCTAAATGGGCAGAGCTTGGCAAATTTAGCGGGGCTGACAAGGTGCAGAAGAAGAAGACCTAATTCATATAGTATAATGTTAAATAATTTCTTCTTGTTTAACTTTTCTTAGCCAGCTGAAATCATATAGACTTTTCCAACCTTTTAAGTACAAAGTTGTTGTGCCCAAGTCTTGTAATAGTGGAATATCTTTCCTGAAAAATGTATTGCTAAGTTAGAATTAGTTTAGGACAACAACAAATGTAATACAAAAAAACCAACAAAACTGTGTGGATTGCTGCTGATTGTAAACACAGCACTAATGAGCCGTACCTGGGCAAACTTAAATTGGACACAACACAAACATAGCCACCATCTGATACAAACAGTAAGATGTCTTCGAGATATAAATGTACTGAGCTCTCTTGCTTTCAAAGTAATCTCCCCCTGCAGCAAATGTCCTGGTAAAAACTGGCTGGAAAATTGCAGAAACAATTCTCCATTTATGCTTTTCTTTCCATACATCCCGATGCAAGCTCATTATTACGCTTTTCTACGCTTTGTTCTAAGATAGTGACTTTTCTTTTTCAGATCAATAGATATGTGAGCATTACTTTTGTCCATTCTGCACCTGTTTCTATACCCATGTATGCTGACAGTCACTAGCTGCTGATTCCTGAATGATCACAATACATCTGCTGTTTTCTAAATTATTCTGTTATCCTAGCTTGTGATTCCTGTTCCAACCCTCTTGCTGGATCTTAGTTGCGCTTGCTGGCAGCTACCTGCTCCACTGATGGCTAGCCTGATTCACAGGAACAGAGCGAGATGGAAGTAGCTCCTGTAATCAAACATTAACACACCTTTAGTTGATGTGATACACCAAAGTAGCCCTCTTCAGAAATGATCACATCAGATGGTTAATGAGATGCAAAATAATGTGACAGAACTGCTAGTCCCAAATTATTGTAGTACATTCTTGCTTTCACGTTCCCGTCTGTCTCACCTCCTGAGGCAATGTGTCCGATCTGAGCCACAGCTAAACATGCTGGCAGAGACGAGCAGCTTTCCAGTTCAACTGTCAACATACATCAGCTTCCTGCTGATACTTTGTCAGTCTAGCTGTCAATCATAAATCCATTCTCCCTTAGCTCAGTGGCCGGACTTTACCTCTGCATGTCGGTGGCTGCTGGCTCCACTGGCGGCTGGCCTGGCACTGGGCTGTGGAGGGACCTTCCAGGGTGTAGCCTTTGTTACAGGAGAAGCGCACCATATCATTGTAGTTGAAGCCATCCCCTATGGTGCGGCCATAGATTGGGCTTCCCGGGTGGCCACATGTGACAGCTGAAAATGACGCACATCACCCGGGGATGTGTCAGGAAGCGGGAGGCAGAGAGATGATGATGGAACATGAACATCAGCAGAGAAAGGGTACAAACAAAAAGGTAAAGAGGAGATGAGAGAAAGAGAGGGGTAGAGAGAAAGAAAATTCAATAACAATGATCAATAGGTGATGTACAGTGACACCTACCATAGGAATACCATTATCATGTAATTAACCTCAGAGGACAACACGGGGAATTAGGAAGCAAGGCATTACCTTATCACAGCAAGGTACACAGCATATTTCAGTGTATCAATAGGTGAAAAGGACACTGACAATCACATTATGAAGATAATTATTACTTATTACAACTGACTTCAGTGCTAAGTTCTAAGACTTAAAGGATGGGAAAACATTCATTGAAAGCATTAGCTTTTCTTTCTTAGTAATACAATATGCAAAGCATCCTTAAAAAGTGATCAAATTAAAAGCCAAGATCCAAAACACAATTCTCTCTGTAAGCTTTTGTTTTCATTTGAACATCAGTGTCCATGATGAGAAATTCTGAAATAACCAAGCACACATTCACTTCATCTCTCTTCAAGTTAACCAGGCAGTGGAAATTGTTGTTTGAGCACTTACATATACAAACTGGGAGGAACCCTGACCAGATGTGGTCCTGCTGGCAGATCCGTACTGAGGAGCCAATGAGCCGGAATCCAGGGTTGCACTGGTAAACCACTGTGTCTCTATAACCAAAGTTTTCCCCGACAACCTGCCCGTTAACGATCTGCTCTGGAACGCCACAATGACCAGCTGTAAGATAATAAGAGAAAAAAAAACAAAGTACTGTCAACATCTCTTCTTTTGCTAAATGTTTGTTTCTTTCAACAAGATTGTGACAAAAGGAAAACTTGCACATGACAAACACAGTACATGACTTGTAGTGTTTGTTCTTAATAACACTCTGTGGTCAGAAGAATAGGCAGCGTGAAGGTCCTTTTTTTCCAATAGGCGCCATGTATTATGCATGACTCACAATGACTTAACTTAATCATTCCTGTGGTGCAATTCTTTAGGTCAATAGAATTTGATAATAACAGCCTACAGAGGCATTTACTGAGCAACGGATGGTAGTTGCAGGGTGGAGACACACTTTTGATTGTGTTTTCTAGTTGAATAACTTTGCATTTTGACAACTGTATTATAAAATGAAATGAGGATAATGGTGATTTAAAAGGTCTCGGAATTATGATGCTGGCGAAAAAAATTAGTTAGCGCATTCACAAAACACATTGAATTTGAAAAGCATTTTTCAGCATCATTATCTCTGAATATTCTTCTAAATTCATACTGGCTTCTGCTTAACTTGTGTTGAAAACTCAGCCCTTCTCATCTACAGTAGACAGAGACGCATGTGAAACTCTTTAAAATCTGTGCAATACGTTCATGCACATGATCGTATTACTTTCAGCTACAATAAATCCCTTTTAGAGAGAAGGAATCTCGCTTAGATTTCCACTGCCACATAAAACATGGGAAATTGCCACTGACTGTGAGTTTGATTTCCCTAATTCAATCCTGCACCCAGAAACTCAGCTGAGCATTTTACTATCACACTCTAGTTGACAAAGGCCAAATTCTCTGAAGATAGTGCTGAAGTAGGCCACCATACTAAGAGGTCCATGGCTATGTTAGCCCTGACAGTCTTATAACAAGATAGAGGTGCTGGTCTTTTAATGAACTGTACTAATCTGGAGTGAAGCTTGAAGTGCTGGTGCCACAGGGTTGATGAATAGTCTAATGCATGTGCTGGAGAATCCGTCACATTGTGCTGCTGTGTGGGTTTGAATGCAGCTCAAGCAATTATGTATGTCTCATTTTCTTCCAGCACAGTGCAGTGATGAGTCGTGGTAAGCTTGGCTGTAGCATATTTTCCTGTTTATGTATCTTTACAAAAGCTTAAGGCTTTTTGGTACAAGATGGCATATGTTTTGTAGATTCAGTCTAGGTGTGGCTCTATATGGCCCACTCACATTTAGCAATTTTAGAAACACCACAACCCCCTGACTCTCAGGCTATACTGCAAAATGCTCGAGTCAACCATAGGACATTACTGTAAGTGACATTTCACAACTCTCTGTGATGTCAGAAAACATCCTGATGAGTGTCAGCCTAAAGGCAGTTCTGAATTGTAACATACCGTAAGTTATTAGCACAATGCCAGAACTGCATAACAAAAAAAACTGCACACATTTTTTTATTTTTACTGTTATTGGCTGTATACACTCAGCAAAAGAGCCAATTGTAGATACTTTTTACTTCTGCATCTGGTTCTATTCTGGGCATGATGACCCAACCATAACAGCTCATATTCTGTCTGGATGGATCGTCAGCAGTTTTTGACCCAGGTCAAGCCTATATACTGTAAAGTAAAAGAGATCATTTAGACTGTGCTTACCCAGGCAGTGAGTCTCCATTCCACTCCAGAGGCCTGACAGGAGACACTCTCTAACTGTAGATCCGCTTAAAACATAGCCAAGGTTACAGCTGAAAATGGCCGATGCTCCAAAGGTTGTTTGGGTCCCGATTTTTTTCCCATTAGGAGGAGTGGGCACATCACTGCAGGAAATGACTGCAAATAGATAAGGAGGATAGTAAAGAGAAGGGAGGGAGGGATGATGGAGGCAAAGAAGAAAACGAAAAATAAGACAACAGGAGAGTGAGCGAGAGGGAATGATAGAGCAAGAAAGAGGAGACAGAAGTTGGCTTACATCTCCAGTCAATAGGAGAGGACAGTCATTAACACCCATCTTACCGACCTTAATGCCATAAAAACATGACCTGTACTATTTCATTGTGAGGATAATGAAGATGTTTGTCTTTGTCCTAACATCTTTCATCATGCTGGCTCGTATCTCCTTTGCTAATACACAGGCTATTCAGTTTTTATGCTACCTAAAAAGCAGTTCCCATGGCAGCATAGAAAAGATTTTCCTGCAATAAACAATATCCAACAGAGGCTGGGACTGAAAGACGTGAAGAATACAAAATCAAGCTGCTGATTTAGTGGGCTGTGAACAAAATATTTTTTTCTGCATTGTTACTATCAATGAATCTGGTATGAGGTGAGTCAGAAAATAGGTTTTGTATAAAAATATATAAAACACTTTTGGTTCCTTTCACTGTAATGTAATGTCAAAATATGAATTCCTTGGAAAAATTATCTTTTCAATTATGCTCAATTTAAAAGTCATCTTCATTTATTGATTTGAGATATCTCTAAAATTGTGACAGTTTTGTCTTTTTGCTGCAGTAAAAGTTATCGGTACTTACTTTTACAGCGAGGCCTTTCACTCCTCCAGCTCCACACCCCGTTGGACAGGCACTGGATATGGGCCGGGCCAACACGGTAGTATCCAGGGTTGCAAGTGAAGATTATTTTAGTTCCATACTCATAGTTGGAGCCATTGACGATCCTCCATTTTCCGTGGTCAAGAGAGAAGGAACTGAGACTTGGGCACATAATGACTGTGCCCAACAAACAAACAAAACAAAAAAACACAAAAAAAAAGAAGAGAAGGGATTGGTTGGGGAGTGGACATTATTAGTTTTTGGATTATTCAAATGGACTGACTTCTGTTTCAATTTCTTCTCTTATCCCTTGTACACACAATGCTAAGTCAAAACCTACAAACCTATGTAACCATCCAGCAGTGTAAAGGAAATACAAAACTGTGCAAAGGAATTATAATCAGGAAAAAAAACATTAAGTCTATGTCAAATGTAAATCGCAACTTTTCTGCAGTAACTGTAAACAAATGTTTTTCCACAACAAAGTTGTTCATAGATTGGCACTCTCTCAAACCAAATTAGTTTCAAAACAAACTGTTTCCTTTTTTGCCGTGAGTACATATGCAGCTGGGAATAAACACTGGTCTCAATAGTAAACATGTTGTCAATCACTCGTTATGTTGACTGTCACACTGTGGGGAGTGGAACTGGAACTATTATTCACCATTTCATATCTCTGTGTATTACTCTACCAAACAAGTCAGTGATTTTCTAATAACACAGCATATCCAGGTTCTATTGGGACTGCAGTACTCATTTGTGTCCTATTACAATGCAGGGTATTGTTAATACCCTGCACCCTCAAACCTAAAATCACTGCCTTCTCCATAACACTTCATCCCTGATCTTATCTCACAAATTCTCACTTTCCCTCTCCTCAACCATGCTATGGCTTCTTGTGGTTACCCCATTTCTTTACCTCACGCATCCCCCCTCCTCAAGACCCAAGGCCTTCCTCCCTCTAACATTCTTTACTCACCGATGCATCGGGGTATCTTGTTGTGGTTGCTCCAGGTGCCGTCTGGCTGGCAGACTGAGGTCGTCAGCTCTTTGGAGGAGAGCCGGTAGCCGCTGTTGCAGAAGTAGGTCACCCGAGTGCCGACGGAATAATCAGCAGCTAGCACACCTCCGTTCACTGGTGCACTGGGCACACCGCAAGACACGGCTGCAAGAAGCAAGATGACGATTGTCGACTCACAGGTTTATGCACAGTTCAGGACACATGCAAGCATGGTTTGCAGAGGCGGCTGGTAGGCACAGACATGGCAGGCTAACAAACATTCACTTTAAGAGTCACAGTTTTGGGAGCAAGTGTAGAAAACACAAGCAATACAAAGTGTTTAATTTACAATAGCTGCTGTTTGCTAATTACTATGTTAATTTTCCTTCAAATGGTTACTAAAAGAAACAAAATGAAAATAATTACTCAAATTTGATACCAAACATCCCTGTAGAATTCTAACAACAGACCTTATTCATGGCAGACACTTTGACATGTCACAGCAGGGAAAGAACAGGTGTAGTTAATACCATTAATTTGGACTTCATTCTGTTTAGTTGAGCCGGTGACAAAGCCCTGGCACTGTGCATGCTACTGAGGCTGGAATGGTTTACTTACTAGAACACTTACTGGAAATGAGCCATCATTAACAGAGTTGCACCTGTACTTTCTCTGCTTTTACAAGACAAAAAGTCACCAAGAGGGTCACACGTCCTAATTTGCAAAACAGTACGCTAACCGGCACAGACTACATTTATTCTGTTATCATTTAAGCAACTACATCCACCTAATGCATTTATAATAAGGATGTGGGAACACATCTGTCATGTCAACCCTTCGTCAAGTCATTTTGTTACACTGTATATATTATAGGCCACTGGATCCATAAAACTGCTCTTTAAATCTCCTTGCTGGAGAAATCCTTGAAAATATTACATATAGGATTGGGCCCTGGAGGATGGAAGTAATCCAACACTTTGCAGAGTGGTATGACATCAAAATGAAAGTCCTCCATAAATCTTTCAGGGATTTAGGAGGTTTTCTATGTTAAATAAAAAGTTATTCACTGACTTTCAATTAGCTAATCAACCGAGTAACTCTTGGTTCCTCTAACAATCTTATTTCTGTCATTTGTCAATAGTTAGAGCACAAAAAACTCAAATGACATATTTAATTAGGAATAACTTATTACATTTTGTACAAGAGTTCCAAAGGTAACTCTTCCTAACATTTAGATGCTCTCTACGACTCCCACACAGCACTCTGTCCTTGCTCCAATGCAGTCTGAATCTGGGTTATGATGGCCTCAGAGCTCAAACACATAGACAGCTAAAGCTAGTAGGTCTCAAGGTGTTTATCATCAGAGCTAAGGCAGAGGGAGTGGGGAAACCAACATCTGCAGGGCCACACTAAATGAGAACAGTCATGCAAACACACTCGGTTGATGCACGCTGTGAAACATCAAAGTTAGGAATCTGCCAACATGGCCCACAGCTATTACACTGGCCCTCATCAACCCAAGAGAGAATCAATCAACATTCATTTGTGAGTACTGCTAAGCCACAATCTAACAGATAGTGATCATTAAAGCATTAAACACTTTTCTATACTGCAGACAGAAAGTTACAATGTGGGATAGTCATCTTCATCACAGCTTATAAGGTCAGTGGGCCTGAGATTTAAGAAGATCAATTTTCTTTCTGAGATGCATGAGCAACAATGATAGATTTATATGATTCATTTTCTAGACCTTTCCAACAGTATGGATTAAGAAAATAAAGGATTGGATAAACTGTAATGGGATCTCAACCATCTAGTGGACAGCAGATGGGCAACATCTGTATGAATGCTTGAGTTTATGTGCTCTGAAGAAGCTGTTTGCAATTACCAAACTTGACGGAATTTATCACAGGTGGGAAGTGTTTTTAAGTCTCTTTAAAGTATATGACATACATATTTTGATTTAAATGCATTCTGATAAAATGCAATCAAGCTCACCATATGCTGCTGTTTGCTGCTGTGTGAGTTTCTGTGCAAGTGCATGCAATCGTAAATGCTCACATTTCACATGATGTGCGCATCAAAGAACCCAATTAGTTGAGTGAGTCCAAACAGCAGCAGACACTGCATGCTAATGGCAAGTTAGCCAAAGTAATTTGAAGAAGTGGAAATTGACAAAAGAAGGGAGGATTGATTTCTGTTCCATTTCCACCTGACAGAGTTCTAGCTCTCAATCAGGCCAGATTCAGTTCAGCTGCTACAAACACAGGAATAGAGCTCAGGCTGAGACACTTGGCTGCCTTAAGCGCCTGCCTGTCTGCCTGCTGAGCGTGGGGCAGAGGCAGTGACCAGAAAACCAGGAAAGAGGCAGGCTCAAGTAGGAAATAAAAGGCTGCCAGGCCCGATGTGCTCACCTTGACAGGCGGGAACTAGCGCGTCCCAGGTGTAGTAGCCATAGGAGGTATTCTTGCACACAGCTGAGCCCTTTCCGATGAGCTTGTACCCCCTGTCGCAGGCCCAGCGCACTACGCTGTTGAGATGACCCCCTGTCTGGCTCACTACAAAGCCGTGCTGTGGGGAGTCCGGAGTACTGCAGTACATGGCTGCAATAGAAGGACAATAAAGGAGCAAGGAGAAGGAAGGGGACATGAGTGGCAGGGAGAGAGAAAAAGGAGACAAACAGGAGAGATGGTGAGAATCAAATCAGGACAAGGAGTAGAGAGCAGCAGACAGTAACAGTGCAAGAGAGACACAAGTAAGGCAGAGAGAAGTGAAAAGGATGAGAAGGATGATAAGGATGATAAGAAAGCCCCTTTAGAGTCAGAACCTAGGGAACATGTCTCTTCACAGTAAGGCTCCATTTTAAACGCAGAAAGATAATGAGGGAAAAGGCCTGAGGAGTGTCACATCTATTAAGCACGCGGGCTGCATGCCACACAGTAAAGGAAGTCCTCAAAGTCACATTATCACTATTCCTCTTTGGCCTATAGGCATGCACGTTTTCCATTTCACTTTAACACATGCATTTCTGCTGTATCCTCCAGTTATTTGTTGCATTGCCTTTCGTTCCCTCATCTTCAGCCCATCATACATAAAAATGTTCATTTTGATTTCCAGAATAGTAGCACCAGGCAGCTGATAGGACAGGAAGATACAGTGGAGGGATCTGAGTCTTACAAATGCTGTCAAACATTGTTTAAAAACCAGCATGACTGGGAAATAGCAGGGATTTAAGATGAAAAGACTCACACCGGAGTTTAAGTCAGCTCCTGTTCAAGTCAATCAAGTCAATGAGGAGTTTTCTTTACAAAATTCATCACACCGACTTGCTTTCACGGGAACACTCTCGTGTATTAAATATAACGGCAAGACACGGCATGAAAAATAAATGTCTTTGTGCTTTTTCCATTATTATTGATGCATTTCGATGGAAGAAGATTCCCTCTGCTGCTCTTGCTTAAGCCACTTGCTTCATTAAATAGCAAATTAAGAATTTAAAAACCTTTTTTAAATGAAGGAGTGCAAAGTGGCATGGAAGCCTGCTGTGACTTTGTTACTGCCTCATGGTTTCTGTGTGAAAAAAAAATCCTCCTGTTGGGAGCTATTATCATTCTTGTGAAAATAAAAAGTATTTTTCTAAATTAACGGATATTAAAAACTTGATGAATAATATCCTGAAACAATCATAGCACACTGTGAGAAAAATCATGGGGTCACATATTCACAGTACTATACAGAAGTTTTAATGAATATTTGCCCCTATGAAGTATTAAAACTTGTTTAATTCAAGTGTCTGAAATATTTATGGCTGAACCCATGACTTTTATCACTTTCCTGTAGAGAGACCAGTATACTCAAATTGCACTAAAAAGAAGAATATTATTATAAGCTGGATACATACTTTGATACTCACCCACATATCTGATGTGGAAGCCACGCCGGTTAGTGCCGTGGTCAGAGGACCAACGCAGCAGGAGCTGGTGGCCTGTGGTGGTCAGGTTGAAGGGTGTTTCAATGTCACCGCTGAGTGAGGCCATGCTCTGGCTGTAGATGTTAGGACCTGACACAGAGATGGACATAGACAGAAACACATGAAAAGTTTCAGAGAAAGATCCAGGTTAAAGTAAAACTCAAATGATGGCAGTTGCAGTCATTAAAGAGAGGATTATGTAGCGAAACATAACAGATGTGCTAGTTTGTGTTAGTTCTCTGGATTTTTCTGACAATAACTGGATTACCCTCATTAAGAACCCACCATCAAATATCTCCAAGATGTCAAACTCTTTCTCTGTCTGGAATAGTTCAAAGTGCAGAGTGATGTTGTAACCCTTCTCCACATTGATCAGCCAAGAGCACATCTGGAGATTTGGGTAGTTTTCAGGGAAGCCTGGACTCAAGATCACCCCAGTTGAGTCAAAACGCACCTCGTGGGCTGGACATTGGACTGGAAGAAGATAAACAGGAGAGAGAGAGAGAGAGAGAGAGAGAAGAAAAGATGGGGGCATGAAACAGAAGAAAAGAGGTATAGGCAAGATAAGGTGAGGAAAGTACCGTCTTCCCTGTCCACATCTCAATGCAACACTGTGACAGTAGGAATTACATTGAAAGACTAACTAGTCCTGAAACAATTACATTCAGCCCTTCTTATATTGCACCCAGGGGCTGAGCTGGTAAATCTGTTGTTGTCACCATGCTCCCCTGGTATCAATCTATCATATAATAATAATCAGTGGGTGAGACAGCTCACTTTGTATGAAAAGAATGGTGTGCATTTGTGTTTAGACAGTGTGTGTCTGCTTGTGTGTGAGTTTATTTTGTATTGGCTAAGAGTAATGCGTTCATTTCCTGATGTCTGGCAGCTCTGAAATAAAGACAAGTCTTTTTATTCTTTCGTTTTCTTTTTCTGCCGGTAACAGAAGTTTCTCTTTTGGGCCTCTAGTGAAGAAACATGACACATTGAAAAGGTTAATGCGAACAACTGTTCCACATAAAAAGGTCACTGGAAACATTCAGACATGTATCAAGAAAAAAAGGTGTAGGAGAGAGTTGTAACACAAAGCAGGATGAATATTCCTGCAAAAGTTTCACCCAGAACAGCCTTTGGCTAAAACAAAGTAACAGGCAGAAATGATCTGCTTACAGTCAGTCGCTAATCTTCAAATGCAAAACAAAAGCCCTGTGTGGGCATCAAGGTCAAGAATATGTGTACATGGCAGAATCCATATTTAAAGAAACACTGTACAGTATTGAGTAGGGAGGCCACATCTTATCTTGCATTATTTAGACAATAAATGAATCAGACACATTTCTTAACTACTGTGCCAATGCCTGGAAGTTTGTGAAAAACATGATCTCTATTGTTCAGTGCTTTGTAGTGTGAGGACTTTTCCTGATGACCCGTTTGTGACTTTTGTATTTCTAAAAGCAGTTTCATATTTCTATATTCCCAACCTCTTTGCTTTCTTATTTTATAATGTGCTCTGTGATTGGCTTATAGTGTAGAACATTTTTAAACATGACTGACCTGCTTCCTGTTAGACATGAGTTAGTGCTTACAACCAAAATAACAGAAAATGTACACTTTAAAGTGAAAAAAATAATAAAAAGGTCATTTTAGACCTCATATTTTCAGTCTTTATAAAAAAAATCGGATTTTTTTTAAACAGACAAAATTTCCCCAAAGGAATATAAATCTTACTTATTTTCATGCAGTTGAGAAAATTCATAAAAAACAAGGTCTGCAGAACTGACTTTCTCTGGCCCAGTAAAGACTCTCACTGGTGATATGCTAGAGTTCAACAATGAGTCTTCAGTTCATACAGTTACATCAATTCTCAGGGCTGCTTCTTCAGCTCTGTCTTCAGTAGGGACCTCTGCTTCTTCTGATGCCAGCGGGAATATTTGTCATAGAGCTTGCACAAATTCAGTTTAACAGAAATGTATGAAATATGTGAGTAATTGCTACCAACAGCTGCTAAATTAAATTATATCTATATATATATATATGTATGTATGTATTTATTTCTCACATATAATTCCACACTGGACTTATCAAACAAAAGACTGTTCCCCTTCCTAGCAGCACTTATCACATTAGACAGCTCTAAGATGAACACAATATGACTCACTTGACCTGATCTAATGATGTGTGTGAAGAGCCGTCTATCTGGTGTGAGTTTTTTATTGAAATAATTGAGCCCCGAATACTTTAAATAAGCTGTCGTTGCTAGGAAACAAACACAAGTGTTCCAGTAAGCAGAGTTGAGGCTTAAACAGTTTTACCTTAAATGTGAGGGTGAAGTGAATTATAAGAGGAACAAATAGACACTAACAACAGTTTCAGACATCTCAATAGTAGCTTTGTTACACCATTGGCTAATATTGGACCATGATAAGGATAGGAAGCTTCCCCGAAATCAGACTTTATCTCTTCATATGCGTTCTCTTTTAGTACAAATGCAGACATACAGTATGTATCATATTCGTGAAAATAATTAATCATTTCTTATTTAGATTTAACCAATAAATAGAATCACATTTTACAGTGACAACCATTATTAACCTACCATCTTTCCAACACTGAGAGACAAGTCTTATAATTCCTTTTGCAAAACCCGTCTGTGTTTACTTTTCTAACTCAACACCAACACAATGAACACAGGAATGATAACATGATGGGAACAAATGCAACAAAGACACCATGCAATAAAGCTTATATTATGAGATTTAAGATTATATAGAGAAGATGTTGTTGTGCAGAAAATGTTTTTTATTGCGTTTTCTGACACATAAAAATCAATGGCAATGTGAAGATCAATGTGACAACATTAAATGGGTTTGACTCAACCTCAGTGTGGCAGATGGTTTGCCAAGCAAACAGAGCAGTCAACTCAATTGTGGCTCTATCCTTGATCAAAGCTACTGCATAACCTTCCTCATAGGCTTTCTTATAAAGACAGAGCCTGGGGAAATAAACAAAAAAAACAGGGGTATTTGGGGGGTGAAATTGCATAGCCAGGCAAGGACATTTGAGTGTTATCTTAAAAGACATAAAATGACAATTAACAGAAGGGTTTACCGCACAAACACAGCAGAATGAGGGGGAAATGCAGGAGAATTCTTCTTCTGCCCTATCGACAAGCTGCCGACAGAAAATGCCCTCTTTACAAGCTTACTGTAGCAGTCTCTTGAATGTGAGCAGCAGGTCAACTCAAATTAAGTTCAACTTTACATGTCCCAAGGAGAGCAATTAGTTTCTCCAGAGTGGTGGCACAAGGACATAACACATCTAACACAAGAAAATGTAATGAAATCTTGAGTACAATAATGAGGTGATCCAGGAAAATGTCAAATAATAAATTACTAACCCAGAGGTCCTGAAGTAGTCCTAACAATGCCAACGTAATGCTCAAGGCTGGATATTATGAACTCTTCAATTAAGATATAGTATCTATGTTGCCTATTTGTCCAATAAATAGTTGCATGATTGAAACGTTCTTACTATTACAGTACTGATTTTACTCTGCAGTGTAATATGTTTTGTAATACCCCATAACATTTCAATTGAGTGCAGCCTTTTTATGAAACTAATTTAATCTTTCTTCATATGACTCTTTTGATAAACAGCAGACTGGCTGCTAACATATCCATCTATAACACATGACAATGAAGACCCTTTTCAGTAACTGACTTTCAAATACATATGACAGTCTTTGCTGTCCAATGTAAATATATTTAAACTCATCCCATTTCCTAGTATACGATTGATTGCATTGATCAACCGAAAAACAGTGTTGTGTTCTACACACATGCCGTGCCCGTCCAGCAGCTTAATTTAGTCCCTTAAATGAAAGCTGTGAAATCACTTCAAATACAATATGTGACTTGTGGATGACAGAGGCTTGTTGGTCCTGGCAGAGCTCTGTGTAATACATGAGAAGGTGAGCTGGCAGGACCAACGCAACATGAGAGCTTGAAAAGTGTTCTCTCCTCTAAAAGCCTGCCTGCCTTGGCATGAAACCAATACAATTATTAAAAAAAACTATTCCTTTATTTGCTGATCTGCAAGGTTGTTCACTTTCAGTTAATAAATGCATTGGAAGACTCTCACTGTAGTTTTTTTTATTTACAACCTAGGTTTAATATTATTGTACATGTTTGTCAGACAGATAGAATGCTGGTATACGAGAAGGCTTTTCTACCATCTACTTTCTATGACTCTTTACCCAGCACTGTGTAACAAGCTAATAAAACACTGCATGACTTCATATCTCTTGTGCTTTCATAAATTATTAATTTTGAAAAATAGCAGATAGGCCCAATGCAGCAAAAGCAAAAGCAAAAGTTTGCCCTGTTGTTTTAAGCTTCTAAAATGCACTCAGTGTTTCTCCATGAAAAATGTGATCACAGTTTTGTCTCTTTTGACATTTTTGCAAACACTTACAAAGCTATTTACAGATTCTTTATCAATCACGTATAGGTATATTATTGTAGCATATTGCAGATTCTGGATTCCCTTTCAGTTCACCAAGTGTTGCCTTCCCTTTCTGTGACTTTCCATTAGCTAAACTGAAAACAGCCAAATTCTTACTTGTAAGAACAAAACAATGTCAGCCACAAAACTGCTTCAGGGGAAGAACCAATATATCAAGTCAGACATCAAATAATAAAAGCCAGGGATAAGCAAATAGGTTCCAAATCACTAGTCCTATGCGAAGATGCCTTATGAATGCAAGCTTCGGGTTTGTCGAGTATCTGTCATGCCTTGATCACAAGTCCAATGAGATTACTCATAGTTTCTAGACATAAAAAAGACAGAAATGCTCATCAACCAAAAACTTGTTGACAATGGACTTGAGGGCACTTCAAAAGATGCCTATCTGCTGGGAATAGAAGCTTTTGAAATGTCTGCAGCAGAGATGTATTGCCACGACAGGCAGGCTGATGGCTTTTTTTTTGGTCCAAACAAAATCTCTGAAGCAAACGACACACACACTTCTTTTTGTTTTAAAATCTATCTTCTGAAAGGACATGGGTTTGTAGACATTTTACATCAATCACAATGATGGGGCAATTTGAGCAGACATTCAGGGGTAAAATAATCTCCCTTCCCTTATTAACCCCGGCCTTATTCTACCTCGCTGCATTGCACTTGTCGATGTAACCTGCTGATCGGTAATCTGTTTCACACTGATCCTCCGCAGTCATGGGTTTGTTCAAGTGGAGCACATGTCTATGATCTCAGGTCAGTAGTTGTGTTCCCCTTTGACACTGAATAAATCACAACAGAGATGCTGTTTGCCTCCAGGAGTCTGCTAGAAGGGACCCTGCTGCCAGTCTGTTAAATGATGCATCAACAGTGCAGGCTCCTGACTACAACCAACCTTGGCAGAGTGACATCCACACACATACAAGAACTGGACATATGAACACACATTTACACGAGTAGCCCTACGTCAAGGTACAAAAACATGCATAGGGTCTCATAAAAACATGGCCATAGACTCAAACTCAAACACTGAATAGAACCAACCTTGACAGACTGGTGGGGGTCCATCCATCTGGAGCCTCTCTCCAAGTCGACAGGTCAGAATCTCGCTGCCCACCAAAGTGAAGCCTGGCAGGCACGAGTACCGAATGATGTCCCCTATGAGGTCATTGACATTCACAATCACACACACACGCACATACACACACAGGAGTGGACATGAAAAACATATACATCATTTAACAAGCCACCAAACACAAACACAAACACACACACACACACACACACACACAGACAGAAAAAAAGCCCCACAGAGCTTTGTCAGTAAAAGCCTTCTCGGTAGCAGCACTTGAAACGGTAATCAACAGCACATTTTCTAATGAAGATTGACATCCCTTTATCTAGCACAAGTACTAAAGGCACTTCATTACATTACAGATCTGCAAACACATGCCACACACACACACACACACACACACACACACACACACACACACACACACACACACACACACACACTCTCTCTCTCTTATGAAATGTGAATTACGCTCAGAATCAAAGATGCAAAGTGAAGCAGCCACTAGCCACATTATTTCCACTTCTGAACACTAAAAACACAAACAGCTTATATGCAGAGCTAATTAGCCCTGCCCTTAAACTCTTTTTATTGCGGGGGGCATTAGTAGATGGAACATTTCAAAAGGAAAGAAAGATGAGAACAAGGTAGAGCATAGAGCAAGAAAGTAAGAAAAAGAAACAAACAAACAGCACCTGGCAGATGGAATGAGACATTGAAGGTTGTGAAAAACATCTGTCAAGTGGCAGAATTATGGAATAAATTTGCTCATTTAAATGTATGTATGCTACCAACAAAGCTGTTTCAAATCGTGAAATGGACAGATGGAGAAACAAACTCATAAATCAATCCACACAAAGCATACAAGCAATGGATGAATGAAGGATTAAACCTACAAGGGAATTAATTATTCAATAAAAGGCTTAACACAGTTTTATCTTTTTCTTTCATCCATGGCTTTCCAAGGAAACAACTGCATGTCTGGTGCAATCTTCCTTTTTTAATATGCACTGTCCCTAGCTAGTAAACAGGAAAATTAAATAAGACAAACCTATTTCAAACTCGTCATCATCAGTTAGGATAGTAGCGTTGGCGACAGGAGGGGGGGGCTGACATGTTCTCAGCTGGTATGCTGCAGGAAAGAGAAAAAGGGATGATATCTGCAACAGTTCTATTGTGCTACCCAAGTTATAGAGACAACTGAAAGAGCGAGAAGAGAGAGAGTGAGAGAGAAAGAGAGTGTATACATATTCACTTACACACGATCTCAAATTCAATTTCCAGTATCATATAATTCCATGCATCACTTTCATGATCATCAAAAAAAACAAAACATTAATTTAGTTGAGATGGGGGACATTTTGTTAATTATTAAAGGGGGGATTTTAAAGTGAAAACACAAATGGAAATGTTTTATTTATAGGAAGAAAAATGAGAAAAGAGGTCATATAATGAGTCATTAAAAGGATAAAATTGAAGGCGTTCCAGTAAAGAAACATGGTACAATTATGATCCTCTGTTCTTTTGTGAGCTTTATTACTGCAGCAGGATTTCAGCAATGTGGAGAACCGGAGATCAAATGAATAGGGGTCAGTACAGCAGTCTGGAGCAAGGTCTTTACTTAGCTGGAATCAAAGGGGAGGTTACCGTAATAATGCAGCACAAAGAAACCGCTGGTGCTGAAGTCGCTGTGGAATTTGATGAGGACCTGATTGGCAGTGGTGGACACGCCCTCCTGTACAGAGCTGCCGCTGAACTGACCGATTTGAGGCGAAGCTTGATCGGGCCCATCCCTGATACAGAGAGAGAGAGGTGGACAGATTTAGGATGTGAAGGGGTGAGGGGGGAAAATATAGAAAGAGCTTAGCTGGGGGGGAGGTGGACAGAAAGTGAAAGAGTGTTTTATATAAGTATGAACACCACTTTTGACCTGCTTGGATCAAACAACACAACTTGTTTAGTCAGAGCGGTATAGAGACAGCAGTTAGGATCTGAGAAAGAAGTTTCAAACTAAAACACTTAGTAAAAAAAAGAAGTGGTGGAGCCAAGAGCAGAGCTATGATACAAAATAGATCATGGGGAATAAAGCTTTATAAAATCAATGGTATACTGTAGAAATCTGCAAAGTCCATAAAAGTTATTGTGACCTCTTTGCTCTTGTGAAATCTTTCTTTGAATTTAGATGGATGGTTAATATTTGGTACATGATTTTGGATAATGAGGGTGTATCCCTATAGCTAGGCTTAAGCCCTCACAAACCTGGAAGGATTAATGCCATAAGAAGAAAATATATGGACTCTTATCAAAAACACCTAAAGCACTTCACCGAATAACATGAAGTACGAGGAACTGTATCCCTGGGAATTTAAATTTAATTGAATCATAATGAACTTTTTGTAGAGTAGGCTGTTATCTGTGAAGAGAGTGTATAGTACATTACTGTGCATGGTCATTTACCACTGGTTCAGAGCCATGTCTTAACTTCTCACTACACTAAGTCAAACAAGTCAAACTTTCTTTACATTAATGTCATAACATATTCAAAAAGGTGAACTGATTTGATAATAGAAGTCTGTTTGAAGTTGGGAAAAATGTCTACAGACTTCTCCTGGCACCTAAAATAACAAACCAGATACTGTACAAAGACAAGAGGCAAGGGCGCTAACAGTCATTGACATAGTTATTGGCATGGGTCCAGTGGAGGAGGAGCTTCACCCTGGGGAGCTGACGGCCCTGGATGTTGTCAGCTTGACACATCTCTTGGACAGCTTCCATCTTTGGCAGTTTGGGATGTAGCCTCAAGTGAGAGAGTTTAAGTATCTAAGCTTTGTTTCCAAATGAGTGGACAATGTAGAGTGAAACTGACAAGTGGTAGACTCCTCAAATGTCATGTTAAATATAGAGCTTAGCCTAAAGGTAAAGTTCTCAAATTACATGTAAAAAGCTAAAACGAGCTGCCTGTGCAGGTCATAGAGCTGAAGGGAGCTCAAAGAACAGTCGGCCTTCTGTGCTACTGCTCCTTCCAAATAGAGCCATTTGAGCTAGTCAGACAGCTAATTAGTCTCAACAGGTAAGCCCCCAGCATGCTTATATCTTCAAGCTGGAAGTGGCTGAAAACACATTTATAAAACAAGACAGTCAATATGACAATACACATTCTGTGTGATGACTTGTAATAACCAAAAGATCAAGGGTTTTCACTGAGATTTAAACTTTTTTTTCCCCATTTTCTCCCTGGACGTGAGATAATCTAAAAATGCAAATGATCTAGAGCCCTTGGAAAATATTACAGCCCTGCTAAAAGTCAATGTGACCAACAAAGGGAATAGTCTTCTTCAAGCTGAATATGTCTGGTTCTGTTTTATTTGATTTATTTTCATTTAAATGTGACTTGTGTGCCCTTTTGGCCAGATCTCCCCAATGTGACAGTGGTTAAATAAAATGTTTTAATAAAATGTAACTTATTGAGCTCTGACAACTTCCCAAGAGATTCCCTACACTGTTAATATTGATGTAGATGAACACTTAGATAAACATATTCTAACTCTGGCATGGCAATTAAGAGGAAATCATTAAGAAAATTGATAAGGACTCTTTCATTGCAATGTTGAGTTTATTGGAAAACTGCATCTTTGTTATGATGTGCTCAATTTTTTATCTGTCATTTAATTTGCTTAATTGGACTTTTTTTTCATCTGGTTTTCAGCTGGGCTATATAAACTGTTCATAAATGGTTTTTAAACTGTATATGAAAGCTGCTATCACTGGGGACATTTCTCTATATCCTTCACACATGGATGAAAGATAGATGAATGGTGGTGGTGTGATTGTAGACCTTTTTGCAGTCCATTTCCGATGCATGCATTAGCTGCTGACAGCACAGAAACCAGGAGCAACGCTGCTAATGAGAGCTGGGCAGAACTTCCAAACCTCAGTAAGAATGTTGCTGCTATATCTGTGTCTGAAATAAGTAGCCTGGATGAAATGCATAACATTTTTGGGTAGAGCATGCGAGAACAAACTAAACGCATTTTTCTCAGGGGATATAAAAAACAATTAATTTGAGAAGACAACAGTGTTCTTTTATATATACAAACGTTCCTTTGGTTCAGGAGAAAAGTTTTTCATTACTGTCACTTTCAGGTAGCTCCAGGGCAATCCACCTGAATGATCTACACTAAATTCTTTTAGTATATGTGGGTACCTTTAATATCTTATATATTTTTAAAAGTCGCATTGAAATCTAGCAATCAGCAAAATAGGAGATGGCAGTCAGACAGGGAAATGAAATGTAACCATCAGGGGACATATTGTTTATGCGCTATTTCATTGGAAACAGTAGTGCCAGGAGCTCCCTCCTCCCATACTCAGAGTGGTAGCCCCAGATGCTGGAAGGCATTTCCCTCTTCTATCCCCCACGAGGACAGCTTCCTGACTGCCTGAGGGGTTTCTATACTTCAGAGAGGCTACAGAAAGGTAGGAGAGACAGACAGAGAGACAGCTGCTGGAGTGACAACAAGCAGGTGGTATCAAACAGTTTATCTCTGTTCAATTCTTCATTAGGAGTTTAAGTTTGTACTGACAAACAGACATCCAAAGTACCTCAGAGCTCATGTTTTCCTCTTTCTACACAATTCCCTTCTTTTTATGGAACACTCACTGGAGAGCTAGAGTTAAACATCTACCATAAGTTTAGTGGGGAGGGGAAGAGGGACACTTGTGACACAGACTTTACTTCAGTCTTCTTTATTTCATCACACAGCATAATCTTTTTTTCTTTCAGCTAGGGGCTGTAAGGAAAGTTGTCAGGGGTAAAAAAAAAATGAATCCACAGAAGTCCAGACAAAGGTCAACACATTTAGATGGCTGCTGGCTTCTCTGATACAGGTGTCACATCGAAAGCTGTGAACAAAGCTTGTTCAACTGGCCTTTGGCTTTATGTGGTTTAACGGTCCCAACATTGTGTGCAGCTTTCGAGTTTGCCTTTGAAAATACTTACAAAACAAGATGTAATCGTAGAAATCTTAAATGATGTCCAGTTTTTCTTGAGTAATGAAAAAACTTCAGTTGTTAAACCACACGGAAATGCATGAGATATGGCACAGACTTAGGTTATACTTTGTGGAAGACTGTTTGGAATTATTCAACAAATAGTTATTAGTTAGGATCCTGTAGTGCTTAAAAACATTTTTCAAGAACAGTGTGTATTGAACTCTATGCAGCTCTTTGTAGTAAAAAGTACATTTGGTGCGTGCCTTAAGCTGTTGACTGATGAACAATGTCCCACTGAGAGTGAAATGTCCACTTACCACACAGTGATGTAGTCGTAGATTGGCTCTGTATTGATAACAGAGAAGTTGATGTAGATGCCGTACCCAGGAGGCACTCTGACCATCCACATGCAGTCCTGAAAGTGTGGATACTCGGCTGGGTGTCCAGGAGAGTAAATTGTGCCGTTCATGGATGTTACATTCCCTCCACAGAGAGCTAGAGGGAGGGGAGAAACATCAGAGAGGCTGAATAAAAATAAGACAGTATTCCGCTTTTTATAAGTCATGTCATAAAACCTGCATTTATGGTTGTGTCACCACTAGCCTTTGACAAAACAAACCATAACTTTGTGTTACAGTAATAGCTTATCATTGAGATACTAAGGAGTTGGGGATGCTGGATACACCTGTTAGATAAAACAGCACGGGAGGGATGCTGGTTTCTGTGAACACTGAGGTGTTCAGACACTTAACCTCCCCCGTCATACTCCATCAGAGGGAATGTGTTAAAATCTGACTTTGAACTTGGAAGTCAAAGCCATAGCAGTGCCCTCAGGATCAGAACAGGGCTGTAAACTAGACAGGGACAACACTGTATCTACAGAGCAAAACAAAACTATTTAACACTCTTTCAGATAAATAGTGCACTCTGTTGTGGACTTGAAGCATATGCTGCTGCTGCTTCACTTAACTGATGGGAAGAGAGCCGTATTTTATCATCCCTGAGCAACATCTGAGGAGTCCGAATGAAATCACAAGAGAGGCAGCTGTGATTAGCTTTCTAATAAAGATCCACACATGCTCTGTATGGCTTTGTAATGTGCTGTATCAGTTTCTAGTTCTGAAAATGGTGCATTGTCACTGGTAAAAGGGACTCAGATGCCTTAATGTGTAAGAATAAAAGACAGGGCTATAAGCACCAATATTCTTCTATTCAAAATAACTTCAAAGACCTTCTTTCTATGGAGTTTTGTTGATGGAAAAAGCATCTTCGTCTTTACTTCAGTCAGCTTCTAAGAAAGCAGCATTATTTTCTCAAGGATCTTTATGCACACTTTAAATATTTTCTTCATGTGTTTGTGGAAAGAAACTTCAGACAAATATCAAAGAAGAGTTTTTTTATGACTAATAAATATATAAGTTGTTGACAATGTGCCTCTCTGTGGTAATATTTGGGTCTTGGTAGTGCAATAGTGAGAAACATCCGGTGCTGCTTTTTGGTACATTCTTTCTGCACAAGAACAACACAGACACACAAATCCCATTTTTCTGTTTCTTTAAAAGGCCCTATTCAGTCACCTTCACAGCGGGGGACCGGGTGATTCCAGTTCCTGCTGACTCCGTGCAAACATGTAAGAGACGCCTCTCCGAGCAGAGTGTAACCTGAAAGGCACTCGAAGGAAATTGTCATCCCCACGCTGTACTCCTGACCGATCACTATGCCGTTACGGAATGGTCGTGGGTCTGGACATCTCTGCAGCTCATATGCTGGAGAAAAACATAAAGACACAACATAGTCCTTACTTAAGAGTTATTTTTCCACACTGATTTAAAAGTAAAAAAAATACACTATATACTTTTTTTTTGATTCAAGGATGCATTTTTTTATTTTATCCGCTGATGTCCTCATTGGTTTATTTCTCCTTACTCTTCAGCCTTTAGTAATCTTATCACCTTGGTTAAAGTGTTTCATTCTGAATTTTATTCTCAATCTTCTTTTACTTTTTGAGCCCTTGCACTAATCTCACTCTCTTTTAACTTTAATGAAGAGGACCCGTATTTTGCCCCTCACCCTGGTAGACAGTGTGGAAGCCTGGCTTGTTCTGGGAGTAGTCGCTGTGAAAGAAGAGTGTAGTCTCATGGGTGGTGCTGAAAAGAGAGTTGGGCACCACTGGGCCACTGAACCGATCAATCACTGTTCCCGTCTCCAGGTTCCCACTGCGGACTTCCAGATAGTCATGAACAGGCTCTGTGGAGAAGTTCAGAAACTGCAGATGGATTCCTAAAAAGTAGAAAGAAAGAGGGTTAATCTAGGAGATTAACTAAAGATCTCAAACTAAATGCAAAGCAAGAACAGAGGAGAGGAGAGGAGAGGAGAGGAGAGGAGAGGAGAGGAGTGGAGGAAACAAAGGATACAGGAGAGACAACAAAGCAAGCAGATCAGAAAAAGACAAAAAGGAGAGAAAAAGAGAGCAGAAGAAGAAAGGGTGGTCAGAGGGTGGGATGACAAACCGAAGCCAATTGGGAGTTGAACTCTCCAGCTGCAGTCCAGGCTGCTCTGGTAATTCCCCGGGAAGCCTGGGCTGAGGATGACGCCGCTGAAGTCTGTCATAGAGCCGCCACACTGAGCTGGGGGGAGACCAACCAAGGAGAAAGAACATGTCACTTCTCCACACAACGGCTCATTGGGAAAACAAAGAAAAACAATGACCAGGGGGTGAATATGGAGGGAGGGCAAAGAGCTAACACTTTGTGTGTTTGTGGGGTTTAGTACACGCATAATTGTTTTGTGTGTATCAAAAGCAGTAAGAGCAGCGGTTCTGTTTGTGCCACCTGTGCTCTTAAGTATGTGTTTTTATGCTCTTGTGTTTAAATGCACGCTGTGGAAAAGGGGCGGCTTTGTGGGCGAGAGAGAAAATGAAGTGCTGTGAGTGGGCTTTATGAGCTCAGGGTTGGGGTGGGGGATATGGGGGGTGGAGGTGCTTATGTCACTGTGTTTGAGCATGTCTGTTACATGTGCAAATACATCTCTGCTTGACTGTGTGGATTATGCTCCATGAAGGCATTTGTGAAGAGATACGGCATGCTTCTTGTTTGGTGATGCTTTAAATTAAAATTAATGAGGTAGTCAATGTTCAATACAGCACCACGATTTTGCTCAGCTGTGGTTGTGATTGCTTAACCCTCCGCTGCAGCACGCCACCTCTCTTCTTTGACTATGCATGTAAGAACATTTCCGCTTGTTGAGAAGGTTACACTCTTCCCCTTGTCTTACATAAACACCAAGGTGTAATACAACTATAGCCTCAATGTAAACTACAGGTTATCAAAAGTCCTTGGTCCAATTGCAACCCCAACCAGCCTTTGAGTCAAATGTTTGGAATGCCATTTCTTTGGGGACTTTCAACTAATGGCAGAAAGAGAAAAGCAAACCCAGTTTAATGGAGTTACTGGTGGTAGAAACCAGGTTGACCTGTTTTTGTTGTGAAATAAAAGAGAAGTGAAGAAGAGAGGCACTTTTTGAGGAGGTTAATTTGTTCGTACAGGAGGTTCTGCATACAACCGTAAAAATATGCATCCTATCAAGACGTTTTCAGGATTTAGGGAAAATCTCTCAAGAGTCCTTCAAATCGGGGATCTGAAGGTAGTAAAAATGTCAAGGAATGTCTGAATGGTTCTTCTGATTGTTTAAGTGATTTTTTAATGTTCTATTCTAATGTTTCCTTTTCCCTCTGTCATGACACTTTTGATGTCTTGTGTGAAGCACTTTGAATTGCCTTGTTGTTGAAATGTGCTATATAAATAAACTTGCCTTGCCTTGCCTTGCCTTGCCTTGGCTTGTACAGGGGCACGCGACCACTTTGATGTGAGTTTATCTGCAACATAGTGAGTACCGATCGTGGGGCGTGAAGGGTGAGCGTATGTTCTATGAACGAGCGAGGAGTTGAGCTAACGAGCAAACACGCACATCGACGAGCGGGCCTGTCAACATTAAAGCTGGGATTTATGTCTGCAGTGAACTGTGAAAGCCACAGGGAAACAACATTTACATGAAGAGCCCAAAAGTCAGTCTATGAATTTGAAGGCATGCATTTCCTCATTTCCATATTAAAAGTGTGTTACCACTTGTGTTTGCGTGTGCTTGTGTACATGTGTGTCATTGGGGGCAACAGAACAGCGAGGCGTCAAAAGACAAAGTGGAGTGGCTCCTTATTCATCTCAGGAATCCATCACTCTGGCATCAGAGGAAATGTCAGGGGAGAGTCAGGACTCTCTTCAGGCTTATAAGAAATCGAACAACACACCAAGGTGGTTCCGAGCCTTATTGATTCTTAAACTGAAAAGGAATGTAGAAAATGCACAATCCACACCCCCCAAGCCCACCACGCCACAAATCACCCCCTCTCTGAGCTCACGATGAAATTAATGAATTTACGAATACAATAACAAGTCCTCTCTGAGGCCAACAGTCGATCATGTGGCTGTGTTTGAGTATAAGAAACTGGGGAAATTGAAATAAGAGGGAGAGGAGAAGACAAACAAGAAAAAGTCAAAGAAACAAGGTGAATGGCAAATGACAAAATACAGACACTGACTGTGTTTGATGAAAGAAATATGGTTTTGTTGTCTACATTTAGAACATTATTGAAATCTTATATGCTGGCAATGTCAGACTGCATCAAATAATACATTACCTAAACACAGAGGTACGGGGTAATTCCACCTTCTGACGGGCCCAGGCATGCAGGTAATATATGCATTACCCTGTTCAAGAAAACAGACAAAAACAATAAATTCACCACCTCCTAAATCATGAGCAATAAAAAAAGAAAATAAACACCAAGAGATCAAACCGACAGGTGCTGAAGTCCTGCTGCCTTGTGGATCAGTGGAATTAGTGAACAGTCAGATTCTTAGCTTTTCAAATCCTCTTTTCAAGGTCTTGTGTGTAAATATCAGATGGTATAAAGAGTAGGAGATGGACCTCTTGCTGCTACTTGGGCAGCGAGTGTACCACCAGGGTCTGACTACAGAGAGATGTGTTATAGCCTGAGAGAACAACAAGACACAAACATCCTGCTTACAGATTTGTTTTTTTTCTGAAAGAGGACTAACCTAAAAGTGATGAATATCACAAGTTTATCCCATCTACAGTATTCATAGCACTGTTGATGTTTTGATCCAAACTAAATTTGTACAGTTTGTTTCCTGTTGCTAAGATGCTTGCAGAATGCACATAAGTACATTCTTGAACCAGCATGTACACCATACTAAAACCCAAATCAACAAAAGCACGGTGTGTATGCAGAGTTGTATTACAAACAGATCTGAACTCAAAAGACTCTCTTTTGTTTCCGCAATGGCCTCCAGCCTATTCCTGATGTTCAGTTACTGAGCCTGAAGATTTTTGTAAGAAGTTAGAATTTGGTCCAGAGAGAATGTGGAGAGCAGAGAATGCACAAACCAAGAAGAAAAATCGGTGAGGGATTAGTAAGGCGATTGTTAACACAATCCATCGCCCGTGGCGTCGTGGAGTTCTACAGCTCAAAATGCCACAGCTACAGAATCTTCTTGAAGAGGATTGGAGGAACTTAAAGCTGCTTTGCAGACACACACAAACATACAAGCAGAAAGACATGCGAGCAAAGTACACACACACACTTGGAAATAAAGATCCAAGCATAAATACATGGACAGTTCCCCACACTCGTGCATCAGCATGTTTCTTTCCAGATCTCACTTTTCCGCTCACTCAAACACAAATGTCATCAAAAAAGCACTCGGCGGGTCTTCCTTGACAGGCTCATCCTACAGGGTTTTCCCTTGACATTGTCACCCCAGGTAGGTAGATATGACCCACTTATCAGGACTATAAGATAGCCGTATATCTGCTTTAAATTCACTGCATGCTTTACATACCTGCAGAGAGAAGCCTTGATCACACTGGAAGGATACCATGTCACCCACAGTGTAACGGTCGCCCACTCTTTGGCCGTTACTGGGAGGCAGCGGCTCTGGGCACGAATCCAAACCTATTGCTTAGGACAGAGTCACAACACACAAGTGTGGACAGCAATTATTCTTCTGCACAATGTGTGTAAAAATCCCAACCTGAAAGGACTCAATACATGTGATTTATTTGAGTTAATGGTTAGGCATCTAGATTAAATGGCAACATTAAAATTCAGCACCTGATATCTATGAAGAAACGCAAATAATTAAATTATAACCAAACCTTTGAACATGTAATTACACAGCGCCTCATTTCCATGTGCTCATAATTGAATAATAATTGAGTCAGTCATTTTTCCTTTTCCCTCTTCATAACATTTACAAACTGGGACAAGTCACTGAGTTATTCTACTGTTGGCTGTAATGGCTAAATCCCTCTGACTGTGGACTGAAGCAATCACTGTGAAATTACAAAGCAATCCCTGAAGTATTACTTGAGAGGAGCATAGAGTTCCTTTGGAACAAAGTGATAACAGTGACACTTGCCAGGTATTGAGGGGCCTGATATTGTGTTCTAATGACTTAGAAGCCACACTGATGCCATCTTTGGATCCTATTAAAATAGCCTTTTAGAGATAAATTTAAGCCGGAGTCACGTTAAGTCGGAAAAAATCAGCTTAATGTTTCCAGGGTGTGACTGGCATATATACAATGTATTCAGATCTGCAGTAAGAGAAGAAGAAATTGCAATATGCACATAATTCACTATATTACTGATAAACCCCTTCTTATGTTAATCAGAGAAGAGTGGCTTTAAAAGAAAACATTTCTAAGTTTTGCAACTGACACAAGCATCGGTTAGTAGGACATTTGAATGCTTACTTTGATGCATAAATACAGTGTTTATTAAAATTGGCTGCGCAGGCTGCAAGGGTAATAAATAAGAAATGGAAGAGAGGGGACCTTTGTAATAAACTTCACACAAGTCTTGTCCTTGAAGTGTAATTAATATGCAGGCCATTGGGCGAGTTGTAGTGCGAAGGAAGATATATAAAAACAGCAACAACAAATAGTCCTTCTCCTCCTTTGCGTAGGCACAGATAACACATGCCAACACCACTCAAGTAAGGAAAATACACACAAAGTCCCACACAAGCCCACTCAGAGAGTTAACAGGTCCAAACAAGTAGGTGGGTGGACAAACGTAAACATTGCAGAAGAAATTGCCACAAAAGATTCAGAACAATTTGTAGGCAACTCTCAAAAGTGTGGACTTAGGGGGGAGGGGCCACTTCACTCAGCAGCTAGTGAAAGTTAGAGAGGATATTTGTGTGGGAGGAAGACAGTAACCTAAGACACACAAAGCAGGAAGCAATATGAGAGCAGGAAAAGATGCAACACCTAGATAAGAGCTTCTGCATAAGGGGGTGTATACTTGATGCTGTGTGGTTTGTATATGCAGATTTAAGTATCACTTTGAAATCTCAAATGTGAAATGGAAGAATAGATTGGGTACTGAATTGATTTCAAGAAGATTTGATGTCACATTTTATTATTTTATTATCCAAAGAACTATTTGGATTGTGAAATATTCCTATACACGACACAATGACAACTGCTTGAAATATTACAAGCACAAGACAAACATAGCTTGTATATAAACACGCACACACGTTAAAAACAGCATCCAAAAATGAATCATACCAATTAAATCATATGGAATTATAGACTAAAGCCAGTGCCCGTGCCCGTGTTTACCAGTCATGACAAAGTGAGAAAGTTAGAGTCCAGCTCCCACAGCCTGAGGCAGCGTGCCAAACCTCGACTGAGTATGGATAGACCTTTGAGCTCTGGTCAGGTTAAACGTGAAGGCCGACTAACAGAAGGAACCGTTTCCTGTTGCGCCCCAGATGGGTTCCAGTCAAACTGTCAGAATACTCATTTTGGCAAAGACTGTTGTCACCCTGCTGTGAGAAGGTCGACAACCAAACTGTTCCTGAGAGCCAAACTGCGTCTGGAGAGAGTCCCGCCCTTGTCAAGCATGTTTCATACTTTTAACTGGATGCTCTTGGTGATTGTATCTAGTCAAACAAATAACAGTTGTCTGTGTCCAAGTGTAGCTGATAGTTTCTTCTATTCCTTGTTTTAATTGAATTTGTGCATTTCCATAAATGTAATTATTTCTAGAATCACAGAAAACTTTAACTTGTGAAGAAACAGCAAGTATTTAAAATTCAAGAAGTAAGATGAGTTTGTCTTAAAAAACAAATAAAAGATAATCATATCTACAATAGCAGATGCAGAAGCAGAAGCAAACACGCAGGTCACAGGGTGAAAACAAGTGGAAAAGAGGGTGCTTTGTAAGGATGTAAATACACAAGTTGAGAAGTGGCTTAAGTTTACAAATCAGAATATGTTGTTTATATTCTGTGAACAACACAGAGATCATTTTCTTCAAACATTATATCTGTTATGTTTTTCTTCTCATTGTTTACTTGTGTTGAAAAGTAGAAATCTACTTAATGACTTTTAGTGAATTCAGATGAAATGTTTAATCTGTTGAAGAGCACAGCCAAAGGTGAGCCAAAAATATGTTATTTTAATGTGTATACATTGAGGGCAGCAATATTTTGTTTAATAAATAAAGGAAATGATGAATGTAATATGTTTCTGAAAGGTATCAATATGATATCCATCACATGTCTCATCATTAGGTTGTATAAAAGGACACTAGAAATCAATGTCTGTGTTAGAAAAGCCACTTTGCTGATACCTTCAAGTGACAGCTTTGAGTCGGGAAAAAGCCATTTAAGTGCAAACACTTTCAGATCCTATTTTCTATTTAAGTGCAATGCATCGATTTAAAGAGACACTTAGCTTGGAAACCTAACCTATCCTATGTTCCTGTTGCTAGTGTCTACAAAATATAAGTTCAACTGAATGAAAGGATCGTATGCGTTCCTCCTTCAGTTTTTGGGTAGCTTTTTTTTTTTTTTTACAAGAAAGACTCATTTATCCAACCAACTGCTTGAACTAATTTAAAACAGAATTTATAAAAGTTTTGATGAATAAAAGAAGCTGTTTGTTTTTTTTGTTGTTGTCATTTTTGGGGCGATCTTGGTGATGCTTGTGAAGGTATGTGATTTGACCAGACATGCAAAGAAATAATGTTTCCTAGGACCGAGAGATCCAAAATTGCACCCTGCATCTCGATCTGCATAAATATGTCTTCACCCTGTACCACCCCTCCCAACCTGATAGAAAGATCACTGTTAAAATACAAAAGCTGCCAGCATGTTTCAACATGCATCCTTTGCCCTACAATTAGGTAAGAGACCAAAGAGTTGCATAGTAGAAAGTACCTGACACGTGGTAGAATGCCCACAGCGGAGTCATTTTACACTGAATTGCAATGTACGTTTCCCCAGCACATCATGGAAATGGTTTACTATTGGACAAGCAAGTGGTGTGAAAATATGTTAGCCTTTAAGTCAATAGCAAGCAAGTACAGGTATAGACCATAGTCTTTAGTTATTCTTCAAGGTATATATAAATATAAATTTATATTTATAAAAATAACGTTATTCACCACTTCATGGACTGATCAATAATACTATCTTTATTATGCTTTGCACATTCCAGTTTCATACAATTAGCCCATAAAGTCCTTTAAGTATTGATGTTGAACTAAGGGCTTATTCGGCCAACAACTTTCTTAACAGACTGTCTAGAATTGATTCATTTTGTTGTACTCACTCAATGCAGCTCATGCGGAAATAATAAATGCCTCAGCAGACTGCAGCGGTTGAAGCTTTGTGTGGGATTTTGTTTGGAATTCAAACGGCCACATTGCCTGTGAGAACACGCTTATTTTGTTTTCAACTATAGCATACTGTCTGCCTTAGGAGAGCTGGTAAAAAAAAAGCGCTGGGCTGTTAAGAAGTTTTACTGATGGGTGGTATACGGGATTTCTATGAGTGGTCTCAGTGGACTGCAACAATCACCCACAGGAAACATTTAAAAACAGATGGTTGACTGGCTGGGTCCGTGCCAATCTCCCCTGCCTCTTTCTTCCCTCTGCACTCAGAGCGTTAATTTGTAGCTAAGAACTGGAGTGTGTGAAAAATAAATGGGTTGTACTGGCTAACCACAGGCGCGATGTAAGATACAGCGATAAAACCAGACAAAAAAGAGGTTTGTAATTTGATCAAATAAATGTAGAATCTGATCTTCGGTCAAACAAAGTCATCTTGAACATCAAAAAATATGAAACAGCAGAACAAAAAAAAATCTGACAAGCACTTAATGAGCAGTTTCACAGAGAAGCAACATGTCTTGATCACAGATTTAAAATGGTTTGCCAATAGGCAGACAGTAGAAGCATATGGCAGGTAAGCAAACAAATAAAGCATGAATTTCAAGAGGAAAAGTAGGAAGGGGTATGAATGAAGTCTGGTTTATGCAAAGCATCAGGGGATGCACATTACCAGGGCAGTAGTGGCAAAGTGTAAGACAGTTGATAGGACATTTTGAATAAGAGACATGGCACTGAAGTGTTTCTCAGCAGTAGGTTGAAGTGGGGGGGGGGGGGGGGGGGGGTTGTGCAGAGAGGAGAGCTCCCACAGAGAGACAATGCTACAGAGCGAGAGGAGGCTGCTGCGGAAACGAAAGTCTGACTGTGAGAGACATGACTGCAAAGTCGTTATCAACATTGGCGTGACGCCCGCGGACTGACACGACTGACAGTGAGGACTGACTCGGTGACAGGAATGTTTTTTCGTGCATCTTTTGTTTTGTCACACATTGGCGAGAAATTGTTTTCCTGAAATGTTATTTCTTGGTCGCTTTGTGCATGTGGGGCTTAGTTTGATATTTTAAGCAGGCCTCTTATCACATCCTTTCCTTGTGTGTCATGAACATCCTCCCTTTTTACCATTCCCTAACATTATGGAGTTAATTTCTCTCCCACTCTTGTGGTCCTTGTGGAAGCCTTTTCTCACTGCGCTTGATGCACTTCTCTAAAAAGAGTGACGTAGGTCCCCCTAAGCCACACATTTAAGTAAGAAAATTGCTTTGCGTGGGTGAGTAAGTAAGCAACAAACTAGCATTAAGGCAAATGTGAGTAGGAGATAGAGAAAGTAACATATTAAAATCAATGGAGCCTTAGAAAGACAAAAAAAGAGGAAATTACCCTGACATTAAAAGAGACAAGGGAAAGTGCATGGGATGTAAATAACAGTGGGGAAAGTGGTCACTGAGGACTGTATTATTAAATATCTGCAGAAGAGCTCCACATGCATCACCCGCAGATCAGCACCCCTATTTTCATTTACACCATTCTTTCAATGGGACGACTTAGTAAATCAGTTGCTCCTCTGAGACCAACTACACTCCTTGAATTTAAGTGCTAGGTAAATGTTTAGCATGCTTCTTGGAAAAGATAGCCCTAAGTGAATATCACACTGAGGGATGAGCAAATTTAGTACCAATGAAAAAAGGATGTGTGTCCAGCAACTTCAGGCAATGAGAGTACTTAACGACACCATTGGAGAATATCATCCCAGAATGCCAGAGAAGCAGAAACAAAAACTGAACACAAAAAACACTTCCTCTCTAGTTTCCTCATTTGTACTCTTTTCTATGTCCACCTGTGTCACCTAGAAAAGCAGTCCCTCTTATATCTTAAAGCCCTGTGCAGCAGCTGGAACCTGGTGGCAGACGGACACAAAGAAAAACTGACAACCGACAAAGTGACAAGCAGCCAGACAAGCCTTCTCTCCTCATACCTGTGTATTCCAGGTGAAAGCCAGCAGCAGAAACACTGATGTCAGACTGGAAGGTCAAGTACAAGTTGTTGGACGTGCTGTTCAGAAGCTGGGGAATAGTTGTACCTGCATTACACAAAAAGTGATAACAGTTCAAAAAATATTGTCAAGTACAACGAATTAAATAATGCATACATTTTAATAATAGGAAATATAGATGAGAACTTCGATTCAGTTATAACATTCCCTTTGTTTTGTAAAATACTCTCTGGATTTATCCTCTTTTTAACACAAAAGTCAAACTCTGTTGTGGAAACTTTCAGCAATTTGATAACCTTTCTAAATCTAAACGGTTCAGTGGAATTCATTTTCAATATAAAAACTCAAAAGTACCTCATTAATTAAAGATCAATTAACCAATTATGATTTCAACACAGCAGGCTCATTCTTAGAATCTCAAAGTCAAGAAAATATTGCATTTCAAAAGTGTATTTCTTTTAACTTGTGTTTCCTTGTAAAGAGGAGGAGTTAAGAGATATCAGACTTTTAAAATAAAATGATAGTAACAGGAACATGAGCGTCCTCTGTACAGTGTATTTCTCATGTGTAGCAACACTTAGGAGTCTGCGATCATTTGTTCTTTTCCAAGCGCATGTATGTCTTCTGAAATTTACATGGAGGCAGTTATTTGATTCATAATCACCTTCATCAGCGTAGCCCCAGATACAATTCACTGCTTCCCGTTTGAAATGTCTTAGCCTTTTCACAGCGCATGCTACCCTACACCATGTGAGGCAAAATTTAGAGCTATAACAATATGTTAAAACTTTTTTCCCCAAAAATGAGATATCCATCACTTGATAAATTGGACATCTAGTCCCATAAAAATGATAGCTGATTGAGAGTAGTAGTCATAGTGGAAGTCATTAAGCTTCACTACTCTCTCTGATGCTAGAATTCAGCATCTAAATGGATGCGATGGCTTGTTTCTAGTAGGTTACCATGTGACAAAAGCACCATTTTCATTTGCAGGCGGCCTAAGGCAACACGGCATCTGTGAAACTCCAGACTGAAACAGAGTGTCATTATGAAGATGTCTAATGCAGAGACAGGAATAGTGTGAAGGAGGGGGATACTTTCTACTTCTTTGACTTCTTTAACTGGTTTTTAGACAGCGTTCTCAAAGGACATGCCAAATGTCATCAGCTCCATCACCACATCTGTCTGCTGCTGGGGCACTGTGACGGCTGATTGAAATTCAAGAGGGAGCTGACAACTAAAATTTAGTTGTATCACTTTTACCTGAGTAGCTACCGAGCCTTGGAGCATTGCCATCAACCCCGTCAAAAAAATCAAGCGAGTCCCAGTTGTGCTCCGTGGCGAAGGTCACAACTTGAATCTGAAAGGGGAAAAAAAATCCTTACTAAAAATATAAAAGAGAGTTCTAAAAATACAACAACAAAGAACAACATGAATCTAATGAAGAAGCAAGGTTTGTAGAGTTTTTTTTGTAAGACCATGAATTAATCATCTTTAAAGCTCTTGTCATTGTGCCTCTTACTTGGATGCCAGCTCCCTCAGGAACAGAGATTTTCCAGGCACAGTTCAGATAGTTGGCGTATGGCTCTGGGTATCCAGGAGAGAGGAGAGTACCTTTGCGTTCTGTTAACACGCCGCCACAGGGAACTAAACCAAGATAACAGAAAGGTTAGGAGAGAGAGAAAAAGTGCTACATGAGAATGTGAAGTCTACACGCACACTGCAGAAAAGGTGGGCAGGGGTTAGAAAGAATCAACCTTGTCAAAGCATCATCAACACCAACTGTTAATGACCGCTTTAACATACTCTTGAATCCACATCTGAAACATAATTTCATGTGCTGTGATTTTACGGACTCAGAGGAATAATCGGAGAGAATCAGATAATTCTTGCATTCAGAATGACATGTTCTATTTAAGGTATAATGTAAACTAGTTTGTACAAAGCCTGCATCCCTGTCCATGTGATATTATTGTCATTTAAACTCAGCTGATTTTAGATTGTGGCAGAATTAATCACATCTTTCAATAATAAATATGATTTCTCTCTAAGCACACCTTGTTTGTAACATATTTATCAGGCCTTTTTGCTCTCAGAAGAATGCTAAATTGCCAAGTTTTGTTGTCAGGCACTGTGATACATCTGAGTATGGGATAAAATCAAAATGAAAAAAAAAAGGGGGGGGGGGGGGGAGAAAGGGCAATAAAACCTACAATTTCTTTATTACTTTTCCGACAGGGGCCAATTTGCCTTGTATGCTGGCTACGTTCTGCACTCAGTTTGGCTTCACTTTCTTTTTATTAAAGACTGCGGTAAGCCAACCTTATACACCAGAAACCTTTGGATTATGACACAAAACAAAATACAAATAATGAATTTTCTTCCTATTAAAACACAGTTATGCTGGCTTATACAAATCAAATGATGACCTGTTAAGCTCATGAGCTTTTCCTCAACACAAACTTTTTACTTGATTTGCTTTATTGAGACTTTTTGTTCTACAATCAAAAGCAGCATTCTTTGTGGCAGACATCTGTTCAGTCATCACATGTATTTCAATGCCAGCATACTGCAGGAAGAATCAATGTCATAGTGTAAATCCATGCTCAGGGGATCAAACTCGTCTCCTTTATTCCTTCTCTGCTTTCACTCCTGATGCGAAAACAAGTGTTCTTTAGATTTAACTGCTGATTAGAGAAACAATACACCGCTCCTCTTTAACATCCAATCAAGTAAATGGCTCATCAGTGATATTCAAGGTTACTTTGTATTTGAGTGAAGCAGTTCTCCTATAAGGCCAGGAGCAGAGCTGTCAGTCAGGGCGGAGGGGGTCCTTCAGAAATTCACCAGAGAAGAACAATGTGTTCTCACAATGAAGAACAATGTGCTATTTGTCAAGGACAAGGGTTTACCTGCAGGTCAATGATAATCACAGACGTCGGAGGCTGAATGTGCTACTTAATCGAGAGAAAAACTTAAGAACTGCTCTAGGAAAAAGTAGAGGGAAAGAAAGCAACTTTTTGCAGCTATCAGCTTAGCATAATTTCTGACTCATTAATATTTTACAGGTGATCTCCACCCTCCTACACATGATTGGAGAATCACACTGGAGTCACTACTCTGTTCCTTTCAGCCAGAGTGACATATTGAGAAAATGACTTCCCTCACAGATTTAACAAAAAGTAGAAATCACACTTTGTTATAATCACTGTTTTAATAAGGTCATCTTTAACTAAGACAATGTACTCCTGCTGAAGGACTGAAGGAGGATTCTTTGCTCGGCAAAGAATAAAATAAAGTTAATATATAAGTACTGTAGCCAGATTCTATCCTGTAGAGACAATTTGTTAAATTACAGTGTGAGTAACAGAGTAGACTTTAATTGTCATTGACCTTGTTTTACAATTAATCATTTTCATCTGACTCTCTAAAATCCCTTTTATTTTAAATTAAGTGCCCAACATAGAAGAAGACAGTATTCAAATATTTATGTTTTTCATCATCAGATGTTTCTCAGTTCCAACCTTCAAAGGTGAAACAAACATCTGAGGAATTATTCAGCTATATTAAGAAAAGCAAAAATAGGTCTGCTCTGTTCTGGTCTATAGAACTTAAATTCTTTCAGCATGAAACCACAATCTTGACAACAAACAACATTCCCACTCACTCCAGGGAGAGTACCCACTATTTCAGTCTAATTTAACAGCTCCTCTGAGTCCCCTGAGCTGTCAGTTAATGTAATTGGTCGAGCAAGATTAGAAATCATGACACTCATAAAAGCTTGAATGCTCCACAGCCATCTCAATCAGTGGCAGGCTCATATGTCAGAGTTAGCGCAGGTAGACAAGCGTGTGGGACGACACACATTATGAGACACTATTTAGCACCATCTGATACGTGGGGAATTTACAGCAACTTTTAATTAAAAGTGTTTTAATCAAGATGTCAGAAACGTTTTGTGTGTAATTTGTTGCACATTAAATGTATGATTAAAGTATAGGTCCTACACCTGCATGTCATACGAAGCTTAATCTTACCTTTTTTGAAATAGCTGGTTAATTATCTGCAAATGATATCATCAATAACACCGCTCTTTTTTCACGTGTCAGGTTATAATTGTGTTTTTGAACAATATTATTCAGTTGGTTAAAGAAAATATGGATAAGAGTGCATACTGAGCAAAGTAGAGCACAATATCAAAAGCTATTCCTTAAATACAAATAGCTTTATGTATGCGGTTAAGTGTTGGGATTTTTTATGTTTGGGAAGGATTGGTGCTGGGGGTCTTCCTTTTTTAATTACCGGTTTAATTAATATAAAGTGTCTTTGTAACATAAGTGTACATAAGTCCACAGTTCTGGCGCTAAATGCTCTTTATTACAGGAACTCCCAAAAGCAGCATGACCTAAAGAGCAGCTCATCGTGCTCCAGATAGGACCTGTGGCCTGGCCTTCCAACACAGCCCCACACTGAGACTCTATAATTGGTCCTAGGAGGCTATTTTGAAAAGCAACGATACACCATTTAAAATCCAGCTCAGTGTGACACTGTTTACTTGTTGACACCTTTGGAAAAAAATGTTTAAGCCAACAGTGAACCCGTGGTGTGGGCATACAGAGTATGAATCACTACAATCTGTGGGCTTATGTAATATCAGTCATGATTTTCTACAATCAGAAGTAATTGAGTTTGTGTGTGAGAATGAACCACCTCGCTCTCAGTTGTGCCGGGAACAATCCAGCAGAAATTGTGCTCATCTGTCATTTTTCATCACATTTGACTTTCCCATTTTTCAACTGTTGCTCACTTCCCTGCTCTAAAGGTGACAGGAGATCATTTTTTATCAAGAAATTTCACCAATTAAATAATAAACAGAGGGATTCATATTTCATGTTAAGTTCTTCTATTTTTGAAAGCTTACAATTAAGTCAAGTTCCTTGAAAAAGCGAAATAATTCATGTATCAAAGGCAACTATTCTCCATGCTAATTAAATCACAGCAGAACGTTGGGCAAGCAAAACTCACAAGTCAAATATTCTATTCAGCAGCTTTGTATTCTCTAAATCGTAAGCAAAACAAGTGTTAAATGACGAGGCCAGGTCAATCACAGCTGAACGAGGAGCTGGAAATGTATCACCTCAAACACAGGTATCTCACAGGAGAGCAGCTTCTGATGTCGTCATATCCCATAAAGAGGGTCTGAGTAATTGAGCATAGTGTTTTTGTTGAAGCTTCCATGAAACGACATCCATTATTCTGGACGAGAACACTGCTGCTGGGGGAGATGCTGCAGCTAGATTCAATCTCAAGATAACAATCACTGTGTTTAAAATGGAACCACGCATGCCACCGTTATTCCCTTTCCAATTGGCAGGAAACTTGGATGAACCCTGGCTTGAAATTCCCAGCACTCACAGGCTGAGACTATTTACTGGCTGGCACAGGGCCTGACTTCAATAGATTTCTCTAAACTTCATTTTTACTTCTTTATCTCCCAGAGGTAGACATGTGGTAGTCGAGACGAGGAGCATGTTCTCCTGCATGTGTCTGTGTTCGAGTGCCAGCGTGTGCAGACACGGCAAGTAAATCTCTTCCTTTTTATGAATGTGAGTTTGTGTAGGTCTACATGTGTCTGCGCAGTTATATCTGTGTGTGGTTCTGTTATTGCTTCCTGAAGAACGGTGTTGAACTAGATGCTAGTCCCCTCAGTAGAAGGCTTGCATTGCTGTCAAAGCTTCTGTAAATATAGGAGTCCTGGATCTTGTCCAGCTCCAAGGATTTCTGTCTCACTCAAAAATGAATCAGTTGGGGCGCTGGTGGTGCAGTGGTTAGTGCGCGCGCCCCATGTGTGGAGGCTGTAGTCCTCCAAGCGGGCGCCCTGGGTTTGAATCCAACCTGTGGATCCTTTCCCGCATGTTATTCCCCACTCTCTCTCTGCCTGGTTTAAAAACTTTAAAAACATTTTTTTTAAATAATCAGTCTTTTGGTTCCAATACAGACATATTTTTGATGTTTAAAAAACAATTTTAACACTTCATGGAGTTCTTGTCACCTGAATAACAATATTATTAATAACTTATTCTCTGAAAAAATATTTGGTATACATGTATTATGTAAGACCATAACCCTACATCAGTGTGGTTATAAAATAAATGGGCTTGTTTAAAATTCATTACACACTACGATTGCTAAGGGTGTCAGACAGATGAAGAAGAAGCTGAATCTCAGTACATACAGTAGCTCCATAAAGCTGAATGGAGCTGCAGATTCAGATAATAACTAATTTTAGGTACAAATGTACTATTCAAATCTTTTAATGTTAATTAAATAATTTAATTTAATTTAATTTAATTTTAATTTGACACATTGTTCTTATAAAACAATTATTTAACACTTTAAGGGGCTGTTTCCATTTTGTTTTTTTTTTATCTGCGCCGCTGGCAGTGCTCACTAACTTAATTTCAGAGCACTCCTTACTGGTGCTTACTGTTGTTAGGTTAAAAAGTTGGCTTATGGCACTTTAGCTTCCTTTGGTAGTGATTGCAAGATCTGTTTTTAATTGCTATTTGCTTTGGTCGATTTAATTTCACCAACGAAGAAAAAACAGAAAAACAATGGAATGGAATCCTGTCCTGTCCTGCGCAGCGTTAAAGATGGAAATGATACCCTGAAAAAGACCAGTCATGTTATTTTCTCCTCTGCCATTGTTTTTGAAAAAGTTGATATCATGAGTACCCCCCTTTCTTCATTTTTATTGGCCAGTGAGGGAGAAGCGACATTGGCTTGCACAGAGGTGCTCCAAAAGTTAAACTATTTTTAACTGAGAGTGCTTTGAGCACAGGGACAAAAACAGCTAAGCTGCACTGGTTTGTAAAGTTAAGGAAGCTGCCTGCACTAAAACAGCGTTAGTAGACACAGGCCCTTCAACCTGCAGATTTATATAGTGAATTATTAAGCTAGACATTATTGCAGAGTATTGTATCATACATGTAAATCTCAGGCTCTTTTGAGATTGTATGATGTAACTGATGAACTGGTAGCTCAGTGTTTACTGAATGATATATATTACGAGGAGGCCTGCTTTAAATCATGGGCTTAATCTTTTATCATGCACTTTAATGTCTCAAAATACATTCATAATTGTTGCCCTTTATAGTTTTTTGTCAACTCAATTTATATTTCGGAAGACAGGATGTTAGAATTCACTATAACTGCAGGTTCCTATTTTCATTGGATAATTAACATTAAACTGAGTGTATGTAGTACCTTAGAGGCTACATAGAAAAAGTTACCCAAAGTCATGTTGCTGTTGGACATATTTACTTTACACTTCTATTTATTTTCCCATTTATCTTTGAGGCACAGGGGCCTGAAATCCCTCGTCTGGCAAGAAAATTTATGTGACACTTTCTTTTGCTATTTGTCCTTGCCTTTTTTTTCCTGTCGGAACAATCAAGAGCAGAAATAGGCGGATGCTTTGAAATGGGTGACACACATCAGGATAAGTAATGACTAAGAAAAACAGACACCCATCTCTTTGTGCACCTGCTCCTTCTTTTTGGATCCGTGTGAGCATATGTGTGTGTGGAAGGTGTGTGTGGAAGGTGTGTCGAGGGTTGGAGGACGAGCACGCTTACCGACACATGTGGGCACAGTGCCGTTCCACTGAGCCAGGGCATTGGGCACGGCCTCACACCTGATGGCGTTGGAGCCGTGCAGAGTGTAGCCTGGATTGCATTCAAAGAGTACGGCCATACCAGTGCCAAAGTCGTTCCCTATCCGCTTCCCGAAGCGGGGCTCAGGGACCGAGCTACACTGAGTGGCGCTTGTCCGGGGGACAGCTGGGGATAAGAAGGGAGGAAAAAAGCGTGAGAAGAAGAAAGACAATGACAAAGAGCGGTTGTGGGCAGGCTAGGCAGGAAAACAACAGGGAGAAAGAGAGATGGCAAGACAAAGGAGGCAGAGAGAAATGGTAAAGCCCTTGTGAATCTCCTCGCACGTCATTAGTCACTCTCGTCTGCTTTGCCAGGATAGGCTGTTTGACTCCACAGCCTCCTGCTCTGCTCAGCCGTGCCCAGCCACGGCCAATGACAATCTGCTGAACAGCCCTTTATGTGGTGACTGAAAGGCTGGAGTGCGGTTTTTCCAAGGCAAGTTAATTCAATCAATGTACCGAATGAGTTTCAACATAAAGATTCTGGATGAATATCAGAAAAAGCAGCCTTACCTTGGTAAACGAAATGAAATCCTTTGGCTGTTTCTGTTCCGTTTGTGGTAAATTTGAGTGTTATCTTGTTTCCTGAACTCAAAGGGAGTGTCTCGCCTGGATTTCAAAATCAAAAGGAGACAACTTATTTAGATGAAACTGTTAACCCAAGATAACATTTAACCAGCAGTTAAAATTGACATATTGACATAGACATATCGACCAACACAGTTCTGTTAGATGCAACAAACAGTAAGTAATAAGCAATTTAAAGTGATCTGATCAAAAGTGTATCATTTTAATAGCAGGTCTGATGAATTTGCATGTCTTAATATTGTGTCCTAGTGCAATCAGGAAAGTGTGAAAACAATTTACAACAGCTTCTTTATTTCATTAGGAGTTTATGTATTGTAATCATAACGTTTTATGTATCATGAATTATCTTTCATTATATCTCCATTACAGAAGAGAAGTGGGAAAATATCTTCCACCTCGACAGAAAAACCTGTAAAGTTTTGGGATTTTTTACATTTGTTTTGGAGATATAGCTGTTTGATTTGAGAGATGGATGAGCTGTCTTTCCTGCAGTGCAGAATGATGTGCTTGATAGAAGTACTCAAGCGGTTGAGGTTGTAACATAAAGGAAATAAGACTGTACACTGAATAGATTAGTTTAAATACCTGAATGTGATCCATATATGGAGGAGAGAAGTGCCGCATCAGTGGAGGATCCATCATAGATCTCAACGACATCAGTGTTCAACGTCTGGAAAACCACAAACTGACCGAACAGCACTGCAAAGAAAAAAAGAAAAAAGCAGGTATGTCACAAAAATGAAGGTGGATTTTGTGGAAATTAAGCCATTGAGTCCATTCACTGGGGTTTATTGTCCCTGTAAGGCAGTGCCATCCCACGAGGGGGCACAGAGACATGATAGGGAGTGTGGCTGGGGGGAACATCTAATGCACCCACACATGGACTATAGCTAGGCATGCTGTCATGGTATATTTGCAGCCGTGAAAATATTTGCAGACCTTTCTCGCATTGTTATATCACATATTATGTTGTATCATAAAGGATCACCCTTTAAGATTCATGAACTTGTGGATGATTGATCTTCCTTTCCGTGTAACCCTTGAATGCATGTTGCACGTCTGTATGTTCTGAAGTCTTTCTTATAATGCATCATTATGAAAAACTCAAATACTGTTGTTTCAACCATATAGTCTTGTTATTGCTGATATTATTCTGCACTCTCTTAGTTTCGCTACATCATTAATAACAAGCATCCCTACAGGAGGCTCACCTGTTGTGATATGATGTCAGCTACATGTGCACAAGACAGCGAGAGACAGAGAGAGAGCAAGGGAGAGAGAGCATGTGAGAGACTGCAGATGTGCCCGAGGTCCTCACAGCTCCGCAGGACTACGGAAAAGGTCTGTTCTCCCGGCTGCTCTATCAGCAATCAGTATGAAACGACTCGACGGTCTCAGGGACCGTGCGCGTCGTGAGCACCGTGAAATGAATCATGTTTTAAAAAATCTTCAAATGAGCTTGATGAGCAAAACCAAGAGTGCAGAATCACATCAGCAGAGAGATGGAGAGAGAGAGAGAGAGAGAGAGAGAGAGAGAGAGAGAGAGAGAGAGAGAGAGAGAGAGAGAGGGAGAGCGATAAAGTCTGATGTCCGTACATCCCTCTTGTAACAGCTGTTGCTCTGTGCAGTGACATGTGCGCATTACCACAAAAAAAACAACTAATCAACATCTTAACATTAAACATTTAGTGTTTTTCTAAACATTAAGCGTTTAAACGTTTAGAAGTCACACCTGTCATCTGGACTTTGTTGATTACCATGAAAACATCCGTTTTTAAGAGCAAGGCAAGTCATGAAAAAGCTGGGTAACAACCCACCCTGAAGAAGGCAGTGCATGCCGCTATGCATGGGTCGTTACTGTTCCCAGCTTTTTGATGACTTGCCTTGTTTTTTTTTATTTCTATGGTAAAATAGCCAATTTAATAAAGGCTTTTGACTTTTTCAGAAGAGTGCCTTGGTTTTTTCATCTTTTTGAATTTTTGAGCTTCCCACAAAGGGCACTTTCTCCATACTTGGTTTGAACTTCCGAGCACTCCAGACTCTTGTTTTTTTGGACAGACAAGGTCGACTGGATTTGTGCTCCAGTGATACCATGTGTGTGTTATCCAGTGTTAACAGTGTGTGTGTGTGTGCATGTGTGTGTGAAACACCAGAGGTAAAATTACAGCCTCTATCTAGCCATGTTGCACAGGCATCTTGTGAAAACACATCTTACATGCACTTCTTGCTTTGTCTCTGTCTCTCTGTTCTGCCTCTCTCTACTCTTCACTGTCATGAAGATGAGCCCATTACCACAATGTTTATTTTTTGTGTGGAATGTCCAGTTAGCTTAGATCATAAGTGTCGAGCTGGAGCATATGACTCAAATGCTACTCTTATTTAGAAATGATAAGAACATTTCATTCACGTAGTTTCAATTGTGTATAAAGTGGTTTGAAACAATTCATTTCACAGATTAACAGTTTCCCTTAACACCATTATTGCTTAATCGTAGAACGAATAAAGCATAAAATACTGTTCTGCTTTTGACAAATGGGTTTAATCTGAGAGAAAAAACATTTTCAGCTTAACTACTTAACTATGTTTGGCTTCAACAAGCAATATTCTCAGCCTTTACTCCACTTTTTTCGAACTTATTTTGGTGTTTACTCACCAACTACTTAAATCTCCTCACTCATCCCATTTGTCTTTTTCCACCCACACAAGACACACTCACCTACAACTCTGATCCTTTGCTGCACAAACCAGCTTGCTATATGCTTTCTGTGTCTCTCTCCCCGTGTGTCTGCACTGTTTACTCTTTTCATCAGTATCTGGTTTTATGAAAATAGCCCCCCAAAAAATAAAGACAGTTTTTGAAGTAATTCACATGCTGCAATAATGTATTCTTTTTACAATAGCATGTGAGCTGTGGGTAGAGTAGGATTTTTAAAATTCAAACATTCGATCAAACAGTAACATTACTGAAAGACATTAGGGGTGTAAAATGTTGATAGAGTAGTTATTGATATTGATATATAATAAATTGAATAATATGACACTCCACAGATAGATAAAGCTGCGTTTAAAAGATGAATCTGAAAAGAGGTGAAACTAAATCCTGCACTTGTGGATTTTATATTTGTTAGTTGATCTGATTAGTCTTGAAGAATGGTAATTATCACACAATCATCGTATCGTGAGAGTATCTCATAGTGTATCGCTTTTCGAGTTAACCCTGTGATTACCACCCCTAATTGATACCAGCCAGCTGCATGTAGAAAACAATGGAAAAGGAATGCATCAAACAGGAGAGGTCTCAAGACGATCACTGCATTTGAAGGAGGATGTAATAAAAGATCATCACTGCAGATCCTGTGTGGTTGTGAGAACAACAAAAGGCAGGAGGTAGGGCGAGAGAGTTTCCTTCCATTTACTGGACACAGATAGAAATAAAGAAATGCTTAACTTGTTCATCAAATGCTTCACATTGAGAAGAGTAGATTTCAAACGAACAGCTAAATGAAAGACAAGGTGTCTTATGACCAGCTGTAGCTTTCACAAATGTTTTAGCTTCCTCCTCATGCCTAAAGGCAGAAACACACAAGGCCCACCTGAAAGGTGAAAAACAAATCTGTGGTAAGAGAGGGAATTGCTAAAGGTAAAAAAAAATGGCAGCATATGTTTGTCCTTCTGGCTATGAATTATGGAGCAGCATCCTGTCATCTCCGCTTTGTAGCTGTACGAATCTTCTCTGGCATACTATCTCATAGAACACCACTGTAAAAGCCATATCACATAACTAAGAAAGCCACAGCAAGAGGGAACGAGAAAAAAAAACAGATTCATCAGCCCCTAAAAGTCACTTGAGAAAATGTTGAAATTTATGTCCTAAGAGATGGTTTGACTGGCCCACTAGTTGAATAAATGACAGGACAGAAAACATGACGTAGGCACCAGACGTAGGACATGGTGGTTTGAGTAACATCACGTGTTCTTATAGTAAATATACTTCTGTCTGACACAGAACCAATCAAAAAACACAAAGCCAGCAAAGAAACGACCAAAAAAACTCCAAGCTCCAGCCAAGTAATTAAAACAGAATAAAAAGAAAAATCCATATGCACATGCAATCATGTACGCACATTATAAGGTGTTTTCACACAGAAGCAGCACAGGCAGACCTGTTTCTTCAACTATGGAATAGTGAGAATGCCTATGGCTGAGCCATAGGTGAGACAGCTCACTGCTGTTGTATTAGCATACCAACGGCGTGCGCACACACACACACACACACACACACACACACACACACACACACACACACACACACACACACACACACACACACACACACACAACCTTATGCATTGGCACATGCATACACACTAGGGTGTGTAAGTACAGTGTCCCTCATTTCTGCCTCTAATCCAAAACCAGCCATGCATGACTCCAATCTGCTCCTTTGCTGTAATCACGAGATATTAAGTCAATAAATCATTGTAAACTTGTTACCTAATTTATGCAGGGCTATGATGAATCTTTTGTCCTCTGGGCCTAGTCATGGTGCTGTTACACAATGCACTAGGACAACGGACAAAATGTTCATGCCTTCATCTTCACTCTGCTTTACCTGTAATCAGTTAAGACACTTTAATGGTATACCTCTTTCGGTATTAGATCAACACTTCAGAGCATTTCTGTAAGTCATACAACAATGCCTGCTGGACTTAAATAAGGCAAAAATAAACAATGACAGTTTGTTCCACTGTTGTGTGATTACTAAAGCAGTCATTTTGAAAAATGTGTTAAGAGGCTGTGGTGCTGCTACTGTCCTTAGCGGCTTCTATCACATATTAATGGGTGCAGGGGACTATTTAAATTAATCATGTGAGTTAAGTAATCACTCCTGGGGGGTCATACATTAGAGTAATTTAAAGATAATGAAGGTGTTGCAATAAGAGCACACTCACATGCAGTTGACACTTTAGCATTCACTTCACTTTGGAAAATATAACTAGCAAGAGTTGCGCAAGAATCTTGTGCTTCAAAAGAGCCCAAATTCTTGAAGGAATTTATTCAGCAAAGTGTTGGAGCCCCACTTCTTGGTTCATTCTGACTCAATACACACACTTCCTGCAGCTATTTTCCAGCACATTCGCACTGTGAAAAATCCCTTGGCGCCACATCTCAAAGGGGCTCTTCTGGGCAGGGACCTGGAGAAAGTGCAGGGAAGTGAGGTAAATTAAGATCACTGTCATGTTCCTGGAACCATTTTGGAGTGATGAGTGCTTTTTTTGACAAGGTTGCTTTAAAGTATCCATTTGTAAAAGTGTAGACTGTGGCGATGAACGGATGCACCTGGTCAGTAACAGTGTCTAAGTATGTTGTGGTGTCTGAATAGTGCACAGACCGCATTAAAGGAGTAATGTGAGCTGAAAAAACAACTTCACGCTGATAAACTACAAGAAACCAGCTGTGGCGTGTGAAGCAGGCAAAACCATTCCACAGTATACTTCAATTTCTGTGCCTGGTTTTCTTCTTCCTTTTCATTAATGAAAACACGTTTACATTAAAAGTGCTTATTCTATGACTTACCGAGTTGGATTTATGCTTAACAATTATATCTGACGTGCTTATTTATGCTTAATGTTCAGTAAAACCCTTAATGGCTTAATCATTTAGTGAACAAATACATGTGACACTTTGCTCAGTTTCAC